AGTGATCATTATTTCACAGTTCTGCCACAGTGTGTAAATGTATGAGCACGAGCGCCTCATTAAAATAAATGCCACTCCTTTCGTAATCATGAAGTGATTAAAAGCCATTTGGAGAATTCAAAAGATAGCTTGTGCCAATTGTTGTAGCCAGAAAAGGTAATCAATTGTCCTTTTCTAATTAAAACTCCACATTGCAAAAGGAATTATCTGCCCATTATTCATTGGGACCCTAATTACAGTCGTGATTACTTTAGTTTTGACTTTCCCCTAATCCGGGTTTATAGTGGGATTTGTTTGTATGGAGGATATGTCGCTTTGGTTCCAGAGTTGCAGTGGCCGCACGAGGTATGAGCCATCATGCCACTCATTTTCTATAATGCTTATCCTGTTCAAGGTCATGAGGGGACTGCAGGTCAATAACACATGATCATAAATTGCGTATTTTGCTACTACATTGCATGTCAGGTTAGTTTCTGGGTAGTGGCGGCACTTGTGTTGTGCGGGAACCTCAGAACTGCCAATCAGACATGTTATTTATCACTGACTGGTCACATTGAAGTCGTGCGTGATATTTTTACTGCGTTTCTATGCCGGTCCCGCAAACTATATCTTCACACAGTCCGGTGCACAGTTCGGTGATCGCTGCCATTTAGTCAGCAAAAAAAACACAAAAAAAAACCAAAAAACAAAAAGTGCTCGTGCATTGTTAGAATGTCAGGACAACATAAATATGTATAATTTATATTAATGTGTGGAGAATGCAATATTCTGATTTTAGAGAAGTTCCAGGCTAAAAGTCGTAACAAGTTTTCCCGAGTTGCATGTGAACAGTCGCCAAATGAGATGACTGTAGTCTGCCTGCTGCTCAAGTGCCAAAAAAGCCAGTCCTGTTTTTTTTTTTTTTCCAATAATGTACGTGGAGTAAAACTCTTGCATGTGGAGAATGTAACCAATTTAGGACAAATAAAAGCTAACATAAAACGGCCTCGGGGAAAAATGCGAGGTTTTGTCATTAGTGTCTAAAAAGCAAGGAGATCTCGGACTCCAATTCCTCAGCACAGAAAAAAAGTTAGAAGGAGCATCACTCACAGACACTTCAAATCAAAGGTTATGAGCATTTTAAAACACGCGGAGACATAAAGGTCAAAAATTTCATTTGTAAACCTGCTATGTTTCACTTCCTTTTTTTTTTTTTTGCTTGTGTAAAACAAAATAATTCAAACTCTGATGCTAAGGCGAATACTGTCTCGGAATGCTTCGAACAGTATGTTGGCTTTCTTGCAAGCTATCGAATTTTAATGCTCGAAACAAGCTCAATCCTGAGTTTCAATTCTGAATCAGTGCTCATAGCGTTGCACATATTCTTTCAAACTTCCATACTACAATCAAACAAAAGAGTTCTTGTGCTTTATTTACCATCACCTACTGTCAAGAGGAATGATAAAGCTGTGATTGATTACATGATATAAAGTGTATGTTTTGAGATATTTGGTGTAAGTAAGTCAATGACCTGATTTAACATTCACATATTCTTGTTCATACTTTTTTTCAATAAAGCGATGGCCACGTGTGAAATTCACCCGCGTTTGGCAGCCGTTAATGTCTAGCCTCGGAAATTGTTTTATGTTGGGAATGTTTTTTGTTTGTTTGTTTGTTTGTTGTTTTTTTTAAACACACTGGAAAGGTCATTAAGCTTGAAACTTGACTTATGGGTGGATGGGGGAAGGGCGTGCAAGCCATGTAGAGCAGGGGTCCCCAACCGCCGGGCCGCGGACCGGTACCGGTCCGCAGGGCATTTGGTACCGGGCCGCACAGAAAGAACTTGCCTTATTTCCGTTTTATTTATTTCGGAATGCGAAATATGTTTTATTTTGAAAAATTACCGGATTCTCCGTTACATCCGTCTGTGTCACGCTTGACTCACGTCAAGGCACACTTCTCGGTCAGGTGACCGATGACGCTCATAAACAAAACGCTGAAGCCCGCAAAATGAGTAAAAAAGCTGCTTGGAGATCGCAAATGACGGCGGCCTTAAAAGTACGTTCGAAAGTAACAACTGGATCAAAGTTATGGCTGAATACTCTGAGATCGCCACAATAGCACTGTTGCTATTTCCGACATCCTACCTGTGTGAGGTGTGGAGTTTCTGCAGCAACAGCGACTAAAACAAAATTACGAAGTAGACTCGAGATTAGACGCTCCTTGTGTTTATTATTATATTTCGAAAACACCACAGTTTTCATGCAGCTCATACCATATTATTTTGTTGTATTAATTCGCCACACCTTAAATGCCGGTCCCTGAAAATATTGTCTGACTTAAACCGGTCCGTGGGGCAAAAAAGGTTGGGGACCCCTGATGTAGAGGACAGCGAGTCAAGCAGAAAGGGAGTTCACCATCTGCAACTTATTATTTTCTAAATTATGGATTAGACCACTCCTATTATTGCTCCCGCTATTTTTATGTCTTTATCTTTCAAAATGCCCAGTAAAAAGAGACAAAAAAGTGGCATATATTTCAGTTCACCATCCAACAAAAAGGAAATGTTATTGTGCAGATGGACACATTGTGTATGTTGCTCTTCAACTCTGCAAATAAAAAACAAACAAAGCTTGTGTTTTTCCAATAATAACATAGAGAGTCAACCAACTACTAAACTGCACCCAAAGTGCGGTTGCCACCACCCAATTAAAAAAACAAAAAACAAAACACACACACACACACACACACACACACACACACACACACACACACACAAAACAGCGGAAAGTGTACCATCATCGATAGCGGTGCCAACAACAAAATGTCCCCGTTCGAAGAAAAATTACACTGGCTCCCTTGTGTGCACGCCATGTTGCGCAATAATATAACAGTGCAGTGGCGGCCTTTCGTCTTGCCCCCTGTAATGTTCTATTAGAGCTCTTCAAAACAAGAGTGCTGGAGAAATACATTAGAGCATTCCCGAAGAAAGGCTATTCAAGGCAATTGTGTATTTCAAATCTCCTGTTTACATGCACAATATGGATTCTTTCATGAGATACAACATGTATTGTAGCACCATTTCACTCGGAATTTGGAATAATGCACAGAAATAAACACGTGTCATATTGACATTGTTAAACCGACAACGCTAATCAAAAACATTTGCTACAAAAGCTCCTTGCAGCTAAAACCCTTTTAGTGGAAAAGAAAGAGAACAAAACGATTGATTCAAGTACATTATATTTAACTGCCACGACACGCTGCCAAATAATTGACAGCAGAAGCTGAAAATGTGTGAAAATGTGAACTTCAGAAAATGTGTTTTTTGCACCAAAACTGTGTTGATAGACTAGAAGGAAGATTGCAAACCTCGGTGCAGGTGCAACAGCTGCGTACATCACCCACCAGAGGGCTTTTAATGTCATTTAAATAGACCCTCCACGTTGTTTAATGTGTTGATTTGCACTCATCCTTCCAACTACTTGTGGGAGCAATTATGTCATTATAAAAACGGCAGCGCATAACAACCCAGCGTGGATAAGCAGCGAAGAAAGCGAAGAGCCTTTTTCCTTTGCAGCGCTTGCTGGGATGTTACTCCAACGCACTCTCATATCAATGACGGAAAAAGGTTGACTCATTCGGGCATTTCTTTTACCGACACACGCCATATCTGACCCACAAACAGGCCATCGCAGGTGATGCGATGTGTTTTGCCGACATCATCTGGCCACTGTCTCTCACTTGTGTTGGCTCCCACGATAATTGGCTGTGTTGTGTGTACATTTGATGGAGGATGGCTTTGTCACCGTAAGCTTTCACACATGCTACAAATGCAGTGGCGGGTTTTGGTGCAGTGACACACACACTCACCTCAACTCAATTGTATTTATGGAGCACTTAAAACAACCACCGCTGCATAGAAAGTGCTGTACATGGAGCAAAAGTAATTCATACAACAACAAACAAACAAACAAAAAAATCCCAAATGAATAACAATAGACAGTAGAAAACACAAAAACACAAACACAAAAAAATCAAGTCTCATGCTGAGTGAAGAGCCAAAGAATCAAAATGAGTTTTAAAACGAGCAGCGAGGGTGCTTGGCAAACGTTCATTGGAAGGTTATTCCAAAGAGAGGGACCAGCACCGGAAAAGGTTCAAAACCCGTCTAAGCCTCCGCTAACTTCTCGGTACCTCAAATAGTGTCTGGCTCGCAGACCTCACGAATGTACTTGTAGCATTACATGCTAATGACAAACCACTTAAATGTCGAACTTAAACCATGTTATAGACTCATTTTGACATTTTGTTTTGCATAAAACAGTAGGACAAAAATTGTATTATGATGGAAGGGGACTTTTGTAAGAAAAGGGAAGTGGTCGAATCTGCGTGCGATCGAGCAATTAGTCATTTGATTATTTACAGTCAGAGGAGTATGAAGTGAACTGTGTAAAAAGCCGATTAACTCTGTGAGGCCAATTCTCATGCTAGAAAAGCAGGTCGTCACTGCTCAAACGGAACCGCATGACGCCAATGTAAGCATTTGCATATGAATGCAACCGTTCCACGATTAAGGCTAAAAGGAGGCCCAGCACAGCGGCAAAGTCTCCCTCCTCTCTGCCGCGACTAAAACATGGTGATCACTTCGATCCGCTTTCGACAGGCAAACGCATATGAATGTGCTCCAGAATCTGGTGAAAAACTGGTGAAAAAAATCAGGGGCTGTATCGCTACAAACCAAGTTTCCTTTGTAATCTGATGGCACCAGTGTATATTTGCTGTCCTCTGCTTTTAAGATTTAATACATTTGACCTGTTATCGGTGCAGGGCTCAAACCCTTGAGTTTGCAAGGGTTTAAAAACAAGCACTTTCCAACGTTCATCACCTCACTGCTTTGCTTATTTCCCTGATGAAGCTTTAAAATATCGTTCTTGCAGTCAAATGTAGTATAACGTCTTCAAAACATCACATGGGAAATACTTCGTAGTACTGTGATGGGTGAAAAACGCAATTCTTACCGAACTGTCACCGACATCCATCTGTTAATGTTGATGGTCTGGCTGGCGGCCACACTGAGGACATATTTCCCGCCGCATCCAAGCTCAGCAACGGGGTTTCCGTCTTGAAGGAACACATGAACAAAGTGGCCACCAAACTTCTGCTCCTGGGCTGAAAAAGAAAAGAAATAATTCAAAGTCTATTTTCTTGTCAATAAATGCCCAGATTTAGGAAAGTTCTTTGGATTAATTGTGTCCTTTGTGTCTTTCTAATTAGCTTTGCCAGAATTTCAGAGCCGTTCAGGTTTTTCCACTTGACCTCAGAAACATGTCAGTTTTCTATTATGTATGAATTTTTTTCTGTACAGCATACCCCTAAATTCATGTGGTACTAAACTCCATCATTCAAAATCTATGCTACATCACAAGTTGGATATCAAAGAGAAAATACATATTTTGGTCCACTCCCCCACTCAATTTCCAGATGAATTTACATCATACGCCAGCGGGAGAGTCGACAGCGGAGCAATGCAGTTGGGGAGCCGACGGGCAACTGCAGAGCTCATCCCCAAACACAAGCTCATAGGATCTACAGCAAGGTGAGGGAAAGACGATGCGCTTTAATCCTGCGCATCTCCCTAAAACGACACAACGCTGCGCTACCCCATCGAGGAAAACACCGCGCAAGAGGTTGTAAGGCAACGCAAACAGCGTCGACCGCTTTGATGCCATCGTGACAGCGACGACTGAGCCAAAGCGCTTTGGCGCCGTACGTCTTTGTACCACTGCTGCCATTCGCGATGAAGTCACGACAGCAGAGAAAGGATGAGGAATGGATGAGAGGAATTGGTGCAAAAGCTGAGCTTGTTGTTTCGAGTCTGCAAAGCTCCTGATATGACCACGCTCAACAATTCCTCCAGGATAAGACCGGCATCCTGAAAATCCCCCATCTTTTTGTCACAGATAGGCTACGCTTAGCTTAATACTGCAGTCTGATAATGCCTGTTATAAGCTGACTTGGAGGTCTTTCTCATCATAAGCTGAGACAGCGAGGCTCTTAACTGTGACATATTATCTGAACGGACCACATAAGGGAAATCATGTTCAGATAATCCACCGTCTTCTGTACGAGTCCTCCTCTCTAATGAAATAGTGTGACAAGAGAGAGATCTTAGCAAGGGCAAGTGGTCTTGAAAAGCAACACATTATGAATTACGTCAAGTAAAATTTTGAAGTCAACGTGAGCTCTCTCATGATTTACAGTTTGCGTTTGCCAGAGCAAGATGAATGGTTGAGCTGGCTGAGCTAAAGAGTCGGAATGCAACCATCCATCCATCCATCCATCCATCAATCCATTTTCTAATCCGCTTATCCTCGAAATGCAACCATTGCATTTGTTTTACTTTTTATCTGGTGCAGATTTTTACAGCTGTTTCAAACTTAAAAGGATTGTTTTCTTTTTCTCTTTATCGTTTTTGTGTCGATTGGGACACGGTGTTATTTTGTAATATGTCAAGTTAAATCTGCAACGTAATTTCACTAAATGTATCGAGATGGTGAAAATGTTTCTCGATTTGGTTGCAACTTGTTTATAAGAAGTGATGGTGGGTCCGGAAGGAAGAACCGCTGAGAACCGTCCTCATACTTTACGACACGCTCCCCCTTCTCCCGCAAAGAAAAAGAACTTCCATCCTCTTGTGGAGAACCAAAATAAGTTTTTTTGTAGTTGACACAATCATGTAGGTCAACGATTCTCTGAAACACCAACAAATGCCCTTCGAAGACAAAAAAACGTGAGTCTCCACTGGAAGAAGTTTTTCAGCTCCTGCCATTAGTCATCTGCCAACAAGTATTATTTATTGTGTCAACAGTGCCCCATCGTTTTATTTTCCATTTTTCAACATTGAGGACATTGTTTCTGCCGTCCCCACGGTCCTGTTGCTCTGCACCGCACCTAACGGAGCATTCGTCCTTCGGTCATATTCTATCACCTATTTTTCCACTCTTCCTCAGTCTCCCATCCTTGCCCTCGCTCTTCCTCTCCCCACCGCTTTGGCTTTTTGTGCTATAACTGACAAGTGAAGCCCTATAGTGGCGACACGTTTGCTTCAGGGAACAGGAGTCGAGAAAAAAATGACGAGAGTAAGACGAAGCGGTTTTGGCAAAGGTATTCTTTGCATCTCAATGCATGTCTTTTGGTTCGCGTCTGAATCACTTTGTTTGATCTCTGGAGGTTTTTTTTCCCCCCACCCGTTGGTATCCTCTGATGTAAGAGTGATACTATGCCATAAGCCAGGAAGCATTACAGATAAAAGGAAATCTGCCCTCTATGTATGCTTTCCGAACATCCATTTTTTTTCCATAACAAGAATCTCAGCCTAACTCTTAGCTTTTGCATGCAGCAGAAGGTAAACAGTGTAGAAATATATTACACTGAGCATACAGAACTAAATATAATGACGAATTAGAGCATTACACTTCAATCTTCAAACCTATTCTTGTGAGCAGAAAAATGAAAGGATAACATGTCATCGGCGTAGTCATTATATTTCAAGATAATCTAGGAGAAAATCAGTGAAGACCAAGACGACGGCTTGCTTGGAAATCAAAGAAGCCAGATGACTGGTGGCAGCTGATAAATGAGGCGGTGAATCTTGACAGGGTGAAGGTGAAACAATTAGACTGGTTTGACATGACTGTGATCATATCTGATCGCAGTGAAGTTCTTCTGGACCGTGTGAGGTGTAATTCTCTGCAGGAATGTTACTTTTCTCTTTCAACTTTTGAAGATCCACAATGAAAATATTGTGATTCACCTTCGCAAGTATATTCAACGGAATATATTAGATATATATTGGCTTGATCCAAAGTTATGCACGTGAACTGATTTATTTTGCCAGTATTGTCCCATTTTGAATTCGATGCCAAGCAAGTCATCAAGAATGGGAAAGAATTCCACTTCAAGCTTCATCAGTTGGCATCCTCAGCTCCCAGACGCTTCTTGCATGTTGTTAAAAGGAAAGGTGATGGAGCGCAGTGGGAAACATGCCCATGTGCCAGCTTTTTTGGAATATGTTGCAGGCATCAAGTTCAGTGAGTACATATTTGAAGAGAGAAAAAAGGAGAAAAAGAAATAGTCCAGATGTTTGAACATAAGGCGGCATGGTGGAAACTGGTTAGCACGTCCGCCTCACAGTATAAAGGTTGTGCGTTCGAATCCCCCCTCCCGGCCTTTCTGTGTGGAGTTTGCACGTTCTCCTCGTGCCTGTGTGGGTTTCCTCGGGGTACTCCAGTTTCCTCCCACATTCCAAAAACATGCATGGCACATTAAATGATCACTCTAAATAATCTTTTGGTGTGATTGTGAGTGCAAATGGTTGTTTGTCAACATGCGCGCTGTGATTGGCTGGCAATGAGTTCAGGGTGTACCCCGCCTACTGCCCCAACAACGCAACGCCATTTACTATTCTAGGGAAGAGAAAGCTATTTAATAATGCAACTGCCTAAAAGCATCCTAAGTAGTCAAGCTAGCAGTGTCCTCAACGGATAAATGGCATTTTGAGTGGATTGAGTTGTATGACAAAATTTCTTAGATTGCCTTTAAAATATCCTAATAACAAGTGTATCTACTTCAAAACTTTTAAGAAGGAAAATAGAATGGCACTCATCAGAGCACAGCCTGCCACCAAGACTCAGCAGCCCTAATTTGGATAAATACCAAATTTTACACTTTCACAGATATCCGTCTCCTGCATATCAATGAATCTCCTCGTTAATATTCATGCATAAATAACATGGTCTAAAAAAAACCCCGCTCCACACAGGGGAATACACTTACTAAATATGTGTGTAGTCTTGCTAATTAAAAACCAAAACAAAGAAAATTGATTTTGATCAATTTCCATTTCTGATCTTCAGGTGTCCGTAATGAACATGACGAAATTTGAAAAAAAACCCCATGAAATTTCAGTTGAATTCGAAATATATTAACAAGTACTTGAGGATCTTGGAGCTGGGCGAAAATAAAAATAAAGAGCAGTCAAGCGTGAGAGTTTTTAATATATATCCTCACGTCTATTACGGGCCATCGGAGAAACCGATGCCCACTCTCCACACCTTCACGTTTTTTTTTTCAAAATAATTAGCTAGGTAGTTAGTTTTGATAATAGCGTATATGCTACAAAGAGGACAGAAAACATCTCCCTGGCAAAGGTAAAAATGCAATTCTCATAGTCATGTGGTGTCTGGTTTACAATGTGACCATTTAATTTGAAATCAGGACATTTTGAAATCAGTTTGGGAGCAGCTAATTGCTGCTTCTCCCTTTTAGCAGCACCACAAAATAAATGTTTTGATCATATTGGACAAGATGCCTTGTGCTGTATTGCCATGCATAATGACTCGGTAAATGTAAATGAGAGGCCATGAACTGGACTGTGATGTCACGGATAAGAGGTTAATCTAAGTTACAGCTCTGAGATGAATGTTGTGATGGCTGTGCCCGTCTGGGGCAGAATCAATCACGGGTAATCACCACGCAATCCATCGAGGTTAGAGTTCTGCCGGACTTGCGAGTGCCTCACTGCGGAGTCACATAGGGCAAAGATAGCCTTGCAAGATCAGGGTGGCTGCACTCATCAGGGCAAGACTTTTGAGCTGGCCTGCATCTATTTTACTTCTATTTGGGACTCAATGCAAATTCAATTTAATGCTATTCCATTAAGAACATTTTCAGCACTGCGCTAATGAGTTGTTATTTTCACATTTTTTCCGATACCGTATTCTGTATCATCAAGTCACTGTACTATCATTACAGTACTGTTAGAAAACTAAAATTGTGAAATTGCTAATATGGGAAGAATTTCGTGTGACCTAGCCATGGACAACAATTTACAGTAAATTCTCACATCCATTATACTTGTAGAGATTACCGAAGCATGTATGGCAGAACCATTACCAAGAGGGAGAAAAAGTGAAGGTAACTATGATCGATAGATGAACACAACTTGGAATAAACACGGGGAACAACATAGTTGACACTCAGGTGAAACACCTAGCTACACTCGAAATGGAGTTGAATCGTGTGGGGTTTCTTTAAGTTATCAAAAATGGTTACATAACGCTACATAGAGAAACAACACTGACTAATTTTGTATTTGTAGGCATGCACTGTATGCATTCTATGCTGTTTGAATACATTTAACCAGCAAACAACAGATACTTGGGAGAGCAACTGGAGCAACAAGACACAAGCGATCATCTTTCATCAGCACAGCAAGAAAGGTGTTTCTAGATGTGCTCCTTGACCTCCTTTACAGAAGGACAAAGAAAAAAAACAAGCAAGTAGCTACTGACATGGTTGTAGGACAAGGGTCACAATGGACTCTGTCAGTCAACGATCTGGAGAGGAATACAAAATGTACAAGCTGTTCTAATGGGGGAGCACACCAGGAATGAGTGGAGTTTACAGCAGTCAAGGTTGAAATTTATGTGTATATATATATATATATATATATATATATATATATATATATTTGGGAACAAAATCACAAAGCTATGTAAATCTGCTAATATTATTTCAATCTTATATCAGTCTTTGCCTTAGAGGACCGAGTGCATTAGATTGGGTTGAACGGTTTCTGGGATTGTCAGCACAGAAAAAAATGTGGCTATTCTCTGCAAGATTTGGGAATGATAATTGGGGATTTAATGGCCTGCTCAATGCCATCATTAAATACCATGTGAGAAATGCCTCATTGACCACATATTGCAGCTGCAACTTCAGCTACATGCAGAAAAAAAAACAGAGTCTTGCAACAAATGTTCAGATGTCCACAAGTGAGAAGTCATCCTAAATACTAAGAACACATATGTAATCAATCGTAAGTACCGTGCACCACAGGAAGAATTCCATAACCGCATCTAAAATAACCAGTCATAGCTGCATTAAATGCAACACGCATCTCCTAAAATTAATTATTCAATCACCATTTTGTTTGGATAATTTTGATACCAAGTGTGGTGGTGTGTGTGTGTGTGTGTGTGTGTGTGTGTGTGTGTGTGTGTGTGTACAGTGACCATACAAATGTGTTGAAAAATCTTTCCATGATTTTCTGCGCATCTCATCATCAGTATTCATTACAAGAACAATGCCAACTCTGATTTTACCACACAGATGCTGTAGATGTATAGTTATGTATATCTAAAAAGTTTTGCTTGTAAGTTTTTTTTTATGGCGTACTGATTTGAATTCAGATGAAAGCAGCATTACATTAGATATTAATATCACAATTAAGAAAACCGCTGGGTAATTTGCACTCGCAAGGAAAAAGCAACATTAAACGCAGTCACCCTAATTGAATTGTATACAAATGCATATGTTTCGGTTTTACCTGTGCTTGCCGCAAGTGCTCTCAGACATAAAAATGTGACTCTACTCACTGTAGAGGAGGGTGCCTTGTGTAGATCGAGTTTTCACAGTCAAATGGAGAACAACGGTGGTGTCCTTGACAGGGGGCGGTGCATTCTTGCCGATGCCCGAGGAATGAGGAATTAATGTCACGGGTTGCAGCTCCAAATAAGATGTGCCATCAAAAGATGGCATGTACACTTTGGACTCTGGAAAAACAAAAGCAAAATCCTTTATATAGCAGGAAACGTGTTAGAATTTTCTGAAGAACATTGGAATCAATCAATCATTGGCCACACCAATTGTACTGTATGTCGTATCACACTACAAGAATGCAAGGACCACTGGAAAAAAAAATCTGCCTTTTCAAAAATAACAAGTCATAGAGGTATAACTTTAATGATGTCGTACCACGCTTGTACTTGTGTGTGATATAGTTCTGCTTCTGATCCTGGACCCTCACATTAGAAATACCTGTCGGTATGCCAGTGAAAATTTTCATCCATCCGGATGATTTCATTCTCGGGGCACTGAATTCATATCAACTGGACTACAGTAAAGCCTCGTTTATCGCTGGGGTTACGTTCCAAAAAGAACCCGTGATAAGTGATATCCGTGAAGTAGTCATCAATTATGACATATACAATACTGTATTGAATGACAACAAAGATTCTACCTTTTTCGGGCCAATCATTTCAAAAAAAAAAACTGCAGGAAAAAAAAAATCATAGATACAGTGAAGCTGTCAACGATGAATCATGTTACAGCGAGGGATTTCTGTATTCCGTTTGCCTCTCATCCAAGCAGGCTTCCATCACTTCATACTCATTGGCTATGAACATTTTATGTTAATACAGATCTCATTTGGTAGTGCTGGTGTACCGAATGCTGCGGGCAGCAGGTGTGTAGTTTAAGTGACGCCCAGCAAAGTTGTCAGGCTTCTGCCTTTGCTGCACTGACAGTTTGCTTATTAGCGGCAAGCAATGCTCTGTCAGAGCTACGCGGGGTTGTTATTTCCCCCTGATGACAAAGGGTATGACTTGAAGGAGGTGCTCACTCAGGTCATCAACTCCACAAGACAGTGATGACATTGTACACCTGGTAGAGTGTTTGAGAGCTTGCTGCGCAGCAACGGATTGAAAAAATGGCCAGCTTCAGCTCAGGGAGTTCTAACCTCAGTGTCCGACATGAAGCAAATGTTAGATGACAGCGTATGATATCATGCAGAGGTTTTTTTTTTTTTAAATAAAAAAAAAAAATAGGCCAACAACTACTGAGGGAGGGCTAAATCCCACCAAAACAATTCTTTTTATTTTTTAAAATTTCGATCTCTACCATACAACAGTGATAATTGTTATTGTTGTCTTGGGATTTTAACGTCTAGTTGTCGAATGTTAGAACCCTGCATGCCATTACGTTCATCTCAGTCTGTTTCTTTGTGGATGATTAACAGTACAATACCAAGAAGCCAAAAATACGGTCATGCCAGTCAGAGTTTTACGCGCCTGATAAATTGTTTCTTCAAAGATGAGGTGGCTGGTCCGGGATCTACTCAAAGACATTGTCTCAACTCTGCAAGTAGTCAATTGAAAGCGATGTAATCACAGGATTAGTTGGGGACTAAATGGCTTTGAGGAAAAGATGTAGTCATAAAAGACAAAACCACCGAGGTGGGAAATTATTCAGTCTGTATTGATTATGACCTCCTTCTATGGCTCATTACCTGATGTCCTTATTTCTTGAATTTCTGAAGGTCTGATGTAGGATGTTGGCTGAGAGGGGATCATTCAAATGAAAGGCGATTGCCTGTTTGTCCCATTTATGTCTTTTCAAAAAGTTCTACCTTATCCGGAGGTTATTTAAAAAAAAAAATACATGGCCATTTTAGCTATTCTGTGTCATCCATTAATGTAACCTATTTTCAAAATATGTAGGACATTTCTCGCCTTTTCTTTCCTTTGTCATCGAAGAACCTAAGAAAAGTAGGTACGCACTTCGGGTTTGAAAAACATTCTAGTGTGGAACAAGCTGGATGCAACACCAAAAGAATTCTAAACTATAAAGAGTTGATTTGGGAATATGAAAGCTCCAGTAGCATTTCAATATGTGTTGAAAAAAAACAAAAAAAAAAACAAAGAGAAAGCAGCTGTGCAGTATTGTTTTGAAGGCCTATGCTAGCTTTTGCACAATATGCTTTTCGGTAACTTCACCGATGAAGACAACATTTTGAGACACCGATGAGCCTATGAGCATACTGTATGTTTAGGCACATGACACATATCTTATTGATACCATTTTGATTTAACATTGGTGTAGGCAGCCTATGCTCATGTCCCCCGGATGCAAGCATCAAAAGGTTACAGGATGCAAGTCAGCAAAAGTCAATGTCATTAGTTCCATGCCAAGATGACATCTGGCTAAACAACAAAGAGCAGCGATGACTTTGTTTCTTCTTCTCTTGTGGCTATCACTTAATTTAACAGGATGTGAGGACAAGGTTGTCAGCGAGCAAAGCTGCCATGGCGACACACGTGCAAAGGCTTTGTCAGCATGTAAACAGCCGTCGGAGTTCTTCCACAGGCCATCGCGAGCGGGGACTGCTAAGCACAGCAGTGGATGAGTGCTCATATGAGATTGGAATGCGTTGAACCTGAGAGACTGCATGGAATGCTTTTGAGAAGGAACAATTCTGACAAAGTCAGCAGAAATTAATCAGAAGGCCCACCGCTGGTCTTTAGAGGGAAGCTTCGCGGGTCTGAGAATTTGTTGGATAAGCAGGAACTTTCTTTCTGGCACGGTGAGAAAATGGCGGCGTTCAACACGATATAAAAGTTACATCGACATTTTTATGTGAAGCGAAAAATTTGGATATAATCATCATTACCATTAAATCCTATAAATCTTTCCTTTATGATGAGCATAGTAACACAGCATGGCTAAGACAAAATTCACTCAACAATCAAAAACTGCCCTGATGTCATTTTAGTGTGCAGTTAAGTGTGTGCGAATTCTGAAAACAACTCTGCGCAGAAATATTATTGCAGATGCTAGTGCTAACCAATGATGAGCAGTGATCTTTTTGCTGGTCTACAAGACCACTAAAACAGGGAACAATCTCCTCAATATACAATCATCATGATGTTGAAGATATTATTTTGGGTCTAATGTATAATTATTGACTAAATACCCGAGAGAAGTTATTGGGTGTACATATCGTGTTCGCATATTTGGTACGAATCATTTTTTGGAAAGGCAGAATCCATCTCTTGCTGATTCATTTCCTGCATGTTGCTTTTCCTCCTCTTTTGAATCAAATCTAGTCAATTGTGGCGTTCAAAGAAGTATTTTTGAAGGGAACGGTTGAGAGTTTGGGTTGAATGATGAGCAAAGTGCCGCAAGGTCGCATTCTCATTCAGGAATGGTTCAAGCTGATTATATGGATCTTTCATTTCATTAATCATTTCGTGAATAATTCACATCACTCAACATTTCAAATGCAGCGGACTCTATTCCGCTCCGATGTGAAACCTATTACCCAAAGAGGCTCAGCATATATTAACACACAGTGCTAGCTGTCTGTCTCTCCGAAGATACCACTGCTGAGGTCACAATAATGTAGCTTTACAAGTTTCTTTTTACCGAGTGGGTAAAATGGGAAACTCTCAGCTCACAAAAATAAGCAAACAAACAAATCACACGCACACACACACACACACACACGCCTGCCCGGTGGTCCAGTGAGCGCGTCGACCTCACAGTGCAGAGGTACCGGGTTCAATTCCAGCTCCGGCCTCCCTGTGTGGAGTTTGCATGTTCTCCCCGGGTGGGTTTTCTCCGGGTACTCCGGTTTCCTCCCACATTCCAAAAACATGCGTAGCAGGCTGATTGAATACTCTAAATTGTCCCTAAGTGTGGGTGTGGGCGCAGATTATTGTTCGTCTCTGTGTGCCCTGCGATTGGCTGGCAACGGGGTCAGGGTGTCCCCCGCCTACTGCCCGAAGACAGCTGGGATAGGCTCCACCCCCCGCGACCCTTGTGAGGATTAAGCGGATCAGAAAATGGATGTATGGATGGATACACACACACACACACACACACACACACACACACACTCACATATTACAATACCTTTCTCACAAAATGTTCCAGTAAAATGAAGCGGGCAGAGGCAGGAAGGCGTTTCGTTGGCAGGTTGTTGCAGCTCATGACACGTTCCCCCATTGTGGCACACATCATCACCACAAATTTCATGCTGGGAGTGTTCTGCTGCTTGAGCGGGAGCTCCGGTTGTGTTGACACTGTTGGTCAGTCACATGAAAAAGGAGTCATCTTGATGGGCAGCATGCAAACGTCACGGTTAGTGGAAAAACACATTCAAATCCATCCATTATCACTTAAGTGCATACTAAAATGTAATAGACATCAAGGTAATTTTTGTCACATGATCAAAGTTTGAAAATACATACTAATTAAAAAAACAACAACTTTCTTTCTTCGTTTTAGAAATTGATTAACCGAGTGACAACAACTGATGTATGAAAATACTTTACCTGCATGTGCCAATGTTGCTGCTGGTGATCGCATCAGATGTGTGCAAACTTCTGACTTGGTTAAATTCAAGGATTTCAATGCAGCCGGTATAGTTGTAGAAAGGTCTTGCAGTCTAAAAGGGAGATGGGGGAAACTCAATTATTTGTTTCTCTGTTTTTATGCCAACATATACTCTTTAGTATGATCTACTTGCAACAACAGCTTTCAGTCCTTCAGAAGTGACGGCACTATGAATGGGAGTTTATTTTTTTGTTCAGGCATAACTCAATGATTTAAACATTTTTTTTTTTTGGTTCTAACACCAAATAGCCATTTAGATTTTTTTTTTTTTTTTTGTCTATACTCGTTCAGACCAGCATATTGTATGTACCTGCCATAGTTTTCAACCACTTTGGGATTAGTGCAGTAACGGGAGCAAGTGTGTAATATTCAAAGAACAAAATGTTGCTTTCACAGAGCAGTGATCACATGTAATTGATGTATTCTTCTGTTATTCCAAGGATCTTTCCTTGGCGACACATGAGTGTTTTTCAAATCTTACCTGAATGGCCAAGTACCGTTGTGGCAGACCTCCAATGAAGATGTGGTTTGTTCTTTGCATCATGTGTTCCAACCTCCAATTACTTGTTGCACTTTTGATTTTTTCATGGCCGGAAAGAAATATTTCCGCCTCACAAGGAGCCAGGTGTTGTCTAATAAGAAGTGAGACACATAAGGGCAATTATGGAGGTGGTGACACTGACAACCTTGTAAGTCCACTCCAACTCCTTCCAAACACGTACTTCTTCAGAAGACAGACACCACCTTTGTTTTAAAGAAATGCTGAACAAGAGCAGATTCTTGTTGACTATTTTTGGTAAAGAAACAAATGATTTTTTGCAGATGATAGATTAGGTATGTTTCACCAAGTCTGATCCATACTTCCAGCTTGAAAAATGGCGCAAATAATTCTAATTCAAATGTTCAAATCGTTTTACTGTGCTTCTCATCCCTACTAGCTCAGAGGAAGATGGCCAGGACATTTGTGTAAGTATCCATTTGTCGTTGGATGTTTTACTTCAGACTGTTTACACATAAACAAAAAGCCATTGATATTTGGCTTTTGGGTGATATTTCAGGATGAACCAAAGATGCACTGTAACCTTTATAAGTAAACTTCATTTGACCTTTAAATGCTGCTTTTGAATGCAAATTCATTGGTCCAATATTAATTTAAGTTTTGCTAAAGGATCGTACAAGCCATTCAGAAATACTGAGTTGAAACTGTACCAGATGGCAAAAGGGGACGTCCTTATGATGCCCTGTGGACCATGGTAATGTTCTAATTTAGTTGAACTCTCTCCCCTAATTAAGTTAGCATAACAGGTTATACTTTGCTGTCTGAACCGGTGTTGTTTTTTTATTCTTTACATCACAAAACATGTCTCAACAGGATCTTGTAGACTTAATATTCAATATTTTTGGTGCTAAAGATTTCAAATAAAAGTCAAAATGTGACAAAGCAGGTTGTTATGGGATCGCAATATCTTCAACAACGTCATCCTATTTCAGCGACCCCCCCCAGCAGCTATCTTTTATTCTCAAAAAACAAACGTCCACTTGAAACTACATAGGGGACCAGATAATTACATCAGTGCAGATTCAGCATGAACCATCAGTCGCTTGAGGGTACACAGATTTCCCCCCTCACCTCCGAATAACCATTGTTACTTGAAGGGAAGTAAGGAAGTCCACGCAGCAACTGAGGTCGATTTGCTTGGCCCTCACTTTCCAAACGGTTGCAGATGCCGGCTAAATACTCGGAGAACCAACTCCTACCTTCCTCAAGAGCTTGCTTGCGTGGAACGGCGGGTAATTTAGACGCAGTCTGAGAGAAAGGCCTGGCCAGCAGCCAGAGGGCAGTGTGCACACTGTCCTTGAGAAGCCAGCCCCAACGGCCTTTCTACTTAACATACTGAACAGAGTCTTTGACGGGAAGATATATTAAAAGTCTATAATGAGTTTGGCCGTGAGGATGACCATGGTGTTGTAGCTTTGGGTCAAATCAGACAAAGATGGACGGAGTCCGCAATCATTCAATTACAAATTATTTGGTTTGTGACACCTGCCCGCATTTTTCCATGCTCCTGGCCCTCTAGTTATGACAGCTCTTGCTCTCAAAATGTCTCCAAGGGTTCAGCACAGCACATTATGATGGATTCTTACCACTGTTGTATTTTTCTTGTAGCAAAAAACAGGGGGTGGGGCCTTGCAGCTCTTTAACCCGATAGGCCAGTTTTTGCGCACTTACCGGTACCGATTTAGGGAAGAGTTGTTTCTTCGGGGGGGGGGGGGGGGCCCCCCAACTGTTTTGTTTTGTTTTTTTTTTTTTGATAACAACTTCTATTGTATGACGTGAATTTTTTTTTCTTGTTTCTCCTCCACTTGTTCTTCAATCGTGCCTTCTTAAAAAACCATTTACTCCAAAGCGATTCATCTTTAATGTACAGAAAGTAATTCCATTATTCTTCGTCATTTCATGGCAACCCTGAAATCAATGAACAATGCCATAGGGCATTTGTATACATACACTCACATTTAAACTTGAGTATTGTTGTATCTTTAATCTATATGCAATGTGCATTTGCAAAAAGAATCAGAGCAGCGTCATGGAAAAAAATCCCATTCTTTTTCACTTCTATTATGTGAAGGAATGAATGCTGCGGCAGCCTTGCTATTTTATATTAAATTGTGTTTTTCTCATGACTTTCCCTGCCTCTTGTCACCACAGTTCATAGCAGCAACACTTAATTGGAGGTTGTGTGCCTTGCTCAAAGACATTTCAAACCGGTAGCTCATCAGCAACTAGTTCTCCTTTCAAGGTTTTGGCCTTTTGAGAAAAATGACTGTGTGGATTTTCTATCTCAACTACGATAAAATTAAAGCATAATTACAAAGCGACTGCCAAAATGGCTATTACAGTTGTGGAATTCGCAATATTACTGAGAAGTGATGGTAAGATTGTGCCAAGGCTAAAGAAAAATATCTCAAAGGGTTTGCAGCCTTACTTTAAATCTTTGAAACATTGATTTTGTGCTTGGCTCCTGATCGCTAATGTTTTCATCATGAAACACTGCAAATTAAGACTTGAGAACACCCAATAAAGCATTCCCGCTGATCACTAATGCTTTTTAATAGCAGCATTGTGATCCGGTTCTTTGAAAAGTAGGCTTATTGGTAATAAACTATCAATGACTTCTCTTATGGCCCCTTGATTTGACTTACAGTCATTCATTTGAACAAACGCTTCAATACTTGACGCAAGTGGATGACACGGGATGCGAAGTTAATACCACCTGAGGCGCTAATACCATTTGAACGTTACGTAAAGCTAAGAAGCTTATGATACAAATAGGCTTCTTCTTCCTCATTAAATGAAATATAGCCAAAGGCGGATTTGTTTATTTGCAAACCCAAGTCAGAACTGTAAATTGAAATTACCACTCCTAAACACAAGCTATTCAGGGATGCGATAATCCCTCACAGTGCGCTGGAACTCATTGAAAAAGAACATACCTGATGTTGACAATGTGTACTTGGCCATCATCAACGTGAATTTGTGTGTTAATCCAAGCGCCATCATCCCCTCCATTGCAGGAAAAGACATACTGAAAGTAAATTGTGACAAACGTAACTGCGGACGTGAGCGTCTTCTCGGTGAATTACTGTTTATATCATTGACACAAAATTGTGTTTCATTGACACTGAAAATAATTTGGAGTGATCCATGAGTAAAGTTTTTTTTTCCCCCCATTCAGAAATTCAAACTAAATTTTACAAGGAGAGTTTTTGAGTACATTTTACTTGCTTAATATTATTAGTTCATTAAAAAAAAACAAAATAAATAATAATAATAATAAATAATCACTCAAGCATTGAGGAATGAGGCCACAAGATTTAGGTTTGAAGATGGCCGCTGTACTAACCTAGCCATGCCACTCCTCCAGTGACCTAGTTCATTGCTGGTGTCAGGCGGAATACTCGTAACCCCCAAAAACATTTTGGGGGTCTCATTTTGGACACCGCAGCGCAATCGCTAACACACAGTAGTTAGTGGCATGACTCTGGTAGTCGATTGACTGTTGCCATGTTCCTCAACCCTTGAGTGACTTTTTTTTTTGTAACATTAAGTCATACTATGAAAACAAATCAAGAACTCCCTGTGTAAAATTGACTTTTTTTCTCCAAGTAAAAAACACTCCATTTTATTTTTCACCTGACAGGCTGTCATTGTCTTAAAGTTTTACCTGTAGCGTCCCATCCATGACAAAGAGTTCCATGAAAATGAAATCTCTCTTATCTGGTCCTTGGCCCACATAAATAATAGTTCCACGGTCTGCTTGCGTCTGAAATCTCACAGTTACATTGTTGATGATGCTGAGGTGGATCCCTTCAAACTCCAGGTAAGAATTTCCAAAATACTGGAGATATTTTGAATCTAAGGGGATACAAACACAGATGTTGAAGTGATGGAAAAGGTTTGTGCATCTTTATAGTCAATTCTACGGAGATCCACTATTCATCCCTAAACGGAAAAATGAAAATCATTTGTCCACCCACTCCAAGCGTAGAGAGGCGGTTGCTCTGGGTGAGTTTATGGAACTTCACGGAAAAGCTTCCATGCCTAGCTGAGGCGATGTGAGACAGACTTGAACTCGCTGTTTGTATTCCTCCGAGTCTCTTGCTTTGTTGCAGCATAAAATGTAAATGTAACCTGTATCGATCAAATAACCTTGGCAACAGAAATAGAATACAGCTGAAAGACGCATAAGAGGAAAACGCACAAAACTTGAGCAAGGAAGCAAGGGTAGATTGCTTTTATTTGAAAAGAAGTGCAAAGAATCCTTCGACATTATGCAAGTGCCTTTTTGCTCACTGTCGAGGCAAACTGAAACCAATCTTATTCACTGGGAAAGCTGCGAAGCATGCAAATGACACAATATCAGGAGAGAGAAGCTGAATGTAGTCATGCACATTTATTACATGCCGGGTTTTATAGCGGAATAACTTGTCTTGTATCATCCGCGAGAAGAGGCAATTATGGGACACTAGTGTTCAAGTATCCCTTGCCCATAATCTTCTTGAGCATAGTGACGCAGACCACCTTAAACGACAGGCTCGGACTGGGACCTCATGCTCAATATTGTTCACATTTGAAAGAAAGCCTGCAATCTGTTACTGAGAAGCCAAAGCAGGGAGTGTGTTCTATTGAAAAGCATTTGTGGATGCACCTGTCTCATGCTCTGTCTGTTCCTATCTGGGGAGAGGGAGGGAAAAAAAAACATTCATTCCACTAGAGAGATCAGCAGCGCTCCTTTTAAGTTGTTGCCATGATTAATCGAGCAAGCACAAGTGAGACCGCTATCAATATTTGTTACACGTCAAGTCCTAATAGGTTGGCAAGCACTTCTGATCTGACAGCGTGCTCCTCAGAGCATTTCACGAGCAAGTTTACCTAAATACCCCATTTGGACTGGGAAGCTATAGGACCAATACCCTGAGGAAAAACCACTGACAAAAAAAAAAAAGAAAAGAGAATCACAAGGAGCATACCCACTCTGATCTGTGAATTAATGAGCATAAACCAACAATGCAATGATGCAGCGCTGCGTTCTTCACTCCTGGCAATACAAGTTGCCAGTGCTGATGATGTAAAATTACCCCCCAGAGACAAAGCTTTTCATTCATTTTAAAGCCTTGTTAAGTCTGAAGTAGTCTTTGATGCAGTATGAGCCTGCTGCAAGGAAGTAGTCCCGTAACTAATTAACAGCTAACTCCAGCTTCACCTTCAAAGGTCCTCCCTTTCTTTTACCTGTTCGATGGTTTTCTCATATTTGTACATACATTCACAAGTCCCAACATTACGAACACTTGCACTTGAAGAGCTGTGGCTAAAAATGTCCAAAAAGAGAATAACCCCCAGTTTTGATACAAGCATATGTTCATTGTTGGTTTTTTAAACTGCTGTGTATCATACAGAGAAGCAGCTGTCATCTGACTAGAAGATTGACAAAACATGAAAAAGGTTGTACACCTCTGAAATTAACAACCAAATAATCAGAGACGGGCATTCCGCCCCTGAGACGGAACGGTTCGTCCGTCCTGGACTGACAGCCGTTTTTGGAACAGAGGATGAGAACTTTTTTTTTTTTTTAAAAGGCCAGCAGTGCGTTGAAATAAAAACGCACACCAGATGTTTAAAAAACTCCAAAACACTTTGGGGTTAATACATCAAACCATGTCATTCCCAGTCTATGGTACCATGAAAAAAAATGTTCCCCAAGTCCTGATGGTCAATCATGAGGCTGATTTGCTTAAGGATGGTATACACACAAAGATAAACTCGCCCATTTTGATCCTGATTTCTCCCTTCCAACCGAAGTCAGCAAGCGTCCGTTTAACATCATCATTATGTTATGGATTAAGATGTGGTAAGAGAGATTGAAGACAACTGTCAATGCCTACGATCATAAATGGAAAACAAAAAAACACAAAAAATGGAAACGGGTGTGGTTAACAATGAGGCTGGCAAAATAATAGATTTTGACACAAAACAGAACCAATCAGGAAGTGAACTGGACATCGGAAATGGAGGAGCAACTGTTTTAAGTTGGTGTTTTTTTTTTAGTCATTCACCACAATGGAAATGAAAAGAATTTCTGTTGGCAAGATATTGCCCCTGCGCTGTATTTACCAGATAAGCTATCATCTGGCCGACTTTCTTGTACTTGTTTTTCTTTGTCTTCTGTAGCAGTCTCAGTACTACACCAGATTTCCTGCTCGGGGACAAGACCCTTCATTGTTGATAGTGTGTTAAGTCAAGTGTCTGTGCTGAGTTCTAAAGTACCGCATGCAAGCGGGAACAGCAGCAGTAACAACACAGTGGGATTTTTCTTTACCTATCGTGTGGGGCCTCTCACATTTGAAAAATGGTCAAGTTGTTTCAAATTTTGACCAGACAGTCAACAAGTAGTTTCATATTTTGCCCTTTATTTGAGTTGCGATTTGTCGTTTAATAGTGACACACTGATGAAATATTGTTTTTGTGTTGCTGTGCAAACCACTATTAATTTTCCCTTGGTTATATAGGAGAGTTGCAGTGTCTGTAGGGACATTTAGCCTGTGCATTAATCTGTCCCCTGCTTTTAATAGATGTGATTATCTAGAGCAGATGTATCTAAATCCATTTTCCACACCACTTGTAGTCATTTGGGTTGTGGGTTAGCTGGAGCGTTTCCCAGCAGACTTTTGGCAAGAAGTGGGGTAGAATTTGGGCTCGTCGCCTAACAACCATTCAAACTCTCATTCACGCCTATGGGCAATTTTGAGTCGACCTTACATGTATGTTTTTAAAATGTGGGAGGAAGACAAGGTACCCAGGAAAAAAAACCCTATGCATGCACGAGGCGAACACGCAAACTGCCCACTGAAGTCGAAATTCCAAAGCCAAACATTCGAACTGTGGCAGACATGTGAACCGCACGGTCGTTAATGCTGGTGAAAAGCATCCAGTTTTTTTTTTTAATACTATGGCTAAGGTTATATTTACAGGTTTAAAGCACAATGGATAATGTATTGCCGTTTTTCCTCGACTGTAGTGTGTTCAAAGGCCTTTACTTCTTTTAGAAGAACAGAAATTTCTCTTAGTGGGAATATGAATCTTTTAGAGCCAGCCTAATTACATCGTGTCCTGCTACCCGTCCATTAAGGAGGTGAAAGAATTGATATAAGTCATACATTCATGACATGTCAGTCACGAAGGTGAACTGTACGATGTGTCAGTGAGTGAATGTCAGGTTATAACACAAGTTATTCCACTGTGGAAAAACACAAAACAAAACACGTATATATTTTGTCAGATGTCGACCCTACCTGATGACTTTTAATTGACGTAGACTTTATGTCCCATATATTGAAAAAAAAACCCAGGGTGTTTTGTCCTTGATTTATTGGTTAATGTAATGTAATAGACCGACTGATTGAACTTGTCACACGACAGAGATAAAATACTGCGAAGGACCATTCTTGGACTCTTGCAATTTCTGTGCCTTGAGGGGAGGCAAAAGGTCATTCATTACCTTCAACATTTGCTGGAAAAAAAAAAAAATCTCTTTTTCTGAAGATAGCTGACAGAGGAAACCTCAGCTGACTGTTATGTGGTAGAAAACTGCATCCTCAGTGTAACTGTTCTTTTTGCTTCGTAATTCTATCCTTGGACTTCACACCCGTCTATTTATGTTTTTGTTGAATGGATTTAAATAATAAATATTACTCATATTTCAGAGGACTTCCTTCAGGCTGTCCTTCATTCATGCACATTCCAAATGTAAGCGTATCGGTGACTCAGCGGAGAAATATTCTACAATCAACACATTTCCAAACTCCAAGTATTTCAAGTAGATGGAAGTATTTGACGTACGCACGGTAAGATTAAAAAATATCGACGAAAAGAATGACTGGCTGTTACTATGAGAGAGCATTTCATTTAATACAGGTTATGCTGTGTGCTTATTATTTTACTTACAGCATAGTGGGGTGTGGACCTGTAGTAGTGGTGACTGTTTTTGATGCGGCGAGTCCCTTGCATGATTTTTTTTTTTTTGTTTATTCCCCCCTTTTTAATGTACCACTACACTACCAGCGCTTTCCAAGTACTTCAATAAATTAATGATTAAAAACAGTTTGAAGCAGTGAAGTTCTACTGCACTGGAAATAAACTAAAAATTAAATATATTGTTGAAAAAAAAACCCATCTGATCGATCGATAAATCAATCAATCATATTTAACTGTTGTCATTATAAATCTTATACGACTAAAGCCCTTGTGTTGGACCTTATAGCTGTCATATTATGCAAGTGTATAAGGCTGAAGAAAGTCAGCATGTCTTAACGGCATTCAGTTTTTCTCCACCAGCGCTGGCCTGTGAGATCTCCATCGACTCTCAAACTGCAGAGCACAGCATTGTGTGCATAGCAGCGGCAGAAAAGGAAATAGACGAGATTGGTCTGTGAAATAAGGTTTGCTGTGGTCATCGGTGCGAATCCAAGTCACTGTACCTCAAAGCCTCTGTTTAAATTCCTATTGACGTTTTTGTTTTTTTAAAACACGTTGCAAAGCCGACTGGGTTTTGAAGAAGCACCATCTATCTCTATTTCAAGCAACACCAAGGGCACTGCTTTCTTTTAGATTGTGACCTAGTTAGATTAACTTGCGGGTTTCCATGCCCCGAAACCTTAAAACTACTTCACTATCTTTATAAATTTGTCAGTATATGAGATGCTTTATGAACGCTCAACACATGTAACTCTGCACTAACACAGTTCACCCGAGGCCCAAGAATGGATCAGGTGTAACTGGGATGACTCCATTATGTTTGGCCCAGAGTGAATTTCAGTGTGTCACACTGAATTGGTTCGAGCTCGTCTGTGTTCAATAGGTCCGCTTAACTGCTCTGCTGCTTTGTGAACAGTTTCAAAGCGAAGGCAGACCTCATCTGTCAAGAAGAAACAATCCGCCTCCTCTCTCACGCAGCGCAATTCAATCGCAATCACGTATGAAATATGTGATCTGTACCTTTCATCTGTCTGATAAAGCGTGTTGAAATGATTGGACTTTTATCTTTTGGATGAGATCAACATTTTTGCAATATGTTTGCCAACCTATTCAACAAGAGTCTGGTCAGGAGCAATCAGGGTTAGAGACCTTGCCTCAGTGCTGTTCCTTATCAAGATGTACCGGCCTGATCCAGGGGATTATGTCGACGACCCTTAGATACTGAACACCGGATCCTGCTTCACATTCTAAACAACCCCCTATGTACCCAACTCAAATATATATACATAGAATATGCCAAGACACCTTTCCTGATTTGAAATGATTGATGGGTTTTACTTCTCTCCTGACAGGCTTTGACTGATAGCAGCTCATCTTGCTCAGTACTTTACCCAAATTGTTGGCCATCACGTCAAAGCTATTGCTCACCAATGTGGCGTTTTTCTTTAAGTGCCAGACACCTTTACCAAAGGCCTACCAAATTACAAAAGTCAACCATATCTATCCACCTATCCATGTGACATCTCATGTTGATGCAACATGCCGTTGAGAGGTGCGAGGATTTCTCCCAATGCCAGTGATAATTACAGAAGAACAATGTCCACACTCATTCAACACCACATTAGGCACTTGCATAATCTAAAGAGAGCCAATACAGGACATTGATTCAAACGTACTGTACTGTATATGCACAGTTCACAAATTAAAATATATATTTTAACATCACATATTCAAATTATAGTCTCATAGCACACTGTGACCTTATTGAGACAGCAACAACATGAAAGAAATCAACATCCTTTAATTTGAATGAGGCTATTTTTCTCGTAGCATCGATCGAAGAGTTCATTGTAGGTGAAATGCGTCTAGATTCTTTAGGTGGACTCAATACAAGTCATTGCCTAAGGCTCGTTGAATTTTATAATGCCAAAATAGGAATGACATTTTTATTGGGAAACATTCAACTCAGAGACTCGAGAGTCTCCACTCATTCCAAAGTGACCCAAGAACAGTCAATGGACAGGCGATGGAAAGAATTGATTTGTTTAGAATCCGCCCTCAGTTTTGTGGCTGACAATTTGCAGATGACCTGCTTCCTCATTTCCACCGCTTGTTTGCTGCACCAAAATAAATAAAGAGAAAATACACAAGACGGTGCGTCAACCCAAGCACCGCACGAATCTGAAATAAAGCGAGCAAAAAATGATGCAACCTTTCCTGCATATGAATCAAAAATTAAACGTTTCAATCCCAAAGGCAACATAAGGACACCGCAGCAGTTGCGTGCCTATAGGACCCGCCGCCAAGTGTGGTTTTGTACCTGTGGATTGCGCAGCTGTAGACGAGGGGCTGAGTGTTGGTGTTTGCACACGTGGTGCAAAGCCGCGAGTGATGTTCTTGAGTGCAGTCTCCAAGGGAATAGCATCCGTTGCAGGAGGGAGGCAGGTGACCTTGTTGATGCCATCTACACAAGAATATGCTTCTGGACATGGATTTAAGAGGCAATCATCATAGTTGTGCTCACAGTTCTTCCCCTGTGTACACGGAATAAACAGCCCGTAGACGCGAGTGTGAAATGAAACACCAACTGTATGTAAGGTTAAGGGTATGAAAAATAAAGTTCACGTTGAAAAAGTCATATTTAATTATGCAAATGTATGCAAATGTAGTCTTATGCAGAAAAACTAATTTAATGGGGCTAATTTCCAGTGCATGTGTATTTGTTTGTTAGAATAGTTTCACAAAAAGTACCGTGCCAATTTTGAAAGAACTTTTGGAGAGGGGCGGGGCATAAGCCAAATAGCACTGTGAGGCAGTCGTACTAAGCAAACGTGCCCTTGTTAATTTTTTTTGGGGGGCCCGGGGGGATTCTTTCATAATTGTCATGAGAATATTGCCCTGCGATTGGCTGGCAACCAGTTCAGGATGTACCTCGCCTACTGCCCGAAGACGATAGGCTCCAGTACGCTTGCGACCCTCGTGAGGATATGCGGCTCGGTTAATGTATTGTTATGAGAATATCACACCAAAAAACACGATTTAGAAAGGTTTCTTTCAATTTGACGAAACAAATACGACTCCTCGTCTAAAAATGGTTTATAACCCTCAGAATGCATCAACGCGGATGACAAACGTATCATGACTTCATTTGCCGCTGATCCAAATTATTCTTGTTCACCCATGCGAAACATTTGCACTCTAGACGTTGTCAATTCATTATAGCACCAGTATTTTATCAGCCCAATAAAGTAATGTTATTGCTTCATCATAAGGGTGATTGTCGAGGGAGTTGAGGGTGCAGGAGGATAAAGGTTAATTCTTAAAAAAAAAAATAAATAAATAAAAAAAAATAAAAAATGGAGAGGCAGAAACAGGTGGGGAGCCTCACCACAAATCCAGGACGACAGAAACAGGTGTAGCCGTAGCCTGGATCACCCTGAACGCATATCCCCTGGTTGCAGGGCTGTGGAAGGCACTCATTAATGTCATCCTCACACTGAAGGCCTGTCCAACCTGCCAGGAACAAAAGCCCACAGAGTGCACTGGTGAGCCCTGGCTCTCCCACTTCCACCCTCTGAAGTGAATATCAATCAGATGCTCCCACATCGATTTTCTTCTTTTCGGGTTCACACTTAGGCACACACAAGAAAAGGCTTTCACTAAAGCGTATGGGCGCGACATACATTTTAATGAGGTGCAGGAGTATCGTCTATTTATCACTTTATCTTCATACTGTATGACTAAATCAGTCCCCAGAGAAAAGCAAATGACTATGAGAAGGTTCGGAAGAATAGTAACTTTACAGGCGTGATTGGAACCTTTCACACCACCTCAGTCAGTTGCCTTGAGTCTAACATGAATGCTCTTTAAGTTTTGAAATGCTTTACAGATGGCAAAGTGCACTCTGGGAAAGTGGGCTGGAGGAAGACAACGTTGCAGTCGTTTCACGAGTAACAAAAGGGTTCACGTAACAGACAGCGTGGGCTCGTCGGCTAGAAGTCACCTCCACAGCGTGTGAGCGACTTACCTGACCGACAGTGGCAGACGTAGCTATTAATAAGATCCTGGCAAACGGCATCATTGTGGCAAGGAGATGAGCCACATTCATTAAGTTCCACTTCACATAAATCCCCCGTGAAACCTGGCGGACAGCTAAGAAAACAAATGATGTTGGTAAACGTGGGAGGATGTCAGTTCCTTCAGGTGGCTGTGACCAGGAGATGCTTCATTATTTATTAGAAAGCTTGTTGGCTGTTGTCTTATTTTTTTCATGCAATTCATTTCGGCTTATTATTAAGATTTGTTTGGAATTTTTAGCAGGATACCTTACGTACAGGATTCATCTCTATTTGTCTTGCTATCCATTTCTCCACTCAGTTAAATATTTAACCATTTGTCCCAAGTGCACATGCTTTTTTCTTTTAATATATACAGTCGTAAAAAATGATGTCTTGTTATTATTAATTTGTTTGCCACATTTTTCTGGTGGACTTGAAGAGTTTGGTGATATATCAAAATCCACACGCTTTGGTAAGAACCCCCTGTTTGACCTCAGGAAGCATTTTAACCACATAAATAGCACCCTCTTCAATCATCAATTTTTGCTGCTGACTTTTTTTTTCTTTTTTGCACCTGTGTTGTGAAGTGAGCTGTGTAAGGTATTTTTGATTTCATCATGGACAACAGCAGCAAGAACGAATGAGCAAGTTTTTCATGCATGACCTCCGAGCTGGCCATACATGCACAGAGTGCTTCTGAGGCTATTTGCTGGACAGGTGCAGACCAGAATATGCATCACTTCAATCATCTCGTGCAAATGAAACAATCTGCGTTTTTTTTCTCTCTCTCTTTTTTTGTTTTTTATGACCAGGAAAAAATATTGCAGGAGTAAATGTAATGTTTCTTCTACCCCACATTTACTTCGTATATGCATTCCCCAAAACATTTTTTCCATTACCTTTTTTCATTCCGTTGATGAAATAGTATTCTTAAATTGGATATCATCGAAGTTGTGAATGTGTCCCTCTAGTTTGTGTCGGACTGCACGTTTATTTGAAAATGCCAAGCAAAGCGTGCATTACCTGCCTGTAATACACATTCACTCCCATAAACTTACCTTGAAGTGAATATGAAATTGCAGTCCACTAAATCAATATCGTATGAGAGCTGTGGGCTTTTTGAAGTCATGTTTGTCACGGAGACATTAAAAACGTGACACAGACCATATAGAAGCATATAGCACAAGGTCACACAAAGTAATTAACTGTAGGAGACCGGGCGGGATGCAGAGTCCTACCTCACTCTTACCACAGACAACATATATTTAGATGCGTGTCATCACTCAAGTGACACAAAGACTGCAATTAAATAGTAATGACTGGCTTGCAGCATACCCGAAGCACCGGTGGGCGATGTGATTGAATACACACACCACAGCTCCACTCAAAATGTACTTTTAATTGGTGACAGACTGAACTGTGCAAGCAAAGATGTCAGTGGAACAGTCAAGGTTCTTACACCTTATCTGAGGTGAAATTCAAGCACTTTAACTTTTTTTTTAAGGTTGTCTCGGTTTAGAATGATTATTCCAAGGCCACAAACTACATTCTGTCTCATTGCAACATTCAGAGAATCCATAAAAGGAAACGTATATTCGTTTTGTGTACAGGGATGTATTATTATCAGCTTTGAAAACACTTTCTTTCATAGCCTTACTGTACTGCCATTGGTCATTCAAAACAATCATGAATCATTCGGCATGGCACCAATGACTCGCCAGTTAACTTTCTCACACACCCTCCATACAAGTTTCACTGCTTACAATAGCAAATTAAATGTTTTCAAGAGCAACCATATCAACTCACCTGCAAGTAAAGTTGAACCCTTCGCCATCAATACATGTAGCACCATTCAAACAGGGATTGGTCACACAGTCCTGCAGAGAAATATACAGTACATCAAATATAGTATAATCCGTAAGAGGTCACAACAAAGGTACAAAATATTATCTGAGGCAGTAAGAAATAACTGCATATTTGTTTGCTCACAGGCGGAAATAATTTATAGACTCGGCGATAAATACAATTTGACAACATATTCGACACATGATTGTGGACAACAATCTTATCACCAATGCTCCAGCTAACACAACACGAAAGGTGTCTGGGCTGGTCCACTACTCTTCTCGACCGCAACCGGGCAATCAGAAGAGATTAAACTAAATGTTCAAATAGACATTATAAGAAACTCAATGCCTTATCTTTAGAGTCCAGCTGAAGCTGTGTTGTGTTCGAATCAATTACGCATTAGACTGAGCAATTGACTTTAATCAGGTATTTGTACAAAGTTTGCATGATCGTGGTACTTCGGTCCCACTATCTCGCCGGAGAGTCAATAAAGTTAGTGACACTAGAGACCACACAAAGACTACAAAGTTCTTCTTCCCGAACATTCAGCAGGTTTAATCATTGAAGTCTACTCACATCAATGTTTACTTCACATCTGCCGCCGCTCCATCCCGCCTCACAAAGACACGTGTAGGAAGAGATTCCATCGTGACAGCTAAGGTAGGCCCAGAAGCAGTGAGGTGGCGGAATTGATTTAAGTAATAAAAAATGATGAGAGTGGAGATGAAAAAGAATGCTTCTTTGAAAGCAGCTCTATTGCTGCACAAAACACATGTTGAGAAACATCTAATTTGACATCCTGAAAATCATCACGGCAATGTGGAGGGACCTTAATTCAAAGTAATTCCATCATAGCTCCTCCTAATCATTTGAAGGGGACAGAGATAAATACTTACCTCCCTTGAAAACAAGGTGCCGACAAGCATTCGTCAATGTTGGTCTCACAGTCGGGGCCAAAGAAGCCGTTGGGGCACACGCAGTGATATTGATCGGCTTCGTCGATACATGTCCCGCCATTTTGGCAAGGCATTGAAATGCACTCGTCAATGTTAACTTCACACCATGCCCCTAGGAAATAAAGCATACTTCTTTAAACAGTCCAACTCAACTGGAGAGGTAGCTATTTAGAGCTTGAAAGCAAAAGAATTCATACATTTGTTTGTTTGGAGAGCGAAAGTTAAAAGTGTAAGTCAGGATCTTCATACTCATATTCGTAAAGTCAGTGTAAAGATGAGGATGGGCAGCTGGCGGCCACTTGATTAATTGAAAAAATAATAATAAGTAAGCGGCACAAAGGAGAAATCATTTTTTTCTGTTCCAACTTGCTGAATAATGATGGAAGTGTGTTTACTTCCAGACGCGTGACAGAGAGTTTCAACACCGCCGCTCCACAATAGCACCGTGGCATTTTTCCCGATGTACCTAATTTGGTGGCCACTGAGTTTATACTGCAAGTGCAGTACATACTCTCACACGCATATTAAGTTTGAAGTGTATAATTGATACGGACGGTCTCCCGACGAAAGGCAGGTTAAGATAATATGCGATTATACAATATGAATATGAAATTATGATCCATGACTATCTCGAGGGAAACAGCACAGCCACGATGTCAATATAAAGCTTGCGTGTCTTCATGAGAATACGTCTAATCTGTTGTAGTAGTGTGAATGACAGCATTTTCAATAACATGTGAAACATTTTCACGAGTATGTATGAGAGGCTTTCAGGATTGTGTGAGTGTATTTTCTTAGTTTGTGTGAGTCATTTTAATAGTGTATGAGCAAAAATAAAAAACTCAAATAAAATCCGTCGAGCCTCTTACAGCTCGTCCCTAATTATGTGTGTGCCTTATGACCCTCGTATTCAACTGCTTCTTAACACAAATATCTAACCCCTCAGTGTATTGTAGACATCGTCAACATGATCTGCTTAATCTACACTGATTCATTTTGGCTCAGAACTATGTGCAGGATTGATAGACGTTGGCTCAACAAAAAGTACACATTCAGGGAATGAGAGTTCAAAAATGATGGTCGAGGTCAGATGAAAATGACCAGAGTGGTCAACGAAAATATCCACTCAAGAGAACATCTCTGAAAGCACAATAATTTGAACCATGAAGAAAACGCAGCAGGACACATGACCTGGTGCCACTCTGAGTTCAGAGTAGGGAACTCAAGTATCCTTTCTCTCACACACACACACACACACACACACACACACACACACACACACACACACACACACACACACACACACACACACACACACACACACACACACCCAATGTGACAATGCAAGATTGGATGAAGAAAGTTTGACAATTGAAGAGAGGAAGAAGATTGCTTGGTCTGATGCTCCTCGACCCCTGCTGCCACATTGGGATCGGAGGGTCAAACTCTAGCACAGACAAAAAACAAAAATAAGAAAATAAAACCCAAAACAAGGATCCATCCTGTCTCATATTAGATTAAGATGCTGGAGGTATGAAATTCAAGGGATTATTGACTAGATTTATTGATCAACAACATTGGGAATGCAACCTCATATCATCAATACAAAAATGCAACCAGAGAGTGGAAATTAAATGTATTTTGACATACTTACATAGTTTAAGTCAAAATGTCTTGTATCAAAAAAAAAATATCACCACCCACTTAAGCAGTTTGAGTATGTGATGTGTTTTTATTAGACTTTTTGGCGAAAAGAAAACTAACTCGGCAGATTTATCCTTTGATGCTACTCACGGGTTGTATACTGCATGCCCTTGTCAAGCTATATAATGATTATCTGTTGAACTGTATATCCCACTGATGCAGTAAACTGCTTTGTCAGGCTCATTCATTATTTTCAATGGATTGCAAAGACGTGGGTCACATTGCATACTCGGCCTTTTTGTTTGTTTGTTTGTTTGTTTAACTAGAATATATCGACGTGTGTTTTTCTTTCATTAAAAATGCTGTAATAAGTGACCTTTCCCATTAGAACTTCCTATTCCAGTTGAATAAAATGTCTCCTTCTTCCTTTTCTTTTCTTTGAAACGTGCCCGGGGATAGTTGGTTTATTATTCAAGTATTTTGGTAAAACTGTGGTGTTGTTTTATTGTTAAAGGCCAGATTCTTTTGGGCTATCATTGTATTAAAATATCTGTAAATACTTGTAATCATCAATGATAATACCGGGGACCACGACTTATGTTAGTTAGGTCTGACGGCAGTTTTTAACTAAATTTTCAGTGCAGAATCTAAAACTGATTTTCGATTGTCTCTATCACGCTAGGTTTTGGAGCAATTGGATCTCTGTTTTATTCAAAATGTGAAATAAATGAGTATGTATGTAAATGAAAAAAAAACTAAAATGGGAGAGTTACAAGAATGTAAAAAAAGAAAAGAAAAAAACAGCATAGCATTGGCACCCCCCCCCCCCCCCCCCCCCCCCCCCCCCCGCCCCCCAGTAACTTTAGAATTGCTTGAGACTTGAAGGTTATGACTTGAGACTTGCTTGCTCCTACCTCTGAAAATCAGTACAGGCTGTGTTTTATACTGTAATCAATTTGCTCTTCACAGTGGATCATATTGTCATGAAATGTGTTGTCTTGTTTGTTCTGTTTTATTCGAGTGGGCCAGGGGCAGCTACACTTTGAGTATGTTAAAGCTGCCCAAAAAAAAAGGCATTTTAGACGCTGGGATGACAATAGAAACAAATAATTAATTAATTAATTAAAATAATAAATAAATAAACATAGCATGGTCCTTGCCTTGATAAGAGGAAGCCATTCAAATCAGGTCTTATTCACATTTATGAATGTATTATCCTAAATATGTTTGGGCAAATGTTACAAAAATGAATTTTGTAATGTACTGTCTCCCTAAGTTCAGCATATTGATCATCGCGTGTAAATCTTCATCTTAAGGTTAGAGAGTTGCCTTGTTTTGCTAATCTTACGAACTGGACAGAATCCGAATTGAACTGATCTAAAATCAATTTATGGATGGATGGATGGATGGATGGATGGCAAGGTACAGAGTGTCACTGACGGTGTAGGGGTACACTTGCCTGACTCGTATGCGGGCAGTGTAGGATTGGTTCCCAGTCAGCTATGGTGTGGATGTGGGTGTGAATAGTACTCTTTGAAATGTGACCCTGTTCAGAATAAGCGGTGTTGAAAATAGTTGGATGGAAGGATGGGTGAATGGCAAGGCACCTATAAAATGATATCATGGCTCACTTGTATCCTTTACTCTTTAGCTCAAGGTCCGTCACGCTCACTTAAAACCCATGTGCTGCAGTCGATGTAAATAAGTTTATATAACGCAACATACAATTTTACAAAAATTGTAAAAGTATTATTCCTGAATATTTATTTTACTTTCAACCACTCGACATGTTCAGTGGCATCAGTGCTAAACATACACATATAGTTCTTATTTTTTTACTATGTATTTTTGCCCTCTATGGACAATAAAAGCGGTATTGTGCTATGACCAAAACATAAATATAAATCTATATAAATAAAACATGAATTGGAATATTTCATATCACACAATTTTTATGCTTTGTCTTTGATTTAAAGATGACAATACGCAAAAATCTACAAAAATTGTAGAAATTGTAACACATGGGTTACTATCCTACTACCGTAAAAAAAGAAAAGAAAAAGAAAAAAAAAAGCTATACCTAAATATTTGCTGCAAGCCAAATCATCAACTCTCATGAGTCAGTTTGACACCTCATTAGTTATCATACGGAGAAACATCCTTTAGTTTCTCACCAGCATTAACTTTAATCAGCCGGCTTCCAAACAAACATCAGCAACTGAATTAGGCATAAAGCAAGGACTGTACACATGATTGGAGGTTTTAGAGTTCTTTATCCCCAGCTGACTAAATACAATATAAAATAATTTATTAACCACACAGTTGTAAAAAGGTACAGTATCTTGTTTTTAATTGTAGCATGTGGTCTACTTTTGTCTACCTTTCATCGTTCTGAGTGCAGAGGTTACACAAATCCTCAAAGTGCAAATATCAATACACGATGGGAAAAGAAAATAAACTCCTAAGGGGCAGGGGGAAGAGGAGTTCGGGTAGATGTAGTGAAATACATAAATTGGTGTCAAAAAAGTATTCACTGGAAGATAAAATCAATGTTGCCTGTATTTCAAAGCATTCGATAGGATAAAGCTAGGAGTTAGAATTCAATAGAACGGTCAGAGGGTTGATTCAAATCTTTTTTAATAAAATGCTACAAAAGTGCGCTTCTTCACTGTAAAATCATGCACCAGTTAAGGTCATAAAACATTTGCTTTAGGATCAAGGAACTACTATGAGAGGGGTGGGAAAATAATTTATAAAAAAGGTTGTATCAGCGTTCGCATTGAGTTGAAAAGATATATTTTGATGTTATTCCTTAAAGGAAAAAAAAAAGTCCATAATGACTTTTAGTTACAGCATTAATTGTACTTTCTTTTATTTTGACTTCAGTTTAACCTTTAATTATGTTGGGGGTGGAGGTGGGGGTCAATTTTATGCCAGGATCCAGTTACCAAATAAGGCTTCTTATCCCAAAAAACGTTTTACAGGGATTAAAGAGCAGACACCTGTGTGTTCCTATGCTATATTAAAATAAAACAATGCAATGTCATTCTAAACGTTTCAGCTAAAAGATAAAAGGAAAAAAATCATATATGGAAGACAACAGAAAACAGTAGGCACGCTAGATTGAACTGATGACACGTTTCTCTTGTCATGTTCATCCAGCAGCGCAAATTCACTGACGCCGCGCTGCAACATCATCGTCCAACAATGTGCTCACCGAGGAAACCGCAACAATGTGTTGATTGCTCTGTACCGTCACTCAAGGGAAACACGCTACTTAATGACGAGTGAAGAAGAGAAAACAGAGGGTGACAAATGACAACAGCCCAAACTGTGATTCATATCAACATGATCGCCCATGAATCATGTCACCGTATTGACTCCTGACCTCAGGACTGAACGCTGCTCTCATGCATAGTTAAATAACACATGCTGGGAGCCTTAAAAGCAAAACATCCTCATTAACGATCCGACAAGTGAGATTCAGGCAGCTGCCTGGGCTGTCTCAGAGTGAGATTAACATTTTTATGGTGTATGTCGATATGGCACGAAGGGGAAATGATGTATACAACAGCACAAAACGTAGTTGTGCATAATTATGTGATTAGGTGAGCGCTTATACGAAGGCAATTACTGACTATGTGCCTTTGCGCTGGACCTGTAATGTAACAGTAAGCTTCCTTTTATTTTCCCCTCCAGGGCTCTCTCTCCAGTTGTTCGGTATACAGTCATTTCCTTTAAAGCCATTGTGGTGGATTGAAATCAACTGCATTCAAAAGACATGGGTGACAAGCTGTTAGTAAGACATGGACTCATTAATAACTCTGGAGTTATACCTTTACCATAGATATGTACATTCTATTCTGTTAGGTGTGAATGGTTAAAAGCTAAAGAAGCTGATTAAAATGCGAAACACATCCAAAAATGTCACGACTTAAAATAAACATCTCATGATTGTAATGTGACACTGCACAGTAATGTTCTGACTCATGCAAACAGGTCTGCCATTACCACACACCACTTAATGAGGCAATCAGGGACCAAGGCAATTCTATTAGATGTTACGCTCCCTATTCCAGCTTGGTGATTGTACTTTTATTAAAAAGCCCAAATTATTACTTTTTGTTGGTTTAAAGACAAAACTACTTTTGTGTAACAAACCTTTTTCTTTTTTTTTTACATGGGTCCCCAACCAAAAATACAATACTAATAGATATGCCGTTATGTATTTGTAATTTTTTTTATGTGATTTACATTATTCTGAAGACCACTTTTCTTTTAAAAGTTACCACTTACTTCTGTGCCACAGTTTACTTTTTCCTCTTCCCACTGATTCTGCAAAAACGCCAAGTTGGATTCAATTTAATGTATTACAATGCAATATTAATAAAGATGCTAACATTATTGTAAAAGATATTAGCATAGACCCTAAACACAGAGGTGACCATTCCATCAGTAGAAATGGAAGGTCCGTCAACGGTCCGTCAGTGATGGATTGAAAGAGTAAAATGGCAAAATGTCTACAAATGAGTTTTCATCGGTCACCAGAATCGTCATTAACCCGGTCTGTGTTTTAGCCATGCTAATTTTTGACTGACTACAGTAGTGCTTTAATTTTGCGGTTTGTTTACAATGCTCACTGCGAAGGGTGTTTCTGCTTCAAACATGTTGCTGGCCTGCATTAAAATCGAAAACCTTTGGAGCCTTCACAGCCTCGAAAAAGTGTAATGGAAAAGCGACCACGCAGGATGGAATCAGCACGCAGGATGGAATCAGGCTGTTTCGAGGTAGAAAAACGTCCTCTGAAAAGGGGGCTTAACTGTAGCCGGAGCGGTCTGGATGGCCTGATTGGCAGACTTCACATTGCACCCGTTGGCATTTTCAAATTTAAAGTTTGTATCATCTATTTTATGAATTTCAATGACATCCACAAATGTAAGGAAAATTCCACTTTTCCACAATTTGACGCCAGCCTCAGCTGTCACTAAATCACATCTCTTTGGTGTTTCGCATCCATTCCCGGCTTGTGTGCAGTAGGTGTGTCAGAAGTCTGCTGTGTTTGAGAAAAAAAAAAGGACTTATGCGTTACCAGGAGAAAGTGGCCATAAGTGCAGGAATTTAAATTGAAAAATTGCATGATGACAATTTCCATCACCTCCTTATTGTGTTGGGTTTCTTCATGTGTTGGAATTGATGCCAAAACAAAGAATAAAAGAGTATTGGGGGGGAAAAAAAAGTAAATGTGACTTTGAATAACCTGGTCAGACAGAATGCCAAGTCCAAAATAAAGCTGAACATTCTGGCTCACTAGCCAGCAACACCAATAAAATTCAATCTAAAACAAAATGCAGGTGGAAATGAACTGTCATTATCGTGTAATCCCATCCATGCAAGCTAACAGATATAGACTACACTGATTTATTCGTAAGCACCATCAACTGTTGGACCCTAAATTGATTCTGGCATTCAATATGCACAAAGAAAAAAAAAGCAATTGATTTGCTGATGCCAGTAGCACATATTATAGTTATGTGTCACATACATCCACATTTCAGAATTTCTTGAAATGAAGTTTAAACAGGGTAATGTTTGAGCCCTCCGCAAAAAGTTACATCAAACCATCCAGGTAGTTTTTCTGCTGCGGTGGAAAGTTACAAAGCGAATACTTGTGTGAATTTCAGTGGGTTTGAGCCAAGTTGGACTGCATCCTCTGGCTGCTTGCTCTCTAGGGGAGTCCCGTTTCCTTACATGTGCTTAGAGCCTCAGAAAAAGTAATGACTGGTACAATAGTGTGCGCAGGCCTAATAATAAAAGCTGCTTCAGTGGGAATTGGGCCATGCGTGTCAGGTTCTTCTCCCCAGAGTTGCAATACCTCAGAGATTTCACCCCCTCTCTCAATTGAGGAAGGATAAATTGATGATACAAGTACGGAAGACAAATGAAATTAATCTTCCCAGTCGTTGACAGGAATCGGCTTTAGTGCAAAAACACACGCTCGCGTGCTCACGGATGTGTGCTAAAATAGCTCGATACCTGTCTGGCTGGAAAATAAGACGAATGGATTGAAGTAAAGCAACTACAGCGTTGCGAGACTAAGGAAGCCGATGTAATAAAATAAAAGGAAGCAAGTGACAGTGAGAAGTTTCCATCAGACCAAACAGGTGACACAAATGTTTATCTTGTTAGCGTCACTAAAAGGTAACCACTGTATCTGGTCTGGGCAGGCAGACCAATTAAAAGAAGCAGTTTTTTATACTAAACCTCATCTGTGTCAGTACTGTGGTTGACCCCAGAGCCCGATAAGCTTTTTAGACTCTTCCATTGATCTTGTTGTCACCAAGGGGAAAAAAGACGTACCTGAGTATCCAGGGCGACAGACACATACAAAGCCCTCGGGCCTGCTTATACAGGTGCCCTCCTGTTGGCAAGGTGAAACTTGACACTCGTTCCCACTCAGGTCACAGAGCGCTCCGAAATATCCAGGAGGACAACTGCACTGAAACCTGTGGAACAGAAAGATATCGCAGAAATTTTAAAGTGAAAAGTGGAGCATGCTGTCAGAATTCATTTTGTTTTCCCTTCAAAACATTGGCAACTTTGCAAATTGTCATGTTTAGAGGATTATGGAATATCGGATGCGAACTCTTTTATGAACATTTCTTTGTGTCCACATGTCCATTTTAAACGGCATTTGGGGAGGTGTGCAGAATCAGAATATGAAAAGATATTTATTTTCAAGGATAGATTTGTAGAAGAATGCAACTACAATAAATTAAATACAATATAATGTCATAACAGCATTATCAGCATTTGAAAATAGATAACTGATCATCAATTTAATATCATATTAATGTCATTCGTTCTTCTCCGGAAGTTGGTTAATTTGCTTTGGATTGTTATGGGGAAACACGATAACTATCTGACAGATAACTGTCGGATTGATATCGGTAAAACAATGACGTCACATTTATGGTAGGCTATCAACAAATTTGACGGAGACAAGAGATGCCTTGAAACAATATTGGTCTGGTTATGTTCAATTTAAGAACAGGACTTTTGTTTTTTTTTTCTTCTACAGTGTTGCAGCTACACACACACACACACACACACACACCCACACACACACACACACACACACACACACACACACACACACACACACAGAGCGCATATATGGCGTGCATGGGATAATCGAAGCTCTTTTTAGGTGGGCATTCTGCACTGGAGCCTAGTAGCTAGTGAAATAATGTGTGTAATACTGTAATACTGAAAGGAAATGCTATAGTGATAAGATAAACTGAGTTGTAAATATTCCTATAAAGTTAAAGTAAACCATACATCAGAGAATATCTATTCTGGCATATTCAATTCAGACCATAACAAATAAGGAAGAGGGATGGCATAATATTGATGGAACTATTTGAATAGGTGGAGGAACTGATTTTTCATAGTGATCCTGACAGACATCTCTCTCGAACAGGAACAATATAGCGGCAATTAAGTCTCCCTGGGTGCAACTCGCTTTGAATTATGCTTGATGACTTATTACTGAAGGGAATAGCCTAATGAGTCTGGTAATGCAGTTTACTCCATTCAAATCCCTCTCCCCAGCTGTCATTGGCTCTAATATCTTCTGACCTCACATCTCTGAGGCAATGTCTTCCCTATTTATAGGTTGGCTGAAATCAAAATAATTTAAGCAAGGTGTCATTTGTTATCATCAAATTAACAACATTATATCCAATTCTGGTGATATGGAAGTCATTTTTATCATGTGGCGCAAAAAGCGCTGCACCTTCTAATTCCGGAAGCTCTAAAAGGCTCAAGTGGTCAGTGACAGTACTCTGACAAAAAATGAACAGCCTTTGCTTTGCCACCTGCCTGCTAACACTGCATTTGAGCTTCTTATAAAACAGAACCGCATCAGTTGATAACGATTTATTCTTTCCCAGTGCATGCAGTATGATAAGAGCTGAATGTGAATGTGTACAGATGTGGAAAGACACCATGGAGCACGGTGCAGAGTCAGATACATCAGCTCAGTGCACAAGAGCTCATTCAACTTGTCGGGTCAGGGAGATGAAGATAATGGTGAGTGCGTTGTGTTGTTCTTGTAGTGGGCACTGAGGTTAAGACACACCGGACTGTGCAATAAGGCCAGCATTGTATTGAGGAGGGTCGGGTCACCCGCCAAATCATGGCGGGAGACAAACCATTTAGGACTCAAATTGGACCTGGGACTTCTTTACACATCTGTCCGACTAAGCCCACAGGGCCAGGGGCTCCCATTAAGCACACCAGAGAGAAGTACCCGTAGCGCTGGGCTGGAGAATGAATTCAGAGACGTGATGTTTTGCAGCTGAATCTAGTTACTGTCTTGTGGAGAGCAGCTTATTTGCGATGCAGTATGCCAAGGATGCCCTCTATGCTTTTGAAAATAAAAGGCAATCAATTCTACCTTGCTTTTTATTCTTACTTGTTCACTAGGTCTTGACAAGTTCCGCCATTGAGGCAAGGCTGTGAGGAGCACTCATTGATGTCTTGCTCGCAGTGGAGGCCGGAAAATCCCATTCGACAAACACAGCTGCAATAAAAAACACAGAACAATCATATCGATGGGTGGTGGCTGAACAGACATGTAGATGATGGTCCATTTTGATGGATACTTTTTACACTGGAGTGTTTGTTTACTTTTTAATTTGAGTTTTAGGTTACATTTTCCACTAAATTATTCCAAAAAATGTAACCAAAAGACCTATAATTCTAGTGTACAGTGATCCCTCGCTCTAATGCGGTTCACCTTCCGCGGCTTCGATGTTTCACGGGTTTTTTAGCGCAGTTTTTAAATTGCTTTTAAACAGTGAATTGCATTCTGCATCCTGATTAGCTAAGCCACTGACCAACGTGAACAGTCTCCGCACCTCGTCTTTGTACATACATACCCCACAATGTCGACGAAACGTTCTGCACCGGCAAAGGCACCTGAGCATGCGCTCGAGCAATATTATTTTACAGTCCAGTATTTCCAAAAACTATTATTGAAATTGAAATTATCCACATTTTTGCTCTGATGTGCATGAAAATTTAACAAGCTCTCATGTGCCACCTAACAATGCAGTAAAAGGAAGTATTCAGTTGTTTTTTTTAATTAAATCTACTACCTCACCTCTGAACAAGCACCTGCAAGCTTCTTTGGGGTAAGACGAGTATGATTGTATGAATGTCATTTTGTTTTATCAATATATCAGTTTGATATTGTTTCACTATAATTAAATTTGATCTCAGTGTTCAAGTGTAGCTGTTTAATAACGCTTTTGTACGTGAAAAAAAACAAAAACAAAACAAAACACAAAACAACAAAAAAAGTAAAAACAATAATAATGGCAATCCAATGCCATTCCAATTAAGGTCCCACTCCATGTACTGTAATTCTTAAAACTCATTCGTTCCCAAAGACGTTTTTAAACGTCTTTTCAAACTTGGTCCAGAATTGGTTGGTACTGAATGAGTTAAAGAGGTAAGTTTGTGCACATTAAAAAGCTATATCTTTCCGTGGTGAGAAAGAAAGGCCTGAAGTTACTCATTTTAAAAGGAGGAGGAGGAGACAAGCAGCAGAGAAAAAAAAAACAATGACTAGGCGGGACACTTGGACAGTTTAATGATGCTGTTTCCTCTAAGTAAGTCAGCCAAAATAAGACTAAATCATTCTGTCAGCTCTTCTCCAATTGGAGGCATTTTTCTGACATCATGACGACACCACTCTCCAATAGTACAGTTTCCAATTTGAGTCGTCTTGCCGTCTCTGCAAAAGTTCTTCTTTGCAACGCTCCATCCCGCGGTCTCCACCACAAGTTATTGTATGGTTGTCGTCATTATAGCATTGCTCCCACAATAAATTAAATGATGGTCTCAGACTTTTACAAAGACTTCTGTGCCAAGCAAAGGACCAAAAAACAAAATTGAAGTTGACGTTTCTAAATCACAAAGTAATATTGAGAATGGAATCCTAAAGTAGCAGGCTACTTAAATTTGTATTCTGATTGATGCTGTATTGTCAATTAAAGCTAATTTGATTTGAGGAAGCATCGATATGCTCTAAACACAATCCTGTGAAATTTTCCAGAAATATCCAACAAACTGCATTTAGAGGAAATGAGACTTGTCACCTGTACCCGTTGACCTGGTCCAGACAGTCGCCGTGGTCTCGGCAAGGATTCGAACTGCACTCATTGGTGTCGGTTTCACACCGGCTTCCTTCAAATCCTTGAAAGACAGAGGAGACAGTCATGGATCGGTGAGCCCGCCCACATTGCTGTAAGCGTCCGTGTCGATGATAACCAAGGCCCTGGTGAACACCGTTTTAATGGAACTAGTAGCCCCTGTAGCATTTCTCATCTTCCAGCTCTCAGCACTCACCGGTTCCCCTCAGAGAGCGTGTTAGTCTAATAATACTTCAGTGCCATGGACAGATTGGTCTGAGGGTTAGTGGTTTGGGGTTTGGGAGGTGTGCGTCTTTCTGTGCCATTCTATGCATATGTCTGTGTGGTGGAAAAAGGCGAGTAAGGACGGGGGCTTCTTGTAAACTTCGGTAAGAGGGACAGCCAAAAGCCCATGAGCTCTTTTGCCCTGCTTCATTAGGGGGTTGAGGGCAGGGTGGCTAAGCAGATCAGCATGGATGTTTGGGAGGACTTTTAAAGCGGCTTCAGATCCTCGAAGGTTTTGCCTCTGGTGGTTTGTCGCGATTCACGTTTTAATATTTTTCTGCTGAACAAAATTTTGAATGAAATAAATGGTGTGTGTGTGTGTGTGTGTGTGTGTGCTTGTGTACACACGATGGAGCAGACAAAGGAGCGCCCGTTGTTTTTTTTTTTTTTTTTTTAAGGGATTCCATTGATTATGTGGATGACTGCATAGCTCTATCCAGAGCCTGTTTTTTTTTTTTTGGTTGATTTGGGGTTTGGCAAAAATAACCCCCAAAAACATTTTCCTTGAACCCTTCTAGCTAGCACATTTTTGGTGTGTAACCGAGAATACAATGGCTCTCAAACGATATATTTCCTTATGTAGTAAAGTGATGTTGTAGGTAAATGCGCTGAAATACACTAGGGTGATGCTATGTGGTGACAAGCTCCAGAATTTTATGTCTTGGGATGTAAGAATGCGAGAGCACAGAGAGCACGGAGCATCCAGTGAATTATGGGACAGCACAGGTTTCCCAACCTGGCCTGTCAGTCACGGCAATGGTGGAACACCTCGGGGGGCTATTTGGAATGTCACCACAATGTAATGCATCTTGTGCCACTAAGCACTGACTGGAGGCTCCTCTTTGACAGAGCACTGAGAGATAGCGCAGGCACAAGCTTGCAAAGTCATTCCATCATATGGTCGCAGCCCTGCTATGAGATGGCTGCCACTGCTATTGAATCTCTCAGAGGAAAAAGAAATTGAGGGTAATCCCCGGTGGACAGTGAGCTAACTTTGATGGGCGTTTCAATTGAAATATGACTGATGTCTTCATTTTGTGACTGTGAATTTGGTTTGGACTGCTACATTTGTCCTTAAAGTCTCCTTATCAGAGTCGCTGTCAGTTGCGAGGAAATGTGCTAAAAAAAAAAAAACGGGCTCAGTTGAAATGGTTCAGGCTTTTTAATCTTTGTAATTTGCAATTTTGCAAATTTGCTCCAAAAAAAATACACAACTGTGAAATGATTGAATATGATGATTAGCATATGATGTGAAAAAATATTGGATAGGGAGGCTTGTTATGACAGCGAAATTTATGATGGTTTCTAGGATACAAGTCTCACTGTTTTTTTCTGTTTTAATCTAGAAAACACATATTTTATCAAAAAGTGTGTGTGGGGGTTAGGGGTTGGAGGCTCGCCTCTTTCCAACCAAATGTACTATTTTTAAGAGAAATGTTGTAGCTTGACCACATATAATGCCCTCTAATTTCTCAAGAATAATACACACTTGTGTATATTATGTCTTGCAAAAATCCCCCTTCAAAAAAAGAAAGAAAAAAAAAAAAACAACCTTTAGCCTGACATAGTAAGCTTTAATCATAGTTTCATGACCAAACACAGCAAACAGGTTAACAGACGTCCTGTCTACGCTGTGAGAACGAGCATAACTACTGGCTGATGACCGGATGGTTTGAAGTTGAAGCGCTAAAATTGTGTTTTCTTTATTGCTTTCGTCTTTGGACAAAAGTTAAATACTTGTTCATATTGAATTAAAAAGTCTATTTCTCTCCATTTGAAAAGAAAGCGATGAACCTTGACGTCACAAGGGGGGTGGAATTTAACTCTCTGGCATGAACAATGCTCATCATGTTCCCCGATGTTTTTCCTTTCACCTCTGGATTCTGTTGAGTGGAACTATAGTAAATTTAACAACTGGTGAAACCAATTTTATGCTTATAACCTGACACCGCTGCATGTGAATCCTTTGTCTGGAAGAAATGAAATAAGGAAGGAAATGGGTCATGGGGAAAAGCTGTGGGGTTTCAAAGTTTTTAAAAGCTTTAATATGTTAAGTATGGCTCTTAAACAACAACTGTGAATATAATTAGTAAGTATACCAATTGAAATTACACGTTTGAGTCTTGTAAAAAGCTGATTTTCCTCTTTTTTTCTTGCTCGCTTATTTTTAAATATCAGATGTGCAAAGAGAGTCAGGGGAAAGGGAAATTTGCACTTCTCTGCTTAGGTTGCTGTCACAGCGAACCAATCCCGGATAAGCAGAAGAACACGGGTGAATGGATGGTATCTCCAGCACTAATAGTGAAATACTAAAGTGTTGGAACCAAAACTCGGATATTTTTGTAATTTCATGGAAATTAATCATGAAAGGTTAGACCTGAAACATTTTAATAATTGGTTCTGGAAATTCCTTCCAGAACCAAATAATTTCATAAGTAGAGGTACCAATGTATAAAAAAATAGGTAATAGGTATATAGCCGGTATTTGAAGCCCTCTGCTGTGACATGCACTTCTGAAATTAAGAAGCAACCTATTGGAGGGCAGCATAGAAACAAAACACATCTTGAGCGCTAATTACGTTAGCATCTACTTGGTAAAATGTTTTTATGCCATGAAATTAATGGAATTCATTGCATTGCTTTTTTTGCATGAAGCTGCCATATCATTTTACATGTCGCAATAATCGCAAAAAAGTGGGGAAACATAAAGAACGGGCAAAAAGTATCCTGCTTTGCAGTGAAACCACAGTTAAACAAGCCTATGGTTGCTGCTCTATTAGAAACCTGCTGTGAAGGGCTCAGAGGTTAAACTCCAACATGATATATCATGCCACTAATAGTGGTGAATTTTTATGAGGAGAATAACTGATTCAGGAATTCTCTTTTTCCATGCAGCTGTTGTCTGTCTTGCAGCTACAAATGGAGAGAGAACAAAAGACCCTTTGCCCTCAGTGATGGTTGTTAGCATGCTGAAACCATAGCACATAGATGGGCCGCACTCACTATTGACTCTATTTTTGTGCCTCACACAGGTCTAGCATAGTCTAACTGCACTGGAAAAAAATGGTGTGTTGAATTTACTCATTTTGATTTTGTCAAGTGGTTGCACAAAGTTAAATCATCTAGATTCAGACATTTTTTTTTTCAAGAAGATATTTTTTTTCAAGTATTGCAGAGAGTCTATCTTTTAGTGAGGCCTGCTATATATCATATAGCGTAGCAGGCATCTGCACTGGACATGTCGTACACCTGCATAAGCTTATGCGATCCGATACAAGAGCCACATTGAAGTATTATTGTTGAAAGTTGTTTTGATGATTAGTTGTTTAAAGTTATTTTTGACCTTTTGGGGCAGCTAAATACGGCAAGTCAAATACTTTTGAAACATTCCGTCCAGTATGATGTAATACAAACTATAACCGCAATCATAAACATGTTGCTGTATTAGTTTAGTTTAGTTGAGTTTAGTTGGGCATGGTACATTCCACAAAATGCATTTACAATATTCAGAACATGGTAATGAAAGCCTAAAAGGGGTCGTCTGAAGAAGATGCTTATCGATGCAGACCCCACCACACCTCATGCAATAGAGCAGGGGTGAGCAAACTTTTTACATTGAGAACTGCATATTACTGTGGAGAACAAAAATATCAATATACAGTGGACATTTAAAAAATGGATTTTGTCACCCCGGGCGCCCCGGTGGTTGACTGGTTGGCGCACTCAACTCAGAGAGGTATAGGGTTCGATTCCGGCTCCGGCCTTCCTGTGTGGAGTTTGCATGTTCTCCCTGTGTCTGCGTTGGTTTTCTCCGGGTACTCCGGTTTCCTCCCATATTCCAAAAACATGCATGGCAGGCTGATCAGACACTCTAAATTGTCCCTCGGTGTGAGTGTAAGCTCGGATGGTTGTTCGTCTCTTTGTGCCCTGCGATTGGCTGGCAACGAGTTCAGGGTGTCCCCCACCTACCGCCCGAAAACAGCTGGGATAGGTTCCAGCACGCCCCGCGATCTTTGCGAGGATAAGTGGATCAGAAAATGGATGGATGGATGATTTTGTCACTCCAAACTATCTAACTTACTATGTAATTCCTAAGTAAGTTTCACCACCAGTAGGAATGTCTTAAAAAAAAAAAAATCAAACTTTGTATTAGATCCTATTAGATTTCACCAAATGTTGTGGCCAGTGAATGTATGCAGATACTCTTCCACAACAATGGAGAAAGCTGAGGTCAAAAGTGAATGAGATACAGAGTATTCTCCTGCTGCAATACACCCACAGAATTCTGTTCATGTCCTAAAGGCTCACTTACTGAATTTGAATGAAATCCTCTCTATTCGTTTGGGTTATCCCAGTTGTGAGCTTGTTTTTTGCCTTGGGGTTGCTAATTATTTGCACTGTGAGTATTTTTTCGGAAGAGAGTTTAAACCTGACTGTTATACAATTCCTCTGGGTAAAGCAAGGATGTATTTTCCTGCAACAGAATTTAGCAATTTTAAAAGCATTAAATGACACAATAATTTTAAAACATAGCACTTCAGTATTGTGATACCATAGAATCAGAAGATGATCACTCATTATGAAACTTCATTTACCATATCTAGCATTTACGAAAAAAACAAAACAAAACTGCCGAAACATTTTTGAACAATCATTTTAAAACATAACACTTGAGTATTGTGATACCATAGAATCAGGAGATAATCACTCCTTATGAAACTTCATTTATCTAGCGTTTTTTTGGGCGGGAAAAAAAACCATGCCAAAACAACCCAACAAGTAGTAGCTTCGTATGCTGAATAATAATGGGAGGAGTGAGTCATCATGCTTTTTGTGAAGTGAAAACGAGTGAACCCACGCAAAGCTTTTGGTATAATGTATGCAGCAAGCACCTAATTTCCTATTCCTCTCCAAGGAAACCTTCAGAAACCAACCCAGCCGTTCTATTTATATCTGGAAACATCTCTCCCTCTTTGCACTGATAGTGCCATTAGGCACAGAACAGTAACAATTCTGCTTTAGAGAAGTCAACCGCTCAACAATTCCTCAAATATCAACTTCAATCTCTCAAGGGGTCCCCGAATCGACATACGTGGTTATTATACCAGATTTGATTTAAGATTTACATTTTTATATTACTTTTGAGATTGACTTACAACAACAGTTTAAAAGATATCTGTCTCTATCTCATTAGCATCAAGTACTTGCTGCCTGGCAGTTGGTGCTCAAACTCACCGTTTCCCACAGACAACAAATTTTTTGCGAGTTGACTGGTCTACAAGAAAAATGAATATTTGTAGTCATCAAACAGCCCACAGCACAAGAGTGTTTGGGAAAAAATAAAATAAAATATGGTAAAATATACAAATGAATGCAAATTGTGACCATATGGTTGGATAGGGTGAGGTGGAACGTGGCAACAGTTTCAATTTTGTTCTACAGCTGTTTTAACAAACTTTTCAATGAGGTAAACTTCTTTTGTGAGTCGAAACAAGCAGCTTCTGAGTAAGCTTCACTAAATTCATGCCCAACATACAGGAGATTGCTTGGCAAAATATTATACAGGTGCCAGAACTGTCGGTAACTTCTTTTAGCATGATCCACTCTAAGTTGATCAAGAGACGACAACCCCATTCTTTAGAGATGCCCACGATGCTGTGCTGTGGTCCTAAGTGTTTCTATATTTTATTAATTTAGCTATCTATCTATAAATCTTCATTCTTATTTGAGCCTGCTGGGTTTTTTTTTTCTTTATACATACAGAGTTTATCACTCTCATTCGGGCTTGCTTTGCTGGAATTTCATTCATTCATGTTTCAACCCTGAAAATGAAATAGATCGGGGGTCATTCATAATGCAGTGTTTGGAGCATTTTGTTATATTTTTGACCAACATGTGCCAAAATGATGATGGGCTCAAACAGATTTCAGTGTTGTAGACTGATGCAAAGAAAAATAATGAGCTACTGCATCATAAAATACAGCTCAATCGGAAGCCTGTCTGTACATAAAATTAGCCTGGCTGCTGAAATGGCTATTAGTGTAATTACACTAGATTAGTCCACACCCAAAATACCTTCAATGTGCGGATGAGGCCATGTGTGCACTCACCAGCTGGGCATCTGCAGAAGGCCGTTCCATTGGAGCGTGTCAGGCAGGTGGAGTTGTGCAGGCAGGGGTTGTTGAGGGGATCACATGGGTCGTAAGGCTGGTTGCACGATGGGCCGCTGAGAAAGGGGGGGCAGGTGCATAAGAAATCCCCAGGTACACGTGACTCCTGACACCGAGCTCCATTTCGACAAGGCCCAGATTCACACTCATTCACTTCTTCAGTGCAGTCTGCACCTGTCCAGCCTGGTGAGCACATACACCTTGGAGACACCAAAAATGGAAATGGGTCAGTTCTTTTTTTTTTTTTCCTTATGGCAGATTGTTTCCATGCTTCAGTAAAGGTACTGCTGTTTTGTTTCGCCATGTTGTTGGCAACGTATTGCAATCAAGCTATGCTCAAGAAGTAACTCTTCAATGCCGCGTGTGTACAGCGTCAGGATGCATGCGCTTCCCTAGAGCTTTGTGATCGTGATGGATGAGAGTATCAGTCAAACTAAAGTCATCACAGTCACCACCTGTTTTATTTCTTGAGAGAAAAGTAGGAGGCCACGATTTGGGTTAAGGACTTTTTTCAAGTGGAGGACGTGCCTTACAATTTGAGGCACGGCATTACTTTGAGTGGAGGTGAATATTTCAGGTGTATCAGCTCCAATATGTTCAGAGATACAATAATCCTGAACAGATGTTGATAGGACTCTTCAAGTAATACTTTCTTACCTTGCAGACGCACAAAGGGCACTTACAAGTCACAAGGGATTGAACCTGAAACCATCCAAATGTGAGACAACCACTGTAGCACCTGAGCCGGCCGGGCTGCCCAAAGCACTGGAGTAGACTTAACATAGTAGTACGGTACTGTAGCTATGCAATTTCAGTACAACGACAAAAAGGGAATGAGGGTGTGTGTTTCGGATCACTTTTTTTTTTCGCTGGGGCAATTAAATGTCTCCAATGACATGCTTTTTTGTTTAATAAATGACTGATGCATGTAGTACGTGCACCTACTTGTAGCCGTTGAATTCAGTGCAGGTGGCATTGTTTTTGCAGGGCTGTGACAAACATTCATCAATTTCTTGTTGGCAGTACTTTCCTTCCCAACCGGAGTGACACACACACTCGTAACTCTGCATTTAAACAACCACAAAAAAAGAGGAAGAAAAAAAACAACAACTTCTGATTAAAGTGGAAAGTAGCCGACGGAGCAGCTTAATTCACTTTGTTCCATTTTAACGTACAAATGCTTGGCATGAAATGTTTCCAAATGCAATATATCGTACAATCCCCCACTCGCATTAAATATGCATTCCGTTTGGGAATCTATTTGAACTGTGGAAGAGTCACGCTTGTCGTACATTTCCCTTCACTGCATATGCAATTCTCCTCCCGCCCACCCGGTGGAAGAAATGAAAGCTTGTTTTCAGCTTGTGTCATTCAAGGCATATGGTAACTTCCATCAAGCACACAGGAAACATCATCTACATATTTTGCAAGGAACCGTTAAAATATAGCTGGTTTATTCTTCTGTTAGTTTATTTCACTGCCTCAGTCTTCAACAGCATGTGAATGATGTGTCCTGTATTTCACCATAGCAATCTGCATTCGTACAATTAATCATAACATGGAAGATTAATGGTTTGATGTACAACCACGTGCAACTGCTTTAATTTAGATTGCGCTTTGCACAAGGGATGGGTGCACTCCTGTGGTCAAAGGTTTTTTGTTTTTTCAAAATTAGGTTTGACTTTGTCAGTGTTTTGTTTGAGGTTCCTGGATGCTGCGGGTTGAAGGTATGCTAATCAGCATCGCATATGCTATAGGGTGTGCAGTTAAAATGTTCCTGATGTGACTGGTGGGTGCCGGGGCGATGCTGGGTGCAGCCGTCTCATGTTAAATTAGATAGCTTCAGGATATTCGAATTCGTCACCCCTGGCAGTAGAACTTAATCTCATTTTTGTTGTTAAGTCACCTTCAGGGACAGCAGTTTTCCAAAATAAGCTCCATAGGACACTTTATTCAGAGAGCGAAATGGCTGGGCTGTAAACAAGACGATGTAGCAAAAAGTATTCATAATGAGTTTAGGGATGGACTAGGAAATAACATTCTAATAAATTCCAGTAAAACCTTCCAGTGTGGAAAAGATATTCTGCATAGGCATGATAAGAACCAGATTCATCTTGGCAGAATGACTACACCCAAGGCTGGTTGCCAGTCAATCACACAGCATGACTATCGATTAATTGATTGTTAAAAATGTTGTCAATTACATGGGATTGATTGATCAAGATGTGGAATTTAAAAAAAAGCCAAACAAGGGGAAGACATAAAACACAAAGGAAGCCACAGCAAAATACAGTTGGGATAGTACTGGAATATTGGTTGTCCGACATGCCAAGAATGAGTTGAATGGCTTTGACCACCTTTTCATTTGCTTCAGAGGTTTGAAATTTCGGTTTGTTTTTTTGTTACCTGAATATTTATCCACATAAAATGCATCATTTATTCATCATGCAGTTTAGTCAAAAACAAAGCAAATGTCCAGTAAACACGCAACTGCAATCTATTTATTTGTCATTGCCCCTAATCTTCAAACGTCATTCAGTGCCCTATTTGCAGCTAAAACCATTCAAGCGAATGAAAAGTCGATACGGAGGAAGGCGCAATTGGCAAGGGTGCTTGTTCCATTATTTTTGACTGTAAAGGAAATGTACGCTTCACCACTTGCTTGATTCATCCATCTAATGCTCCTTGGGAGCAAATTCACTCATTCAGACGGTGATGGTAAATCCCTCAATAAAACCAAGACCGTCTGCCCGTACTGCCTACACAACCCTGATGGTATTAACACACGGCGCTACATTTTCTCTCCCTTTGGATAGGAAACTAATAATGATATTAGACAGCTGTGTATTTTTTACTACAAAACACGTCACGATGCAGTGAAAGCGTAATGGTCATCGGGCAATCGGCAATGCCTTATGTAAATCACTTGAGTCCATATGTAATGGGAATTACCAACTGCACAGATTAATGGGACACATTTCATTTGAAGAACCTCGCGGTCCATCACATAAGTCCATTAAGATGCCATATAGAAAAGAAAAAAAATAATCTGTCGACTTACCAGATGGAGATCCTTACATATTGAGTCGCCACTGCACAGATTGTTCATGCAGTCGTCAATGTCTTTCTCACATTGCAGGCCAGCATAACCAGGACTGCAAAGGCAGTAAAAGCCATCTACAACTGAAACAAGATCAGCAGTTCAGTTGCATCTCCTTGCATCATCAATTGCTATTCACTGCTCCCAGCAGGTAGCACTCCATTTCTACAGAGCTAATTGTGAGCATCACCAAAAAATTCTCAACCTGGAGACATTTTTTAAGGCCAACTGTATCACTGTAAAAATGAAAGGATTACATAAGTACAGCTTGCTGCACCTGCGTGACACAACAGCGTTCAATGCATCAGTCTGACAGAGTCCGACACTAACCATCTTTAAATTAACCTGTCTGGCCTTTTTCTACCCTTACACCCCTTTCACTTAGTTCTGTTTTTCTCAATAAATGCCCTGAAGGGTTGTCATTTGTTTCCACCCTATCAGAGTTCACAGTTCAGGTGAAGCCAAGTGAAAGAGAAAGAGGAGTGATTTTTTTTTTCCTCCCACATTAGAAAATGCGGCAACTTCCTACACCACTTTGTGAAAATATTCCATCGCTTATAATGTGTTTCCACCTCACACTTTTCTGTCTAATGACAAGGGATGCATCACTGTCTAGGCAGCACAACACTGATGCAGTTAACCAATGACAGAGGTAATTGCGCTTCTTTCAGGAGTGAATTTATTACTTCACCAGTCAGGGTCCCAAGATTCTTCATTATCCCAAAGATTTACCACGTAATCTATGCTGTCACTCTGTCTCTGTGTGTGTAGCCACTATTACTCTCATTAAATGCTTTTGGTCTTGGGTGGCAGCAGCATTACTCATCTCAGCCACTGAGGCTCTGCGGTGCGCTCCCCAGGGATGGGGTTGGCCTGCATCGAGCGCCGGGACCGTGGGTCCAAGAGGCCCCGTGTCAGTGCAGTGAACTGGTTGCAATCAAGATTAGTCCAGACAGCTGGCTGAGGTGAACGGTAACACGATGAATTGAGCCACTGCATCACAGGCTCACAACTTCATTCCACTCCAAAAAAACTGAAGTGAAAAGCTTAAATGATTTTGGAAATATAGTATACAATGTCGCAATTCAAATAAATCGCATTGTATATGCAGGCTTGCAGGGCACATTCGCACTCACATGCAGACCTATAGACAACTTAGAGGTCTTCGGTTAGCTGAGCATGCATGTTTCAGTGAGATATAATCCTTGTAAGTAAGTTTTCATGTCGGATCTGTGCATTGTACCATAAATAAATAAAAATGCACAATTGCTTACATCCTCCCCGCTACAATTATATTCCTGTCATGTACGTTTGACATGTACATCGCATGGCTAAGAAGTCAGAGATACTGTAATGGATCATCTTCGATTGCATAATTTGCTCAACATTCATACTCAATTATACAAATTAGAGTCACGCAGATTTCATTTAATGTGAGGTAAGTAAGAAGGCCTATGCTTGCAGACATTGTCCTATCAAATGGCATTATCCCATTCACATAACACTATTATGAGCTTCAGCAATGACCCAGCTGTAAAATGTCAGGCAGTGTGAATATGTTATTAAGCATGTTGACATTTTATATATATATATATATATATATATATATACATATCGCCATTTGTAAAACGAGAAACACAACACATAAAAATGCAAATGAGAATGCATGCGCAGAGTAGCTCGTAAAAATGAATTACCCCCTTTCAGTGATACACCTCTGCCAAGAATACACGGTTGACCTCGCACTTTGAAGGAATCTCTCGTCAGTTATTAAATGTTCCCAAGCTATGGCACCGAATGGCACAACAAAAGTCAAACTTTCAGGTCATTTTTGCACATATGTGAGGACAAATGCATGGGACAAAATGTCTGTGAAGATGAGGGAAAAAAATATTGATGATGACGTAAGAACAGGAAATGGAACTTATCTCAACAGTGTCCTGGCTGCTCAGTACAACATAAACAATACACCATTTCGTAGAGGGCTCGTCCTCCTTATGGTCATCCTCAGCTGTCTTTGGGCAAGAGGCGAGTGGTTAGCTAGTGACTCATCGATCTGTGGTTTGGGGGTTGATTCTGAGCATTCCTAACTCCCACTTACTAAAAACATGCATGTTAGGTTCAATTTCGATGACACATTCTCTATAGGTGTGAGATCGGCACCCAGAGTGGAAACTAGAGTCGATTAACAAACACATTAAAATGGGTTATCATCCGGGGTTATTTTACGATCATACTGAGCATGCCCTTATGCCACAGAGAAAATTTCTATTCCTGAGTCATCATAAGCGGCGGCTGGAAGCAGGAGTGAAAGCTGTTAAAAATAGCCACAATGACGACGATGACAAGAAGAAGCTGACGTGAGCAAGAAACCTGCTGCACAACTTCACGTCATCCATCCATTTTTGTTATCCGCATTTCCTCACGAGGGTCGCGGGCGTGGTGGAGCCTATCCCAGCTGTCTTCGGGTAGTAGGCGGGGGGAGACAACCCTGCACGGTTTGCCAGTCAATCGCATGGCACACATAGACGAACAAACATTGCCGCTCACAATAGGGACAATTTATATATATATTTTACCATCATAGCAAAATCCATTGACACATGGGTTTGAGCTGCACTCATCCACGTTGATTTCACAGCGGGGGCCCGTGAATCCTCTGCGACAGCGGCACCGGAACCCCAAAGGGTAATGGTCCTCATCCAACTCTTCCACACACAAGGCTCCATTCTCACAGGGATTGCTGGCCTCACAGGGTAACAAGTCACAATTTGGACCTAGGGTGAATACACAGGAGGAACATCCAGCCTTGTTGAAAAGAGAATAGAATAGCAAGGTCGAGGTTTTTAAAGACTCCTCAACTGATTCCTTGAACTCAAATTTATGAGTGCCTGAAAGGGAATAAATGGCTGAAAATACAGGGGGTCAAAAGCTGGTAACATTCTGCGAGAAGCTGCTGTAATTGTCTTCTTCTAAATATTTAAATTCACCTACATGTCTGAAATCTAATATTACATTTCATATGTGTGTCCTTGCTCAGCTGATTGTTAAATGGAAACCATCAAAGATGGATTAAGCCGTAATAGGAGAGATGTGGTTGAGATTGGACTCCAGTATATTAATGGGGATTAATAAAATGATGTCATAAGTAATGGAAACAATGTTTCCATGTATTCACGAAGAACAAACAATGGACTATCCACACCATTAATTCCATGAACCTAATCCTGATGAAATAAAAAAGACAGTACAGAATTAAATGTGACCGAAAAATAAAGACCATTTTATTTTCATCAATAATTAGCCAGATTTCTACATGAGAAGGTAAAAACAGATGGAGAGGCAGCCAATACGGCTGTCATCATATATTTATTTTATTGTCATATTTCAGCCAAAATAGTCACATTGACCATCGTTGGGTGATTAAAAACAAAAGAGAAACCAGGAAATTGATTTATAATTTGTGCGAGCAATGGTAAAAGAACAAATAAAACAGAATTAAGTGTTGCAACATCGCCGTTTAACTGATTTTGCACAACAAGTTTAGCCTCATTGCTCTCCATAATCTGTTTTATGCTTCACCTACTTTAATCAGCATGCATTAGTCTAAAGCACCAACATTGTTTATGCAATCATATCACCATCCCATGACACTTACACCACACATTTAGTTGACGAGCAAGCGGAAGTCCCCATAAATCATGTTTATTCTTTAACACATGATGTACTCATTTTGTTGCAATGTGAAGTGAGTTCAGACAGGTGAATGTAATAGTATGGGAAGTTAATTAACCTTTTTTTTGGGGAGTGTTTATTACCTTTAAAAGGAGCCAGACATTGGCAGATGTAATTACCGAGTTGGTCAATGCATGTGGCTCCATTCTTGCAGGGTGATGAAGCACACTCATCAATGTGAAGCTCACAGAGGGTTCCTTCAATAATAATAACAATATTAATAAAAAGTGCAGTGATATATGGTAGTGGCTACGGTACATAATTTAAAAATATGCCATGGTAAGTGTTGGATAAAATAGCAAGTTATTGTCTTAACATCAAACAATTTACTGCGGTAGTTGTGTCAGTTCTAGGATAGAGATCGTGAAAAATGACGAGTATTGAATACGCTGCCAAATACGAATTGGGACCTAATCGTTCAACTCAGAGAGCAAACTATCAGCATGTGTACAATCATTTAGAAGACATTGTTATTTTATTTGAAGTTTAACGTTCATCAAACATTACATCACAAACGCTGCGTAGCGCATGAAGAAGTGTACGCACAGATACATGAATTATTCAATGAGAAATTATCAAATCCATTAATCAAATGAGAGACCAGCATCTTAAATTTTATTTTTTTTCACTATGTTAACAAATGTAGGGAGAAAATAATGCAGATTTTCATTCAGATCGAAAGGAATGGTTACTACCTTCCTTCTTAATTGTCTTTGGATTTGAAGTCATTTTAGCACATGATACAAATGTATATCTAAGTACAATAATACAAACAATACTAGTTCACAGGGATACACAAAAACCTCAGTTCCTTCCCCTGTCATGGCGGGGGTATGAACTAACAATAAAAAGCCCTTGAGTAAAGCCAAGCATTTCAACATATAACTTCTAAACATTTCCGAATGAAAAGTTCTCCAAAACATATTATTCACAGCTATTATTCAGTGCTCCGCTTTGATCCCCAGATTCCGTGGTGCAGCGAGTTTTAATGATCAAAATGCACAGCAAATCTTCCTCTGTGGGATTTATTAGTGAACAATAGTTCAAATGCACTTACTGTGTTTGATTTTTGACAATGGAAAGAATTTCAGTGATTCATTCATCTCTGTTCTTTTTCACAGAGGATATCACAGCACCGCATGTTGGAAAATAATGACAGTATGCACCAACAACTGACTGTTTGTTTGCTTGACGCGGAGTGTGATTTTTTTTTTTTCCACTGGTTTTATAAGTTTGATGAGTGCTGAGTGAATTAAATTATTTATGCAGTAAAATTAAACCAAACGTTTTCTTACAAAAAAAAAAAAAACACTTTCAAAAAACATCTCCGGTGGAAAAAAAAAACAAAAAACTTCCATTTACCAACCTGTAAAGCCAGATGCGCACACGCATCCATGGCCATGAGGGTGGTTCACGCAAGTGGCGTTGTTCAGGCAGGGAGATGACGTGCACTCATCTGCGCTGACTTCACAGTAACTGCCTGAGAGAAAGAAATTTATGAGAATTGAAAAGGGGCCTTATTTTTAAGATCCATACTCAATTTCACTGTCCTTCATCTCTGATGAATATAAGTTGGCGTTAAGCATAGTTAAGCTCCGAAATGCAGCATAGAATATTAAATGTGAAGGCTGGTTGCACCTTGAATTCCCTCTTCACAGTTATTGGTTTCAAGTAATAGATGATGAATTTTAAAGTGACAGACATATGGTCTGGCTATATAATTTGTCTAATAACAAAGATTCTAGTCTGAATCATAAATCGAGCCATTTTATGAAATTAAATATATTTATTTAGATCAGTGGTTCTTAACCTGGGTACGATCGAACACTAGGGGTTCGGTGAATCAGTCTCAGGGGTTCGACAGAGCCTCTGCCATGGAGGTTAAGACACACCCGACTCAACATGTCAATTAGTTATGACACGCCCGCTTGACCATCACTTCCTGGTTCATTTTGTGCACAATTAAAAAAACGTATACTTTATATTTATACTAATTGTGTTTACTTTTTTCTGTTTTTAATAAATGCGTTTTTTATCTCTTGAATTTGTAAAAAAAAAACTAATGATAAAATGTATTTTTATTTTTCAAAAATGAAGGGTTCGGTGAATGTGCATATGAACTGGTTGGGCTCAGTACCTCTAACAAGGTTCAGAACCACTGATTTAGATAAATAATATATATGCAATATTGTCAGGATAATTTATTGTCTCGAAATTGCTTACATAGTGACTGACCAATTGTATACCGTAACTATGAAATTGTAGCAATGTAGCAATAAGTTGCAGAATCTGACCCATTTTGCATGGCAAGTTCAAAGTAATTAATTATTGTGTTTTGTTGCTGCTTCATCCAGCTGGTTAATGATACGTGGAGAAGAACATCCACTTCAAGACTGCAAAATTTCAGTCATGGACATTTGTTATGCTTTTAGAGGGCAAAATGGTTAATTGAATTGACTGTCTAATAAAGCAACGCTTTGTGACTATTGCCATAGTTGCGGGGATTTGAACATCTGTTTACCACCAAATGTTTTAGAGTTACTTTTTGGCACACAAAAGAACGCAAAGCTCTTGACTCAACATCCATCTGCAAATGTGATGATGCGTTCAAAAGTTGTTGTGATTCTTAAAAATGTTTGATAACTTCTTCTACTCCTGACTCGTTACGCATCGACCAAGTTTTATGATTGCGCCACAGACTTCAGGTCACATTGAACAGAATGATGGCATGCCAGTCTTAAACGCTAATAAGGAATTACAACTTCATAGTTTACATTTCAAAACACTTCTTGTCCGAAAGCCCACTAAGTGACCTCTTCTTCATCTCATTAAGAGATTATGTGGCCCATTAGCGACAGGGAGTACGGCGTCATTTAAATGGTTGATCGACTCATTTTGGTCCAGCAGGAAATCTCACCGCGGACTTCAGTTGCATGAAATGTGAAACCATCAGGACAATTAGTGCGCTGTGACTTTCCTAGGCTGGCATCATCAGGAGGCAATTAAATTTACTGGTTAATTTACAGGCAATTTAATAGATAACCTTTTTTACAGTTTGTGTAGGTCAACTTGTCAAACTTAGATTGAATACTAATGGAATCAAATTGCGACATTTACTGTGGTCACCATGTCCAAGGATGACCTTCGAGTCACCTTGCCATTCACTCACATGGCCAATTTCTTACACACAAAATTAACATTGTATTACGAGAATAGCAATTTTTTAAAAATTTTATTTTGGAAGAACACCATTTTGGTCCATTTCAGTGGAGACACCCGGTTAGCGATACGGGAGCTTTATTTAGAAAATATCTGGGAGCTAATGAATTAAGAACGAACAATCCAAGTAAAGTCCAAGTCTTAAGGCTCACAATTTTTTACTTGCAAATTGAAGAACCAAGTCATATTTAAGTTATGACATTGGTTAAATCCCAAAAAGTAACCACACAACAATTGATATTTAACGGAATAGTAACACAAGTGAACATTTTCGGTGATAACATTAACAAGTTAATGTAGACATTTTCATTTTCTTTAAAAAAAAAAAAAATCTTGTCATTAACAAAGGGCAACTTCTCTGTCTCTCTGTAGTTGTCAGTTATATTTACTCTGTTACATGTACTTGAGTGACTTTGAAAGTACCGTAGCTTAATTATACAGTGCTTTTGCTTGATATACTTGGTGTTATATCGCATTCAGCAAAATGCATGCCAGAGTCTTTATTTAATTGTTTTTAAACCGCTGAGGGACTAGTGTCATTCACTTGCTGGATGATACTGTCAAGAGGCGTTTTCCCAGAGCAGCGCCTACAAGATAACTATAACTCCAGGCTGCTGTAAACAATAAGCATGCACCAAAATGATTTGCGTACTTTGTTTCATGTCATTATAGAAAATCCTGACAGTTGGGATTAGGACACGCTGATGACGGCAGCAGGATGTGATCGGTGGCTGTCAAAAGTGTCAACCTGCTTTCTCCTTTTGACAAATGAAGACATTTTCAATGAAACGAATGGATGGACGTTGGATATTGACTTGCAGGTAACCGCGACACTGTTGTCGCTCTTGAGCGCATGAGAGGAGAGTTCGACAGTTCCTGTGACCGATTTGACAATAGATGTAGGCAGACAGTCGATAAGAGAAGCAAACTTGTTTTCTGTAACGTTCTGAACAACATAAGCTGCCGACTGAAGGCTCGTCTTGATTATTTTGGTGAGCTGGCTTTCCTTGGTTTGTTGGATTGTTCAAAATTCAGTAAAATGTCAAAACAGTCTGATGACACAAAACTGCAGAGCCTTTCAAAATATGCCAAATATTTTGATTTTGTGAAACCTAAGGCAGATCTTGTTGGGTTGTATTGCTCACAATATATATATATATATATATATATATATATACACATACACACACACACACACACACACGCACACAGGTACTACCTGTAAATCCAAAAGGGCACAGGCAACTGAAAGAAGCGACACCATCAACGCAGGAACCGCCATTTCTACAAGGCTGGCTGAGGCATACATTTACTTCTACCTCACAGTTATCACCTATGTGATCATAAAAGGGAACAATGAGGACAACTTTATGCAGTCAATCAAGAAATGTAACACAAACTCACAAAGAATAGCATTATATATAAATATACCGATAAAACCAGGCGCACAGAAGCAAACGTAGCCACTGAAAGTGTCTTTGCAAACACTCAAGACACCACAGGGCTTGCTTTCACAGTCATTTATGTTCAGCTCACAATAACGACCAGTCCAACCTGCAGAGAAAAGGCAAAAGTGTTTGGAAATCTCAATTTGAGAGGACTCTACTCTAACAGTGTTGGACCTGAATAAGTTCAATGACTACCGGTAATGTGTGTGCGTGCATGCGTGTGTGCATTAAAAAAAGAACTTGTGAACTGAACTTGAATCTAGTTTGTGTCGAAAATAAACTCTCCCAACACTGGTGACTGTATGTAACTGTGGCCACATACACCCACATAGAAATTGTAAGTTTCATCAAGTTAGTTAAAAGTTAGCCCACATTCTGATGAATGACACACTCAAATTCATGTCATAAATGTGTTTTGTGTTGTAGCTTAAGCATGGTGAGATTTGGCATCCAGGAAAATAATCAACTTCGAGTGTCATGATCATAATTCATTCAAGTGAAGCCTCAATTGAAGCCAAGTGTCTGCTGGATACTGGAGCTACCTGGTAAACAATCACACTTGAAGCCTCTCCAATGGTCCAAGCACGTTGATCCATATTGACACAGGCCATCAACACAATGGTTGATAGGCGTTTCGCAGCGTGTCCCGGTGAAGCCACGTTGACAAACACACATGTAGGTATTTGCAAGACCTTCACAGCGGAGAGTCCCGTCAGGGTCACAGAGATTGGACACACATGGGTTTACAGAAGAGGAGCAGTCACTGCCGTGGTGTCCTGGGAGAAGCAAGAAGTGGGATTAAGGGAGTGATGGATGTGTGGCGCCAAACCATCGACAGCATTCACCCGACACATCAGAGACTAGGATTTTATTGACTTTTTTTCTTTTTTTTTTGGACAGACTGACATTATTTATCGAACCAAAACCTGGCCACTCAGACCACAGAAGGTATTCTGTGCTGTTATAAGCAGCGACAGAGATTTTCTATGCATGCTATCATTTGATATGCAATACTTGGAGTTGCTATACGAATAATTGATGTACTTAAGTATCAGTAGAAAGTAACACAGTGTGGTTGCCATACGAAAAAGTTAATGGATTCAATTTAACACATAAATGTACGTTGCAAAATGGTAATAAATGATGCTGAGTTCATTCAACAAAAAAGTACTTTGTAATAGACTATTTTCAATACCTGGTGGGCAAATGCATTGTAGCGCTCCGGTTAAGTCATGGAAACAGGTTCCTCCATTTTTGCAGTAGTCAACATCCATACATGCTGTGAGAGCAACTGAGCAATTCTTACCTGAAAAGGAACTTGATTTTAGTATAATGACAATGCATATATGGTCACCTTACTGCATGTTACCATGAGCACTTTTTTATTAGGGAAAAAAATAAACCAAACATAAATTGTCGTAGTGAAATCCGGGATGATTTTCAGTGCCACTGTATACAAAACCGTAAGATAGGATTTTTCTGTGCATTATGATACAACCGCTCTAATGATTGGGAGTTTTGCAGTCATCATATTCATGGATGTCGAAATGATTACAATGGTGACATAGATAACTCACCAGTAAAGCCCAACGGGCAGATGCACTCATAGTCCGCAACCAAGTCAATGCATGTGGAATTATTGGCGCAGTACCCATCAACACATTCATCGTGATTGATTTCACAGTTCGACCCTTCGAACCCTGAAATGAAGAGAAAGAGACAAAAACAATGTGCACACATTTGTTGAGCCATTAACATTGCATCATCAAAGCAGGCTATTTCCGACACTTTGTATTGGTCAACAATGTGAAAAAATAACATCCCCGGTGTGGTGACTGACTAATCGGTTGGGTCTTTCAAAGGCTGCGTTTTCCGCCACATGATGTCACTTCCGGCGCGACTCGACCGCACGTGGTGTCCAAATTCACATTAAGCCTGTCCAAATTCGGCACAAATTATGCAGTCCACGGAGGCTACATGAGGAAGAGCCTTTGAAGACGTTCAAGAACCCAGCCTGCTAATTGTCTTTCTAAATTTGGAAACCACGTGCGGTCCAGTCGCGTCTGAAGTGACGTCTGGTGACTGAAAAATGTGGGCGAAAATAGTGAACGCGGCCTGTGAATGTGGACAAAGCCATCGCATTGATTTGTGAAAAAATTGTACCAAATTTAAACAAGTGATTTTGGTCTGACACAAGTGAACATACGTGTATATATTTTGATGCAGGGCTTTTTGAAACAGACTAGCTGGTGCCCATGGGCACCATGGTTGTGTTAGTCTGGGTCTGTTATTATGATAACATTGTTGTACAATGTTAATCTGCTGCCTTAATTTCAACAAATAAAAGTACTTGCCAATTAAGCCTTTTACCGTTTCCGTCTTTGTGTTTAATTTCTGACTCTATTCTAGGGTGGAGAAAGTCATCTTTATTTTATAGGCAGTACAGCATTGCTACTTTATGAGTGACACAAATATACCGTACAATAATTTTATGCATGGCTTTACTTGATTAATATCTCGGCACATGACGATTTTTTTAAACTGAACAGTTAATGGCATGACGTGAAAATGGGTGCTGCCAATTCTGACATATTATCCTCCTCATAAATATATTGGAGTGTATGGTCACGCTCCAAAATGACTATCATTAGCACTGTCACACACAGCAACTACAGGAGCGCCATGACTAATGCCGGGCTATCAGCACTATCGGTGCAGGTCAAATACTCATCATTCCATCGTTTCTCAAACTGACCATGGAACCAATTTCCACCTCTCTCCGAGTCATAAAATTTGGCAATTATCCTGACTTCATTAAAAATGCAGAACAGGCTTAACCTGCGGTGGAGGTTTAATCAGAACTATGACTAACGTAAGACCATCTGGACTGGAAATGATTGAGAAAATATCTAAGATTTATTTGTACTATCCATAATGGTGCAAGTGACTATTTTGAAATGAATGACTGAATATGATGCAATCATTAGTGAAATGAAAACCAAATATTTGTTAACCTTGACAAGTAGGTAATTGCATCCCAGACCCCACCAAGATGCAAACTGTGTCATTGAAAACAACTGCTATGTTGAAACAGCATCATCAACATGCACTTGCCCCCCCCCCCCCACAAAAAAACATTTGGAAGAAAAATGCAGGTTTGCTTTCTCAGTAAACATTATCGCAGGTCAGCTGATTAATTCCCACTCATTGGCTGATCAGCATAACATTCGAGTAGAAGTCTTTTTGTGGCGGATGTTAGGCAGGGAATGTTTTGAATAACAAAGAACTGTCTGTTTCCATGAACATTTATAACTGCACTGATATCTTTTGGGGTGAATAATGTTGAGTAAATTAGATTTGAGAAATTTTGTTTGAAAACTTAAAAAAAAAAAAAAGTAAAAAAAATTGGTTAAGAGCAAAATAATCATGGCAATTTTTTTTTAGTCACATATATTCCAAGCCAGAAATGGAAGACTGGAGTCAGATTAGTTATTTTTACCTCGCAATATCAAAGTCATTCCAGAAATGATCTACTATTGGCTTATTGGAATCATTAGTCATAGATATAGATATATATGTATCTATATATATATATATATATATATATATATATATATATATATATATATATATATATATATATATATATATATATATATATATATATATATATATATATATATATATATATATATATATATTTTTTTTTTTTAAAGTGTGAGTTTGCATTACAAGGCTGCGATCAGGTTTGCAAACGGCATTAATGCTTTTGACAATGTTAACACATTTGTAACATTTACTGTCCCTCTATGGCCATTATTGACAACACATGGATTTATGTGACCTACCTGTATACAGTATTTAGGTTATAGCTTATAGCAAGACATGTTACATTGTGTGTCTGCCTAGGAGAAAAATGTGTTGTGTTATGTTAGGTTTACATTATGTTTTCCAGTGCGGTATGTCTGTCAGGCTTTACCGCGGACACCAGTACATTCTCTCCTGGCCCGTCACGTTCTGAACAAGGACAGACACATTATTCATGTTTTGTAAAGCCTTTCTACTGTATATATGAAATGTGGACACTAGGCAGCCTTGAAGCATGCTTGGGGCAATAGGAATCGCGGCTACGACAGCATGACTGTCCATGTCTTATGCTATGTGTTCAGCGACATTATTTTGTTATGTTAACTGTTCTGTTTAGCGCTTTGTTACAGCTGCAGTTGTTGTGAAAGCGCGATATAAATAACTGTGTATGGTATTGTAATGACATAATAGAATGAGGGGCCCCAACCGACGTGATTTCATACCCCTTCCCTGACCACACTTTCAGTGTCAGACTGTAAACAAATGCAAAAAGCCATTATGACGCCGGGCCCGTAAAGCGTCTTGCTGTGATGCTCGCTCGCTTCGACCCAGCCAAATCATGGTACAATACTCCAGAATGTTTTTCAACTTGAAAGCACCATGAGGGAAATACATTGAGTCTTTTTCTCTTCCCACTCCCCACTTTGGCAATCACAGCGTTGCAAATTTTTGAAAATCTGGTCTGGCATCCACGGCGATCATGGCCAGTCAGGTTAGCCACTCCTGCTCCCCCGCAGTGTCGCACGTCCATTCCAATTCATCTTTAAACATGATTGTTGTGGCCGCTGAGAACAAAATGTAAACCTAGCATTGACGTTGAAATTCCTCTTATTCTGCTTTCCACATGCTATTAACTGTGACCTTTTGTTATTAGACTTGATGACAGCAAGCTTACAAACTTCATTTAAATATTATTATTCCAGATAATACATTCTTCCTTCACCTATGTCAGTAAATCATGTCTCTGATCCACTGGTGAAAGGAGACTTTGATTCTCTCCTCTTTCATGTAGAACTGCCTCAAACAATAAAGCGTATGCAGGAATAGGATTTCCAATTGTATGCCTGTCCATGGTTTATGCTATATGTTCTGTTATATTATTTTTGTGATTTGATGTTAACGGTTCTGTAAAGCTGCAGCTGTTATGAAAGCGCGATATAAATAAATACCGGTATCTATTGTATTGTATAATTCATGATGCAGGCAGTGTGCATTATATGCATTATTCGAGGATGTGTGTAGTGGTACATTGTGGCCATCCACAACCACACAGTATATATATATATTTCTAGTCGCATTCGGCGTTACCTTCCGAGCAGAAGCAATGATACAGGTCAGTGCCATCCACACAAGCGCCATTATTTTGGCATGGCTTTGACTCACACTCGTTGAGATTGACTTCACACAATGACCCTCCAAACCCTGCAACATGTCAAAAACAACCAAACAAAAAAAAAAGCATGTTATTGGAATCCTGGTTTTATTTTACAGATGATCCAGACTAACTTATCTTTGTTTGACTTCTAAGTCAAGCATCGATTCCAAAAGATTGCCAGGCGCACAGACGACTGTATGCACCCGGCTCACTGGATGATTAAATCATGTCAAATAAGTAAGTGTAAGTCATTTATCGGATTAAACGAGGCCGGTTTTAAGATCAAAGTCAATCTATGCATGACGGCACGTATATAAACTCTTACACACACGTGCACACATGTTTAACCCCCCGGCCCCCCCCACCCACACACACGCACGCACGCACGCACGCACGCACGCACGCACACACACACACACACACACACACACACACACAATTAAATACAAGAAGTTGGTGTGTATTTTTATGTATGCATTTGTGGTACTATTGTATTCACAGTATTGCACCACTTTTGATTTGGCAATCTTATTAAAAAGCGTTACGAGTTTTAGACTGATGTTGATACACTAATATCCATTTCATTCATCTTTCCACATACTCTATAATCGACATTATTTAGTTGAAGAACACAAATCCAAAATGTGACAACGGAGGATATGAGAAACAGGTTTTGCAACAAATTAAGCTGGCAAGCATTCGATAATATGAATGCCAATTTCGCCCACCTGAAACATCCAAGGCAAGGCAAGATTTTAGAGTGTGCCCTTGAGAGGAGACGTGGGACAGCAGCTCGCGGTGAGTTGCTTTCATTTACATAAGAAATCACTCACACTCCTTCATTTTGACATATGCCCAGCATACGTGAAAAGGGCGTAATGAAGTCGCTCAGTCATTGATTTGGTAGCATGAACTTTTACTAAATAGAGTAGAGAAGGCGGAAATATAATCTTTTGATAGGCAAGAGATCTGAATAAATATAGATGTATGCAAAGAATGCCACGTATGCACACACAAACCCTGTGAGCATTAATTTGTGCTAATTGGGTCTGAAATTATACAGTATGGTACACAGCTAAAGTGTAATTAATACGCCTACCTACAGGCTCTTTAATTTACATTGTCCATATGTAAAGTGAAGCCAAAAAGAAAATTCATATAGGGACACATTTTGAATTAGGCCCGCTGCACACTAAGGGGTGTAGCCAAACATGACTGAAGTGGACCATCGTCCAAAAAAACCCCCCAAAAAATACGGCTGGCAACACAACTGCTCACAAAGCGATAGAGCACCATACATCTACTGAAGGAGAACTACATGGAAACTGAACGCAAAAACTTTTTGAGGTCCCGTTATTTTGACATCCGGCTGGGCTTTGCTTAGCATTAGTACCAGGAAACATTTAATTTTTATTAAATATATTGATATATACACACACACACTTTTATTTTTTTATTTTTACATAATCAAGAAGACCTTCATGTTCTAAGTGCATCATTTCCCTCAAAGGTCTTTGCATACCTCTTTCACATAAGCAAAACACGTTTTGCCCATCCTTTGTTTCCGTGCACAATACTGTATGTTCAGTGCACATCCCAAAAGAGCAAAGGTCAATATCTATGGAGCAGTCTTTGCCCTTGAACCCTGAAATGAGAATAGCATTGACAATTAAAATTCAAAGAACATGGGGAAAAAAAAAAATAATGCGACATCCACGTGTTTATGGCTCTGTATTTTATAGGGCGAAGACAACCTTTTAGCACATTTATGCATTATTGATTCTTCCCTTGCAATGTAGTTGCTATGTATGCAGTATGGTAATTGAGTGTCTCATTGACAGTGACCCAACTCATCACTCTGATGGAGATCACATTCATCGACAGCACCAAAAGGACATCTGCATGCCACTGATACAAGCCAACATCTATTCGTGTAAATAAAACACAAGCCGATGGGGATGCTCGTCGGAAAAAAGAAGGGTAACACTTAGACGACATCACATATACTGTATTTCGGTTTCAGACAAAATCACTGAACTACTGACATCTTAAACAACAAAATCGGATATGATTGGACCAAACAACTGTGTGTTTCTTCAAACATACTGTCTGAGCTTCACATTGTGCACTTTTCTGACATTAAAGTCACAATGCATGTTTGGGTAGGTGTATCTCACGTAACCATTTGACCTTCTATCAGCCTTATTCCCAACGTTATATATGACCTAGACAAGGTAATGGCCAACTATTGCCCCCAACAGAGTGTTCCGAAAGTGCTTAATAACCAATTGCGCATGCAATTCACTAGGCAGTTAATGTTGCATGAAGGAATGTCACATTTCCAGTGTCACAATCATCAAATGGAACACCCTGTTCAGTCTGACAAGCAGTTATACTCGATTGTAAGCACCCAATTTCATCCATCTGTTTCTAAAAATTTGAAACTGCCAAAAAGACGTACCATGTTGTTTGTTACGTCCCTTAAAGGTCAACATGCACTGACATTCCGCTTTTAGTGTCTCAAGTGCTTCAAGTCAGCACATTTTAACAGCTATTTTAATACCATCCACGGGGCTCACTATACATCTGCTGGTGGGAAAGATTAACATTGATGGCCGTATATCAGTTTCCACGTGACCACTGAGACTGCTGTTGCTGTTTATTACCTCCACTTAGAGAGATTTTGGCCTTGTTTATCACCCCACGTGTTCGCATCAATGATATTGAATGTGAATGCAATAAATGAAGACATGTTTGCACAATCTCGGATGCATTTTACGATCCATTCAACAATTTTAGCAGTTTTGGAACAGAAGTGTTTTGGATGGGTAAGTGGCAACAATCAGGGCATGGTGACCCCCTTCATGATGCAAGTACCTGTCCCAGAATTCAATGAGAAAAGGTGATCTGAAATGTATGCTTGTTTCAGTCATATGCCTAATCAATTTGACTTCACCCTGAAAAAGCTACATTGGTCATTTTAATGTTCTTGTCAACACGACAGTCAACTTTTATACGCTGTACAATAGTAAACTACTATATAATCTAGGAAGAAATTCATGCGCAAGCCAGGTTAATTCATTAAATGAAACGACTCAGGAAACGATAGCCACGTGGTCTGACTTCTCAGGAAGACGCGAACAAGGCCGACTGAACATGTCCCCCCCATCCCCACCAACCCACACCACCATTTATTGGGTTTCTGAAAAAAGATGAGCCCATTAAAAACACCTGTCTATAAATCTGTCCATGTAATAAAACAGTAATGGAAGCTTTACTCACACATTGGTGTTCTGTTTTCTGTTTAAATCTAATTTCTGGGAAAATGCAGGAAATTAGTAGGAGCAGATAATCCACAATGATGGATTTGTTCTCTCTCTAATGTCATAAACACACCATGTAAAAGGTACCATGCAGGGTTGAAGCTGGTTAATGTTTTAATGACAATCCATTGATTGTCCAGTAGCATGCAATTCCGGGAACAAAGCGTACAATGACAACAAACGCAGTAAGAACATTGAATTGATAAAACAAGAACACATGTAAACGCCAAACCTAAATGTGTCACACATGTAAGGAGGTATTTTATTTTCTAATATTTTTTTTTTACATGAACTGCTTATAACTGAACATGACATTGGACTCAAAATGCCGAACAGCGCTGGAAGCAGAAATGCGACTTGTGCAATCAAGTGGTGATTAAATATTTTATTGCCAGAAGGAGCCGTCAAATCAGCTGCTTACCGAAGAATGCAAAACAGCCTTCTGCTATGGGCTGATTACAGACACTTGTTATGGAAGATATTACACACAGTAATCCAGTTTTAACGCAAGGGGTGGTTGAGAAATGGCGAAAGGGAAATGGGTACAAGAAAAACTTATATTTGAAGCGAAAGAAGAGGATTTAGTCACGTTGGTTTCCAAATGTGGTCACAAAGAGTGTCACATTCATTCGCAAAACACGGAGGTGTAAAGGCCCGCTTGAAACTATTTTGTTACTTTAAATCTTTCTCTGGAAACAAATCAAAATACTTTATTTTCTTCTAAATCTGTGTTAGCGGGCATTTCGGAATCTGGTCACAGTAGGTCTGTGCAGTAACCAAAATGCCATCAATAAAATGTGGCTATGTTCATCTACACCATCCATAATAACCCTCCACCACAGTTACTTCAATCTACATTATTTACAAAGTCATCACCCAGATGACGCCAAACTCACTATTTGACAATCGCCCTGTACAGTGAAAACCGGGATTCAGTCGTGAAGAGAACAGCTCTCCAAAGTGCCAGGCACCATCAATGTGAGCATTGGCCCACTCACGTAAGTTACAGCAACAAACTGCAGTCATGCTGACAAGCCGATGAAGACAACGAGCATTCGGTTGAGCATCCCCGTGACGGTTTCTGACAGTTTGCATAAAAAATTCTTTTGTTATGCAAAATGATGATTGCAGCAGCTGTCCAGATGGTTGGTCTCAGACAATCTTCAATTTGAAGATGCTGGAGGCGGAGGTCCTGTGCTGTTGTTATGAAAGGCTGTAAGGCAGGTTGGATGTACTGCCAAATTGTCTGAAATGCCTTTAGAGACATCATAGGGTTGAGAAATAAACCTTCCTTTCAAGGGCAACAGTATTGTGATAGAAACTGCACGTTTTAGAGTGGGCCGCCGAAGGCACACCTGTGCAATAATCATACGGTTTAATTATCATCTTGATACATAGCATGCCACATTTGTGAGATGGATGGATTATCTCGACAAAGGAGAATAGATTGTTGAATACGTTTCAAAAATCAGATTCTAACCCATTAAAAAATACTGACTAAAGTCAGCCCAGAATATAAATGCTTTTAAATCCGGGTTAAAAAAATGTTTTTCCTTGCAAAAAAACAAAATTGGTATTACCGTATTTCTATTCAGTGTATTTAGACAGTTTAGATGAGAAATTCTGACTTTATATTCTTGAACAAAAATGATATGCAGACAACATTGTCTTTCGACATATTTGTAAAACCATCCTGCTCTTTTGGGTGGCCATATATATTGTTTTATCTGCCGTTCATTCTTCATTCATCCATTCACGCAATGCCGGAAGGAAGGTAATTCACACATTGTTGGCCACAGTGACCTTGGCCATTGACTGGCAATCGACCAATGCATTTTAATCACGGCGACATATTTCATATTCATCATGTTGCCCGTGTTATTTCCCTGTACACCTAAGTCACAATTTCCACATAAAGCAACTTGCCAAAACCCACGTGACTCGTGATATGACAGTGACTATGACCATTGAAGAAATGAGTACAGATGGGGGGAAAAAAGCCCCCAAACATAAAACATTCATTCATGGCAGACAACGTTGTGGAGGCATAATTAATAGCATTGTATTTTTGTAAACACAATCAATAACAATACACATCTAGTTGGCACTTACCAAGAGGACAATGACAAATGTAGTCATTTATCAGATCCATACACAAGCCACTATTGAGACAAGGCTGTGACCAGCAATCGTTCACATTCTCTTTGCATCTCCTTCCTGTGGGATGAAGATGGATAGATACATTAAAATTAAAGTCCAACCTTAAATGGGCTTGAACTCACATCGGCTGCTAATGATCAACATTGTTAACATTCACCAGACTAAAAGTCTGCCTTTGTAAAGATGGTAGTACAGTTTATATAATAGACGTGGTTCCGGTAACAGCATTATGCCACGCAATCACGATAGTAAACACCTGACGAAATTATAGTCCGAAATGGGTTTGTGTTGTTTTAACAACATTACAATCACATGTATTCTAATATGAATGTTTTCGCAACCATTACCTCTATTATCGCCAGCCTAGGGAAAAAGGTGGGCTATTACCTCATCTCACACTGGCTGGAAATCTAATTAGAAATATACGTATTCAAATTCAGCATGCATCTTGTGTACACAAGATGCATCAATTCAGTAATCTCAAAATGACTAACCTCTGGGCAAGAGTTGGTATTGGAATTAAACTAAATCATTACTGACACATTTAAAGCTCCTCTCACTTTCGCCTCTGGTGATATTTCAGACCACTGAGAAGGGGAGTTCATTGGACACATCCTCAGGCTGTACGCTTCTTCTCGTCCACTAAATGTAATTGTAATTTGCCCATCATGGCCCCATGCATGGACAAGTGGAGGTGAGGACACGATTCATTGTACTGTATGATTTTCACCGAATTGAGGCAGGCGCTGAGTATAAATCAGGTCATGTCCACATGCAGGAGGCACACTTTACACCTTTTGCGACAGTTATGTTTCCTGGACCGATCCATTGCGCAACATTACATTGTTGTTACTTTTACATTACCGGTATGTTCGCTAAGTGTCTAAAACATGCATGTATTACCTTTCTATTTTAAGTCCTAATACAGTAAATCAATAACAAAATATTAGTTAGTCAAACCAGGCTTTTATACTACCCATATACTGTAGTATAATTCCTTCATTTTGCTGGATGACGAAAACCTTGCATGCCCATGTAATATTTGGATTTTTTTTTTTGGACATAATGTAATCCACTGTGGTCCTGTATGTACTGTTGTAGTGAACAAAAAAAAAACTGCCCCAGTTATGAGTAAATTTTATTAAGACGGCAAAGAGGAAAGTTCAGTGGTAAAGGTGTCATTTTAGTCCAATCGCCCTAATACAGTAAATCGATAACAAAATATTAGTTAGTCGAACCAGGCTTTTATACCACACATATAGTATAATTCCTTCATTTTGCTGGATGACGAAAACCTTGCATGCCCATGTAATATTTGGATTTTTTTTTTTGGACATAATGTAATCCACTGTCGTCCTGTATGTACTGTCGTAGTGAAAAAAAAAACTGCCCCAGTTATGAGTACATTTTATTAAGACGGCAAAGAGGAAAGTTCAGTGGTAAAGGTGTCATTTTAGTCCAATCGACAAACATGAGGTCCAAACGGGTGTCAAAATTATTGACGAATTATGAGGTCACTGTTAGTGTAATAGTTCACTTGCCTGACTTCTGTGCTGGCAGTGTGTGTTCTGTTCCCACGCGCTGATAGTGTGCATGTGAATCTGAATGGCAGTCAGTCTTATGTGATTAACTGGCAAACAAACCAGGGTGGTAGCTCTGCCTATAGCCCACAGTTAGCTGGGATAGGCTCCAGCTTCCTGTGACCCTGAACAGGCCACGCGGCGTAGAAAATGGAGGAATTGGAGGACAAATTACAGGACACAGATTTTAATGCTATGGAGAAAAAAATGCAATGTATTGATGGCATTGTGAGCTTGAACTATCCGATCAGTACATTAAGATAACCTTCATTGGTCCCACAAGGGGGACATCTGCAAATTATATTAAGTACTGTTTGTCCTCCCTCAGACATAAAGATTCTGAACAAGTCTGCGAAAACCTCTCCAAACTTTAAACATACATCTACAGTCGCGAAACTACAGATGTAATTTATGATGGATGTAATTTATGATGTATTTTTATTCAATACTATAATGTGGCAAATAGGAAAACATTTGCACATTGACCCAAACTCACCAGACTGCCTCTTGTCACACGGTAATCAATTTACAGTTAAATAACAAAACACTGAAGATATGTTTTATATCCAATAAAATTCCATCTGGCTATCCATAAATCAGAGGCTGAAGAGGAAAATGATTCTTTTTTTTTTTTTGGTAAATGTCTTACCCTCAAAGCCCGTGGAACAGTGGCATCGATAGTCACCGACGAGATCCTCACACGTGGCCCCGTTTGCACAAGGCAAGATGTCACATTCATTTGTTTCCAGTTCGCACAGGGCCCCTTCATATCCAAGAGCGCAACGACAGGTGAAATTCCACCGCTGACCCACGCAAATCCCATGTTCAGAGCAGCTGTGGTCCACACAGTAATCAACGTCCTTTTCACAGAAGGAGCCAGAGAATCCAATGGGACAAAGGCAGCTGGAAAGATATGAGAATTCCTTACGGCTGCATCGTTTATGACGAACTGCTTTAATTAACTATGACAGAGGCGGCAAATGTCATAGCTTTGACACTGAAGTAGCGGGGCATCGCAAAGGTGACGGTGGATGCAAACACTCACCTATAACCGTCAATTTCATCCACACAAGTGGCACCATTTTGACACCAATGTTGAACACAATCATTGACATTTGTGCGACAGTTATGGCCCGACCAGCCAGGCCTGCAGATACAGGTGTAGCTCTTGCCGTTATTCAACACACAGCGGCCTCCATTGGCACATGGCTGCTGAAAGAAGATGGGCTGGTTAGGTAGATATGACATCTGAAAACATGAAAGAACTTTATCTTGTATTATATATAATGTCTTACATTGCCCAGGTCAGGAATCTTGTCATTATTTCACAATATAACTTCTAATCATTTCTTCTTCCTGGCAGCCTGAGAATGAGCCTCATTACTGGGATATGATTCTCATGAATATTGATCCGTGCTTTATACTGTATTCACTTGCTATTTTATGTTGCATCTAAATCATGTCTTTCAAGACAAGATCAATGACCAGAGAGGGCAAAAGCTCTCGAGAGCCCTCTCGCAAAATTAGGGAAAAAAAGAAGGATGCACGCCATAGCGTATTAATAAGGTTTACATACTTTTTGCAGTCCATCCATTGCCTAAAACCCGTCACATCAAAAGAACAGTTCCACACCATCCATGCCTTTTGAATTTTTTTAATTTTACAATATTGCTCACCACAGATGGAATTCTCTTTTCAAATCTGTTTCTCTTATTACCTGTACATGTCTGATGCCTTGCTCAAAGTCACTTTGACATGACAGTTCTTAGGGAGCAGAGAAAACACAACATTTCCATGTTTTCAACCTTCCTTAAAGCTCAGACACCTAAAATTTTAATTCTCATACCCGGGCCACCTGAATAAAAACCAGGAATCCTAACCACTAATTTACACAATACTTTGAGAACAGGGAATGATATCGGGTACCTGCATATTGTAAATATCACAAATAATTTCCAAATGACTTGATATTATTCATGTGTATTTCACACATTGCCATTGGAGTCTGGCCGGCTGGCCGCTAGTCCATTATCAATTAAGTGGTCACCCATGCCAGCTACCACGGATCATCTGAGAGACTAAGACACGGCAAGACAAGGCAGAGATGCTAATTACTGTTGGAGAGTGCTGCTGTAGCCAACCACAGAAGAAATTTGACCCACCTGAAGGCTTGAAGGGCAGGGCAAACGGCAGGTATATTTTAGACCATCAGCGAGATCCACACACAGAGTCTTTGGTGGACATGGGCTGTTTAGTTCACAAGCGTCTATGTCCAATTCACAATTCTTGCCAAGAAAACCTGCAAAACGAGATTAGTTACTATATCGAGTATCAGTCACAGGAAGGGTGGCTGGTCCATCAACTTGAAGTACACTGGAAAACTTTGTAGCCCCATTAAGTTCTGTTCACTTGATGGTTCTTGAACCTAAATGGCTCTAAATCGTTTTGGATACTGAACTTAGCTGTTCTAGTTCTCTAAAGTTAAAGTTGCAGTCATGAATTGGCTTGACTGGTTAAATAATTTGTCTGGTCTGTCCACGTTGACTTGACTTGGCAAGTTAATTGTAGAAAAAAAAGAAAGCAAAAAGAAGGGCAATAGCAGGAGTTTGGTGAAAAAAATAGGCGGTGTTATTTTTAAATACAGAAATATGCACGCCTGATGTTGGTATGGATGAAGCGTGGACGTAGGCCTAATTCATATTATGTCATGAGGACATTCCTCAAAAATATTTTGCAATGAATAACAAAGGACCTCCACCTGCGGAGTAACTCTGTCTGTGTTAGGGAGTTAGGGTTGATAGCAGACGGCGGCTGATATATGCTGAATCCAATTCATCAACGGGGGTGGTACATTATTTTACCGTCGTATAACAATTGGTCACAGATTTCATCCATTAAAAGTGACGTTTTTTTTTTCCTCCACGAGACAAGAGTTTATGTTGGCAGTGCCGTGAGCGGCATTTGGCGAGCAGCCATCAACAACAAAATCCAGTCTTTTTGAGGCGAGAAAAGTTTACGATATAAAAATAGTAACGTGTATAGTATTGATTTTATTTTCTGAGATTACAAACAGGAGATGTTGAGATGTGTCATTAGGCCAATTTTTTTCGGAAACCCTTGATGCGATAATAAAAGGGATGCTGGTCGGACTCAGTGGACACTAAGGACCTCTCCAGTATGCATTTCTTCTGGAAGTCTTTAATGGAGCTGTGGTGGTTGAAAAGACAATTATCATTCATGACCTCACAGGCTTTGCCACGTTGATGGGTGCCAGCTATTGATTTAACCTTCAATAACAACATGAAGTACATGAGCATTAAACCCGACCAGTGCTCGGCAAAAATCCATAGTTTTGGAAATAAACTGATAAGATACCACCTCTAAAAAAGGAATTCTCATATTTAGCTGTTACTGTTGTAATTTTTGGGAACATTTATTAGTTTTAGCTGTGGAATTTTTACTGCTCTGTTCAAACAAAACTGTCACAATAGCAATTCATAGCAAAATTGTTTTGTTTGTAGTTGTCTTTTTTTCAGGCTATGAAACAGTTTGGGAACCAGTAGATTTAGTTACCATTTTTTGGGATTGTATCATATTACTCTTGTTTACATTTGGACTTTGTAGTTTCATGGTCTTATGCAAACACTAGCAGTTTTAAATAACATCCCAGTCTCAGCTCAGTCTTCTCTTTTTGTTTTGTTTTGTTTTTTTAAGAATTGGTAAGATTTACTAATACACAATCTTGGCATGTTTCATCAGGATTTTTTTGAATTTAAGGAAAAATAGTTATATCTCAGCAAATCATGGGGTGTAGTGAAAACCCCTACAGTATTTCTGTTACGTTTGTGCCAACAGAGCACGTGTGTATTCACCACTGCCAATGCCAACATAGTAAAAGGCTTAACCTTTTGTGCAACTACCATGAGATTGAACTGATTTAGAACACTTCAGGTACTGTTATGGTTTTTGGGGACACTCGCAGACATGATGTATGGGGAAACTCTTGTCATAGCGGGGCCAGCATTTGATATACATTTGGGTCAGATCCAGCAAGGTCATTGTTTTTTGCAATATCTTTGAGGGAAAAAAAAATCTCTCTCTCTCTCTCTCTCTCTCTCTCTCTCTCTCTCTCTCTCTCTCTCTCTCTCTCTCTCTCTATGTGTGAGGGCTTTTGTGGACACTACATTTGCCAAACTGAGATAGTTTTGTTATTATTTCTTCTCTGTACAGCTTGCACATGAACCTCAGGCCCTTTCAGTATGAAGAGCTGCATCATGGACAGTTCAAGCCTGAACACACTGAATTAACATACGGTATGCGTGTGCTAACCTCTGGACCTGACAACTTATAAAGGTTATTCCATGTTTCACTTAAAGCGGATTCTGTGTTTACCAGTAAGGTCAATTCTTCTAAGAAACAAAACAAAACATGATGGTGTATGATACACAACCCAAAGTGTCTTTCTATCTATCTATGATGAAATGCTTCATTAAAGGGGGAAAAGCAACTGCCAGAGATTCTCCATGCCCTGCCAACAACACACAGCCCTCACGAGGGCTCCATCACTTTGCATTTTGTGATTGTAAATTCAGGTCTCAGCCGGTGAGGTAAAATAAGCAATTAATGGAAAATTATTTTGATGGGAGTTTCGAGATATATTAGCTCAATTCCAATGCATTATTGGACTCTGTTAATGAGCTTTGTGATTTCTTTCTGCTGTCAATCATGGGCCAAAATTGTTAAACAGAGACATGTTGTCTGGAGCACTCCAGCCTTTTCATTGCTGCCTCGAATGCAGAAGTGAAGACATTTTAATTATTTCTGTAAAGAGGTAGCCCAGTGGAAGAGTGGCTTGCGCTGATTTCTCAAATAGAGACCATGCTTGAATCTCTCTAATCTCAGGCCTTTCTACGTGAAGTTCGACCTATTCTTATGCGGCATCTCTATTGCTTTATGCCACAGTACAAAAACCACATGAAAAATTAACTAAAGCCGAACGCTTAAGCTAACTAAATTGTGCATCGTTCTGAATGTGAGCGTGAACGGTTGAAAAAGACTGATGATCTGTCCAGGTATGACCCATCTTTTCGGTCAGAATGATCAGGGATAAGATTCCACATAATCTTCCACAGGGACAGTGAAATAAGAAGTAACTCTTTTTGTGACTGAAAAAAATATATTTAATACATGCAGAATTTAATCATGCCTATTTCCCCAGCTTAATTTCCTCCGGCAAATTGTGTTTTCGCTGAGGGATGCCCGTGGCAAAGGCTAATCACCGCGGGTTTTCTGCGAACACTGAAAAGGCCAGAGGGTCCCTGGCGAAGACTCAGAGGCTATATTCACGATGCACAAGTGCAAAAGGTTTGTATTACTGCTTGCCACCGTAGCTAATAGCAATATCTATGCACAAAGACCTACTTGGCAAAAACTAGATACCTGTGGGACATTGGCATTCATAGTGTCCTACCAGGTCAAAGCATATGCCATTGTGCCGGCAGGGGTTGGAGTGACACTCGTTGATCTCCGTCTCACAGTGTGTTCCTGAGAGGGGAGAAAAACCCCAAAATAAATAAACAAAGAAAATGTCTGTTCATTCGTGATTAAAAAAATAAATAAAATTGCACAAAATTGATTTAAATGAAAGTTCCAAGAAAATATTTGATTACGCTGGGCAAAGTTAAATTGATACTCCAGTATATCAGTAACACTAAACACATTATCAAGAGTATATATTCATAGCAACCATGAATGAGTCAAAGTACTATTTTTTATACTACTACTAATACTAATAATAACTACTACTACTACTACTACTACTACTACTACTACTACTACTACTACTACTACTACTACTACTACTACTACTACTAATAATAATAACAATAATAATACACAATCTGACTCCTTTTTTACAAAATTTCAATAACAAAAATGACGTAGAGGGAAAGGCGGAATTTCAGTGTGACTGGCTTCTTATTTCCGGATTAGAAAAATAGCCACTAAAATAACTGTCAAGTGATTTACATCGCATTACATTGAAATATTGCTATTATCAGTAATCTGATGTCAAACAAAAGTAGTGCAACTCATCAAGATTTTTACCTGTATTGACATGTTATGCAACACATGATAATTAAATATAAGCAGTTCCGCCTGGGAAATGGTGGGTAGATACTATTTGCACTCGACATGAGGTTAGTTACTTTCCAAGCAGATATTTATGATGTCCCAAAATTTCATCTGCAGCATAATAAAAAATATTAAATTGTGCGAGTTTTGAAAGACTAAGGAAGTGGAATTGCCTCTTTTTATTTTTACCTGATTTTAATGCTCAAGTAATGTTTTGATGTTATTGTTCTTTTGTTGCAATGCAGCACTAATTGTGATTTTATATAAAATGGTCTAGAGTCAAGTAGTTATTCGTAGCACTTTTATCATTACTCATTTGCAATGGTTATTGATTTTGTTCAAATCAGCTTCAAGTGAATTGGGACAATTTGAAAAAAATATTTATTTAGTCTAGTTGAAGAGGTATACAAAAGCCAGAGAAAAGTTGAATATTGCTTGACAGAGATGGGTTCTTCACTGCTCCGCAAAAGCTCGGAAGCAGACGTGTCCTCTTCCACTGTCAGTGGGTGGGGATGTGTGCTTCCAATGCAGGCTATTAATTCAAAATGTCTTCTCTTCAATAACAGAAGGCACAAAAAAAATTAATAAATAAACATCCTGCCATGACAGACGTGCTTTCATGTAACAGCAGAATGGCAAAATGAATATCATTAGCAGAGTGGATGCTACAGCTCTTTATATACAAACTTGGCCGCGTGCTTTGCTTCATCTTATACATCTGGGAAGTGCATATCATTTGTGACTGCAAAGAAAAAAAATTAATAAATAAACATCCTGCCATGACAGACGTGCTTTCATGTAACAGCAGAATGGCAAAATGAATATCATTAGCAGAGTAGATGCTACAGCTCTTTATATACGGTACAAACTCGGCCGCGTGCTTTGCTTCATCTTACACATCTGGGAAGTGCATATCATTTGTGACTGCAAAGGTAAATTAGTTATGTCATAATGTTGCCATTTTAACGTGGCCGGGTCGAGGTACGGCACCACGGTGGAGTATTTGTGACTACCCTAGTCTGTCTGCTTCAGAGTCAACTTTGGCTATGTTCAAATCAGATCGAATCTTGTCTCAAGCCTTCCTGTGTAGAGTGTGCATGATGACCCTGTGCTCATGTGGGTTTTCAAGTGTGTTGTTTGTCCTCCGTGTCCTGTGATTGGCTTGTGACAAGTACACATCCTCACCGAAAGTCAGCTGGGATAGCTGCGACTGTTCGCTCAGTTCTGCCACCCAATAATGCATGTTTAGAAAATAAATAAATAAAATAAAGGGACAACGGTGTCTGCTGTGGTAACTAACGCTGCATCATTCCGTTGATATATATCTGCAATATTTGATGGACCAGTCAGGGCAACTCTCATAATGCACCGGGCTTGGGACCGGCACTGGGGAACAGTGCACCCCCAGGGGAGGGCACTGCCCCCCAGTGGCTGGGTTACCTCTCATAATGCACTGATATGTTCATTTTATTTTTTTCTTTTTGTAGCACCTTTCTTTCTTTTCTGCAGTGTGGAAAATAAATCCACACTAAATAAAACCTCCATACCAGGGCTTGATCAGTATATCCAGAGTTATGATCTATGCTTGAGTACAATGGGGGTTTTCAAGGCAATGCTTGAAATTAAATTGGCCTTTTTATGTCGTGTGGATCGAAAATTCAAGAGGTAAAAAAAGAATAAAAATCCAAGATGATGTAAAATGAAGAATTTTATCCATCACTAAGTCCTACCATACAGTGACAGAGATGCTTTTCAATTTCTGAAGTGGGAAGAGATTTTAGCAAGGAAAAAGAAGTGGAAAATCTTGTCTATGAAGTGCTATTTAATGGTTTATTTGACTGATAGGTGAGTGTGTTAGGGCTTAACGCGAGATCACGGAAATGCACTGCGGGGGGAAAAAACACACACACACACACACACACACACACACAAAGTATATATGGCATGATCATAACCAGTGAATGCATGAATGCTTCTACAGGAATTTACACGGTATAGTCTCCCTCAGTGTCTATGTTAGTCAAACATAACCTTATGAAGTGAATGAAGCAGAAGCAAATCTAAGATGGCAGCATATTGAATCTCATCGTGGAAACACAGAGGGGAGAAATGAATCATGAAAAAACATCAGAATAGGCTTTTGAGGATATGTAACATGACAAATGAGTTCATCTGAAAGCAACATATTTTTTGGCCAAGTTTGTCTTGAACTGCTCTTCATACATAATTCTGCATAATGGAGTATGACAGCACGGCAATGACCAAATAGATGATGCTTTGAAACTGCGGCATGCCATTTCTATTCAGGTTTATAATGATGTCGTTTTTCTAACGAGTCGTCTTTTCCAACCTATTTAAAGATGCGCATGAACGGTTTTCCATTCAGACTTTACATAATCACCCCTCTGGATTTGTGTCGCGTGTTTGTTTTTTAGAGCAGGGTGGTGTCGTTTGTATTTTTATCCCTGTTCTAAGATGATAGCTAATTAAGAAGTGGTTTGCCAGATTAAATGTATTGGCAGCAGTGCTTCAAATGACAAGCAGGTAGATTAAGTGGAACCTCTGGAGTTCAAGTATGTTCCTCGCCCTTAGCTGTATTCTCCACCTGCGTAGCTAGGTTAGGGATAAAAAGTCACTGACAAGAAGAGACCTTGAGCTGGGAGCAGGCCCATCTTTCCGGGCACTTAATCACAGTTTGTTGCAAACATGACAGCGGGAACCTCAACTTCCACAACAATGTTGGCCTCCGTGTGATATATTTACACTACTAGAGGTCACAGAGACTTCCTAATTAGGTAGAATTGTCCTCCACATGGTCCATCTCAACCTTTAACTTTATTTAAGTCATCGTAAGTCACGGTTGAGGACTACGAGTCCTTGTTGGGCTTCGTGGGGAAATTTTATCAAGACTCAATTCAGTGTCCATTTAAAGACATTTATCTCAAATGAAAGAGCAGATAAACAGATAAAAACATTAAGCAGCTAAAAAAAGTCAAGTGCAGGACACACTTGATTTAATTTTCAAAATGTCCTCAGCCTCATCATAGGGACTGTGTCGCCTAGAAGTTGCAAGATATTTACTTTTCAATAGGACTCCATTCTTTGAGTCAAATATTATGCTAAGAAATGGTCAGTGGTATACAGCGTATGATAAGTCAACTTACTGATGCCCACTAATTTCAAGTACTTCAAGCAGACATGTATGAACTCCTAAAGGTTGTGTGACTTTGGTTTTGAATACCAAAATGAAGGCCCACGATGAGAAAATGAAAGTCAAAACATTTGCTCACTCTCATTGCGTGCACACATTTGCATCATTCATGCCACAAACCAAATGGCATATTACATTTAAAAAAAAAAAATATCGGGACTGTGTTTTTTACATGTACAATTCAATTCTGTCTTCATGGCTTAAAAATATTCAATAACAAACAATGTTTTCTGGATTCCAACTTTTTCTAAGCATCTTCCTGATTTCCTTCAATCAATGATGTGCTCTGGTGAGGACAGATAAGACAAATCTCTCTCACCTGTGAATCCGTTTGTGCATTTGCACACGTACTCTGGAGGAGATGACATCTGGCTTGTTGTAATACACGTGGCTCCATTCAAGCATCTGTTGGGTTTTATCAGGCAGGCATTGCTCACGTATTGACAAAACTCTCCCATCCATCCTGGTGAACAGATACACTGCAGGAAAACCAGCGTGGAGGTAAATTTAACAAGGTGTGCCACTCATTAGTCTTGTTCCATTTGACAACACTGGATTTGAGCAAAGTGGTGACTGTAAGGCTCTTCATCTCCAGTGGGATCCTGAGATTTATGACTATGGAGGTGGGGTGGGAATTTCTGAACCAATAATGATGACATCCCCATTCAGTGATTATACGATGAGTGATTTATTACAATTACAATGTCAACGTAACTAGAAATACATTTCTTCAAACAATACTGTATATAACCAAATAACACAAACTTAACACTAACCATATGATGTTTCCAAGGCAGTCAAAACGTAGATATTTCCGATTGGAATCAGCATATTTGAAGACTTAATTGAAGATTTTGCCTCTCAATTTTGAGTGCTGTGCTTCAGAATCATCTCAGTGAAATTTGATCTTTACTGTTGATTATCCTCTGAAAACATGATGTTCGTTATCCATCACTGTCAACTACAGTTGCCACGATCACATCACGTGATCGGAAATTGAGTCATTTATTTGCCCCATTTCTGACACCAGTGTGAATCTTCACATCGACACAAAATGAACAGAGTGGCGAGGTACAGGCCAACCAAATATTCAAATCACAAGATTAAAAAAAACAAAACAATACAGTGGTCATTTAGATTTGCTCTTTTAACAATACTTGGAGGATAAAATTTATGTCACATATAAAAAGTTCTAACTCAGAATGTGGATCTGGATCTTCGATGTCGATCAGCGACAGTATCAATTTCTAGTGCTGACGTTCCGATGCAGAATTTTAGTTTATAATGTTGCAACAGTGTCGGTGAATTGGCTTGCAATGCCCCCGCCTGGCCTAGTGCAGCTTGTTTTTAATCTAATTGTAAATATATTTAGCTCACTAATAGTCTGATAGATTAAAAAAAATCAAATAATAATAATCAATCAAAAGAATCAAAACAAATGAATAATAAGAAAAAAGGTTAATCATTGGCATACGGTCACGTTATATCCTATCAAAGTACTTTCCACACTTATTTGCATCTGACAGCCATACTAAGTGTCTGCTTGCAAACTTGGTCTGGCATTTGGCGCCTCCACAGTAATATGCAAGAATTCATTCTTGACTCTGAGAAACACATTTTTTGACCACAGTTCTCCACATTAGAAAAGGCCCAGTTGTTCAACTGCCGTTTGCAAAACATAACCCCAACATTCAGAAAAAAAAGTGGAATGACATAGGTGCATAAAGAAAAAATATCCACACTCATCGCCTCAACTCTTCGAAAGCAAAGACCGGTGTTGAATTCATCCAATGCCGCTGGGGCGCATCTTTGTAGAACGCTTAATGTTGTGCGTGTGCGCGCGTTTATTGAACTGCAGAATTTCCACATCCACTCTGACTTCAAGAAGTGCTCCGACGCCGACATTGTGCTGCAATATATTGTGATATCAATATAGTACTGTGGACCATCACGGCTGAGAAGTGCTTATAGGGATGAAATGGGTAACGTGCAAGGACTTGTTTTATTGTACATTTCCACTCGCTTGTTCCAAATAGTGACATTTTTTTTTTGTGGGGGGGGGGGGGGTGAGCAGATATACAGTATATGAGCCAGAGATGGAACGACATTTGAATGACCATGGGACATGCGAACGTTGCGTGTGGATTTTAAAAAACTAGATATACTACACACTCTTTTTGTTCACTTTTTGTATTCAGCTGGAATAAAAAAAAAAAAAAAGTCATGAATACACGCAGCTAATTTGAGACATCTGTCACAATCAAACCAATCAATGTCGTATTAGAGAAGCTCACATGATCCTTCCAGGTGCAACATGAGACATATTTCTGGGGCCTCGGAGTATTTGATTATGACCGAGACATTAAATTACTCACCTGATATCCGGCAATTACACTCAAACACAATCCCTCATTTAGACAGTTGATATTGAGCAGGCGGCAGTAGTCAATTACTTCTCCACAATTCTTCCCTGAAAAGCCCCGCAGACATCTGTGGAAAGGAGGTGAGTGTCAGAAAATCATTTCACCCCAAGCCTCAGGCGCTAACGAGCTATATTTTTACACCGTGTCTGGACTCATACATTTTTTTCTACTTTGTTGTACGAATGAGAGAGTTTATCAAACACTCTGCTTCTAAAAATATATGAATGCCGATTTTTCTAACATATATATATACACAACTTCATGGTATGGGATCTTTAGGGATCAGCAGATAGTTGTTAGTCAGTGTATGTCTTCTAATTCCATTTTATTAAGATTAGTGTGTTAATATTGAGTCCTATTAGTTGATTACCTCATGACTGATATATAATATATCGTATAGTATGTGCTTTTGATTATGGGAATTTAGAAACATGCAGAGAGCTTTGTGGCTGTTCTGGTTGAACTTAGACTTGCTGAGGGGGAGATCATTTCAAGACTGTCTAGAAACTTTACCTGGAAAGTTCAGCTTAGAAATGTTTGAAATAAGTTGGCGATTTGAGAAAAAAATTGTCAATGAATTGGACCTAAATGGAAAATGCACATCGATTTATACAAACAGTACAGTATGAAAACATAATTTACCTGCAATGATATCTGACTCTCATGACATCTATACACCCCCCCCCCTTTTTTGTTTTATTTTGTTCAGGGTTTCGGGAAGTTGAACTTTATCCCAGCTGATTTTGGGCTAAACCCTGGAATGTTTGAGTCAACCAGAGGATATAAAAACACACAATCATTTACTCTCACAATCACAGAGTGAGATTTGAATATGAATCACATAACGTGCACTGAAGTCAACAGACTTAACCACTACTACAGAAGCAATGATCTGAATTAAAATCATTAAGAATTAAAGATTGTTTTCTTTTCCTTACATTTACATTCCCTTCAGTAAATTAACCTCCAATTTTGCGTACATATTTTTATGTTGTAAATATGCATTCATTAGCTACACTACAGGCGGCCCGGTGGTTGACTGGTTAGCACGTTAGCCTCACAGTGCAGAGCTGCAGGGTTCAATCCCGGCTCCGGCCTTCCTGTGTGGAGTGTGCATGTTCTCCCTGTGCCTGCGTGGGTTTTCTCCGGGTACTCCATTCCAAAAACATGAATTGCAGGTTCATGGAACACCTTATATTGTCCCGAGGTGTGAGTGTAAGTGCGAATAGTTATTCGTCTATGTGTGCCCTGCGATTGACTGGCAACCAATTCAGGGTGTACTGCCCAATGACGGCTGGGGTAGGCTCCAGCATGCCCGCGACCCTCATGAAGATAAGCGGATTGGAAAATGAGTGGGTGGATGGATAGCTACACTACTTCACTGTTTTGGGTCGTAGGGAGCTGGAGAACATCCCAGGTGACTTCGCTCGAAAGGCAGACGAGACACTGAACTGGTTGACAGTGAATCACAGGACGCAAATACTGTGGATGCAGAGATACAATCACACCGTCAATGAGTGTGAAGTGAGCCCACACTGCCTGCATTAAAGTTATAAGTGAGGTAACCTTGACACCATCAGTGACTAAATGATAGAGATATTCCATGTAAGGCTTCTACTTTAATCATTTTGCAACACGAGTCTCAAAAACTTCATTTCTCTCCTCGTGACAGGTATCCATTTTGGCTGAAATTGTACAGTGTTATTCAACGGCACTACAAAGAACTATTTATCACTACACTGAATATGCTGCCTGTGTTACAATAAGGTTTCAGTTTGATAAGTATCTACCAAGCAGGGGTACGGAGAATGGAAAAACGTAATCTACAAGAAGAATGTACTACAGAAGAAAAATGCTACCGACATGAACATTAGAATCTGAAAGAACAATGTGTTACGACGTGAAAGAAATGTTTCAAGAGGGCATGATATTTCACGTTTTATTTCACTGGTTTCAAGTGCATATTGAGAGGACCTCATATTGTAAAAAAAAAAAAATTCAACGGTACATTTTGCTTAGAATGTGATTCGTTTTGAGCACAAATATATTCGACATGCAGTTTAAACCTAATCATAATATACACGGTGCATTGTATTGTGTATGTATGTATACCACACCACAGTTATTTTGGAATAACTGTAAAATATATTCCATTGGGTAACACACAGATAATTTACTAGTAGTTGTGCTCCGCTAATTACGAGGAGCTGGTTTTAGCTAAAAATGCCCGGGTGGATTTTTGGTCGTCCTCCAACCCTGGCCACAGCTGAGCACTTTAGTTAATCTAAAACTGTCAGAGGATGCAAGTTTTTTTTTTTTTTTTTTTAATCCATTGATTAAACAATTTGATGCTCACTTAAGTGTCAAAATAAACAACAGTGCAATGTCAGTCGTTAAAAAGAAAGATGTTAACTTGTGAAATAGAAATAAACTCAGCCTGGCTTTAAAGACAGGGACGACATCATTTAGCAAGCATTGTTATATTCACTATTATAAAATGTATTTTGAATATCACCACAGGAGGCCATTTTCAGTATTCAAGTGAAACATTTGTGCTCATATTGAAGGGCTGTGACAAAATGTTATCAAATTGTATCAAGCATGAGTATTTTCAAGCAGTTACAAAGAAAGAACAGTCAGTGTTAGATCCCTGTGTGTGTTTTGTGTTTCACCTGCACACATAATCACGTCCCCTGGACACACAGGTGGCATTATTGAGGCACGGTGATGGCCTGCACACGTTCCGCCGCTCTCTCTTGCATGCTGGGACCACTTTACCATCTGCACACGCACATTCAGAAGCCTGCAAACAGGGCCAGAACAAACCAGGTCATGTGAAAACAAGGCTGGATTTCACACATGACTGAATGCTATCTTTTTCTCGAATGGTAAAATTGTGCCTTCGGTCAATGTTAGAGTGAATTCCAAACTTACTGTTTGTACACATTTTAATATTCAAAGGAGATTAGGGAACCTCAAAATTCAAACGCTATTGCTGCAGAAAACACAAGCAAGGGTTCTATGATGTTAGAATTCTTTGACCCTCCAGCGATTGCATTAAATAGCAACGAAATGAAAAGCCACCCAACAACAGTGCAACCAAATTAGGCAGGAAACCTGATTTATACCTGTATAAGCTATAGCTAGGATTTTCTTTTCAGAATAAAAGATGTACATCAGGTTAAGGTACAAAAAGTTTTTCCAGTTCATGCTCCTCAGCATGAGGGGTTTGACAGCCTTTTTCCAAACACTGTGATTATTAAATTTTCCACTGCTCTGATCACCTATAGATTGACATTTTTCACTTTACGTTAATTTTGTGAAACACAATTCAGAATGCAGACGATACTTAAACATTGCCTATTTTCTGCTATGTTGTGAATCATACCAAAAGCATGCAGTCCTTTCCGAACTTAAAAAAAAAAAAAGTGCTGGGCCCCTTTTGAAATAGTGGGCGGCCCACCAAAACCTTAAATCACTACTCTGTTCAGGTCATGAGAGCAGGATCACTATTTCCCCAAGTAATTTACAGTTTTCAGAACAGTGTTCCATACGCTAACTTGTTCTAATATGGTATCAATTTTTTTTTCCTTTTACATTTTGCAATCAGCAATCGGTTTTACAATAAAATCCAATGAAACGGCATTCTATTGAGTTCATTTGGAATTACCTTCAATTAGTATAGATTTATTTACAGAAAAAAACTGTTGTTACATTGTCCAACTAGATCGAAATCACCTTTATCATATCAGTCAAAAAAAGCGAGATCACATTGTGTCAAATCATTAGGCCTTATATCGATACGCAATTTATTGGTTAAAACGTGTATCGTTACATCCTTAGTGAAAAAGCCGCAGAGCAGCTTTCAAACACAAGCACATGCACAAAAAGAAAGGGCATGTTGTGCATCAAGAGTAACATTCAATTGCAGCAACCACTCTTTCCCATTGCTCATCTTCAGGAGGAAATATTAATTGCTGCTACCTTTGATCCTATTTCAAGAGAATACATCCATTTCCATGTGTTATCGGAAACAAACAAGGGAAAATAAGTCCTCACATTTTCTCTTGCACCGCAAATTTGATCTTGCTGACATGCGTTTGACATGCAATCACCGGCAAATGCAGAGTCGCAGTAGAGGCCCTTGAAGCTTTCAGGACAATGACACACAGGACCTGCGGGAGTCTCCTCACATATGCCTCCATTTCTGCATGGATTTGGATCACAAGTTGTTTTTCTCTCACAAGGCGGGTCTGCAAAACAGAACATGTGATCTTTATGGAACAATGTTTATCAGACTAAAGAAAGGAGTTGACTGCGATGTTATTCGGAAATTGTTGGGCATCAACCGTCATAATTGGAAAAGGGCTTTGATTTGAATTGCGCTTTTCTTTCTTCAAGGCACTCAACGCGCTTTCACAGTGTATCCTCTTTCCTTATTCTCCCACTGAGGCAATAGGAGCATTTGGGCTTTAGGTATCTTGCTCAAGGATACTTCAGCACGGTCATGGAAGATTGATGACCTCCCTGCTGCTTGAGTCAAGCCTCCCCACACATCAATGGTCACAAGATGAAATGATCCCTAAGGTGATTTTGTCTTACGCCTAATATTTGTATGGTCTTGACGAAAATGTGTTCTAAATCTGATTTCCGACTGTGAGAATGAATACAGTTTACCATATAAACTGGTACCTCAAGTTACATACTTAATTCATTCTAAGACGCAGTAACTCAAAACATGTTCCCACTTTTGTAACCGAAATGAATCAAAAGGCAGCTAATCAGTTTTTTATATACAGTATTTAAAAAAAACATTTTATGTAGGCTGAAATTCTTATTCGGATACATTTATTAGACCATTAAATAATTTTTGCAACAGGTCTAATTGGTTTATTACGTTTATGGAAGCATTCATAGCCAGATAAGACAAACCCCAAACTGTTTAGATATATTTTTTAAATACTCAGTTCTTGGTACTACATTAATGATAGAGACAAAATCAATTTTTTATTGAGTCATAAAACAAGTCATCAGCTGTTTGCGATTTTTTTTTTTTTTTTTAAACCTGCATGGAAAATTAAATTTTCCACTGCTCTGATCACCTATAGATTGACATTTTTCACTTTACGTTAATTTTGTGAAACACAATTCAGAATGCAGACGATACTTAAACATTGCCTATTTTCTGCTATGTTGTGAATCATACCAAAAGCATGCAGTCCTTTCCGAACTTAAAAAAAAAAAAAGTGCTGGGCCCCTTTTGAAAAGTGGGCGGCCCACCAAAACCTTAAATCACTACTCTGTTCAGGTCATGAGAGCAGGATCACTATTTCCCCAAGTAATTTACAGTTTTCAGAACAGTGTTCCATACGCTAACTTGTTCTAATATGGTATCAATTTTTTTTTCCTTTTACATTTTGCAATCAGCAATCGGTTTTACAATAAAATCCAATGAAACGGCATTCTATTGAGTTCATTTGGAATTACCTTCAATTAGTATAGATTTATTTACAGAAAAAAACTGTTGTTACATTGTCCAACTAGATCGAAATCACCTTTATCATATCAGTCAAAAAAAGCGAGATCACATTGTGTCAAATCATTAGGCCTTATATCGATACGCAATTTATTGGTTAAAACGTGTATCGTTACATCCTTAGTGAAAAAGCCGCAGAGCAGCTTTCAAACACAAGCACATGCACAAAAAGAAAGGGCATGTTGTGCATCAAGAGTAACATTCAATTGCAGCAACCACTCTTTCCCATTGCTCATCTTCAGGAGGAAATATTAATTGCTGCTACCTTTGATCCTATTTCAAGAGAATACATCCATTTCCATGTGTTATCGGAAACAAACAAGGGAAAATAAGTCCTCACATTTTCTCTTGCACCGCAAATTTGATCTTGCTGACATGCGTTTGACATGCAATCACCGGCAAATGCAGAGTCGCAGTAGAGGCCCTTGAAGCTTTCAGGACAATGACACACAGGACCTGCGGGAGTCTCCTCACATATGCCTCCATTTCTGCATGGATTTGGATCACAAGTTGTTTTTCTCTCACAAGGCGGGTCTGCAAAACAGAACATGTGATCTTTATGGAACAATGTTTATCAGACTAAAGAAAGGAGTTGACTGCGATGTTATTCGGAAATTGTTGGGCATCAACCGTCATAATTGGAAAAGGGCTTTGATTTGAATTGCGCTTTTCTTTCTTCAAGGCACTCAACGCGCTTTCACAGTGTATCCTCTTTCCTTATTCTCCCACTGAGGCAATAGGAGCATTTGGGCTTTAGGTATCTTGCTCAAGGATACTTCAGCACGGTCATGGAAGATTGATGACCTCCCTGCTGCTTGAGTCAAGCCTCCCCACACATCAATGGTCACAAGATGAAATGATCCCTAAGGTGATTTTGTCTTACGCCTAATATTTGTATGGTCTTGACGAAAATGTGTTCTAAATCTGATTTCCGACTGTGAGAATGAATACAGTTTACCATATAAACTGGTACCTCAAGTTACATACTTAATTCATTCTAAGACGCAGTAACTCAAAACATGTTCCCACTTTTGTAACCGAAATGAATCAAAAGGCAGCTAATCAGTTTTTTATATACAGTATTTAAAAAAAACATTTTATGTAGGCTGAAATTCTTATTCGGATACATTTATTAGACCATTAAATAATTTTTGCAACAGGTCTAATTGGTTTATTACGTTTATGGAAGCATTCATAGCCAGATAAGACAAACCCCAAACTGTTTAGATATATTTTTTAAATACTCAGTTCTTGGTACTACATTAATGATAGAGACAAAATCAATTTTTTATTGAGTCATAAAACAAGTCATCAGCTGTTTGCGATTTTTTTTTTTTTTTTTTTTTTTTTTTTTTTTAAACCTGCATGGAAAAACATGGAAAATATTGATGCCATAAAAAGCAAAATTAATGCATTTGTCTGGTTGCACTGTTTGTTTTGTGTGACAAAGGAGGAATTGTTGATCTGTGACTGCATTCGGTGAAGTCAGGTGAACAAATGAGCATTTGGGTCAACATCAACGTGAGCCGTACTGTGTTGTCTTTTGGGTGAAGTCACTGCACCGATAAACACTGACGAGCATCCTTCTCTGCTTACTAAAGCTTTATATTTTTAATTTGAAGACATTGTGATGTTTTATTTAGCTTTTGAAATGGTTTATTCAGTGATTTCAGAGCATATGCGGTCTGTTCATGTGTTTACGTCAAGCTCCCCCACAGTATCATGTACACATAAGGTCATGTATAAATAACTTTAAGGAATAAGTTATATTTTCGAGTATATCTGCTTCTGAGTTGCTTGTATGTGTTCCATGCAATTCAAAGTCACCCACAGTGTTTTGATTGGAGTTTATACACACCATGAAGATTTACCGGTACTGTATCCAAAGCACAATGAGACACACCATCCGGGCTTACGGTAAGTGAATTTCTTACATGTCTTTCTTGTGCACTTTCAAAGCGTGGTGGTTTCCCCCCAGTCTAGGCTTCTGACACTGACACATCCGTACTGCGTAATCCTGAAATACTGCATGTGTGCAACCGACGAAGAGGCACGATTCGGTGAAGTCTGAGAGTGGCCGTGGCTTCCGGATCGCGCAAATTTCATGAAACGCGAATTCCGTAGGGATCCATTTTGAAAATGTGTCGCACCTTGATTGTGAAATTAACTTCTGTCCCGGATCTGGAAGTTATCTTCAACAGTCACGTGTGGAGTTCATCTGCAGGCTAGTTTCAAGGAGAGTGTGTTTTTACAGTCACTTTTGAGTAAATGATGGAAGCGAAAATGGAAGTGCGGTTAAAATAACTGGCAGACTGACTTTTACAGTTTGGTTTGGCTCAAAAAAATAATGAAATAAGAATGACCGAGGGGTGCCCAGGCAGCTGACAGATGACAAAAGCTAAATTTTGTAAAATGCTCACCTCTGGTAATTGGCGAACTTACCCTAAATCAACTTTTCTGACTTTGGCACACAGGAGAATATGCCCGTGCACAGTGACACTCTTCAGGGAAATTATTTATTTCAGCGAGAGGTGTCTGTACATTTATCATTGCAGTGAATCTTTCTATGCACATTTACTTTAATCCTTCTGCTGCAGGACAAGTGGCCCTGTTCCAGAGGCATTTCATGGCCTCCACTGTGGCAGTTAATCTCCTTGTATTTATCGTCAAGGCTTGCTTGAGCCACAGATCACTTTGCACTCCATAAACGGAGTTTTTGTTTTTACACATAGTTGCTTCTTCAACAAACAATTTGACATATGTTTTATATAGAACTTATATGTAAGATGACATTTTCCTCCCTTTTTTTTAAAATTTAATGTCAGTCGTTAAAAAGAAAGATGTTAACTTGTGAAATAGAAATAAACTCAGCCTGGCTTTAAAGACAGGGACGACATCATTTAGCAAGCATTGTTATATTCACTATTATAAAATGTATTTTGAATATCACCACAGGAGGCCATTTTCAGTATTCAAGTGAAACATTTGTGCTCATATTGAAGGGCTGTGACAAAATGTTATCAAATTGTATCAAGCATGAGTATTTTCAAGCAGTTACAAAGAAAGAACAGTCAGTGTTAGATCCCTGTGTGTGTTTTGTGTTTCACCTGCACACATAATCACGTCCCCTGGACACACAGGTGGCATTATTGAGGCACGGTGATGGCCTGCACACGTTCCGCCGCTCTCTCTTGCATGCTGGGACCACTTTACCATCTGCACACGCACATTCAGAAGCCTGCAAACAGGGCCAGAACAAACCAGGTCATGTGAAAACAAGGCTGGATTTCACACATGACTGAATGCTATCTTTTTCTCGAATGGTAAAATTGTGCCTTCGGTCAATGTTAGAGTGAATTCCAAACTTACTGTTTGTACACATTTTAATATTCAAAGGAGATTAGGGAACCTCAAAATTCACATACTTAATTCATTCTAAGACGCAGTAACTCAAAACATGTTCCCACTTTTGTAACCGAAATGAATCAAAAGGCAGCTAATCAGTTTTTTATATACAGTATTTAAAAAAAACATTTTATGTAGGCTGAAATTCTTATTCGGATACATTTATTAGACCATTAAATAATTTTTGCAACAGGTCTAATTGGTTTATTACGTTTATGGAAGCATTCATAGCCAGATAAGACAAACCCCAAACTGTTTAGATATATTTTTTAAATACTCAGTTCTTGGTACTACATTAATGATAGAGACAAAATCAATTTTTTATTGAGTCATAAAACAAGTCATCAGCTGTTTGCGATTTTTTTTTTTTTTTTAAACCTGCATGGAAAAACATGGAAAATATTGATGCCATAAAAAGCAAAATTAATGCATTTGTCTGGTTGCACTGTTTGTTTTGTGTGACAAAGGAGGAATTGTTGATCTGTGACTGCATTCGGTGAAGTCAGGTGAACAAATGAGCATTTGGGTCAACATCAACGTGAGCCGTACTGTGTTGTCTTTTGGGTGAAGTCACTGCACCGATAAACACTGACGAGCATCCTTCTCTGCTTACTAAAGCTTTATATTTTTAATTTGAAGACATTGTGATGTTTTATTTAGCTTTTGAAATGGTTTATTCAGTGATTTCAGAGCATATGCGGTCTGTTCATGTGTTTACGTCAAGCTCCCCCACAGTATCATGTACACATAAGGTCATGTATAAATAACTTTAAGGAATAAGTTATATTTTCGAGTATATCTGCTTCTGAGTTGCTTGTATGTGTTCCATGCAATTCAAAGTCACCCACAGTGTTTTGATTGGAGTTTATACACACCATGAAGATTTACCGGTACTGTATCCAAAGCACAATGAGACACACCATCCGGGCTTACGGTAAGTGAATTTCTTACATGTCTTTCTTGTGCACTTTCAAAGCGTGGTGGTTTCCCCCCAGTCTAGGCTTCTGACACTGACACATCCGTACTGCGTAATCCTGAAATACTGCATGTGTGCAACCGACGAAGAGGCACGATTCGGTGAAGTCTGAGAGTGGCCGTGGCTTCCGGATCGCGCAAATTTCATGAAACGCGAATTCCGTAGGGATCCATTTTGAAAATGTGTCGCACCTTGATTGTGAAATTAACTTCTGTCCCGGATCTGGAAGTTATCTTCAACAGTCACGTGTGGAGTTCATCTGCAGGCTAGTTTCAAGGAGAGTGTGTTTTTACAGTCACTTTTGAGTAAATGATGGAAGCGAAAATGGAAGTGCGGTTAAAATAACTGGCAGACTGACTTTTACAGTTTGGTTTGGCTCAAAAAAATAATGAAATAAGAATGACCGAGGGGTGCCCAGGCAGCTGACAGATGACAAAAGCTAAATTTTGTAAAATGCTCACCTCTGGTAATTGGCGAACTTACCCTAAATCAACTTTTCTGACTTTGGCACACAGGAGAATATGCCCGTGCACAGTGACACTCTTCAGGGAAATTATTTATTTCAGCGAGAGGTGTCTGTACATTTATCATTGCAGTGAATCTTTCTATGCACATTTACTTTAATCCTTCTGCTGCAGGACAAGTGGCCCTGTTCCAGAGGCATTTCATGGCCTCCACTGTGGCAGTTAATCTCCTTGTATTTATCGTCAAGGCTTGCTTGAGCCACAGATCACTTTGCACTCCATAAACGGAGTTTTTGTTTTTACACATAGTTGCTTCTTCAACAAACAATTTGACATATGTTTTATATAGAACTTATATGTAAGATGACATTTTCCTCCCTTTTTTTTAAAATTTTGGAACAGATAAAAGAAGTACACGGTAATTTAAAATTGCAACTCAAAATGACCAAATATGCTTTGTTACTTTTTAACGGGCATATTACCACCCCTCATTAATGCAGTGGTTAACTGTGGGAAATTTAATCGTAGTAAAGGGACTCCATGTATCTCTGTCGACTGTAATTTGATAGGTTAACAGGGGTGATGACTGCATACCTGTTCCTAATTCTATTTTGCTAACAAAATGAGACCGAGATAAAGACAATTAACATCTCATAGCAAAATGAAAATGGACTAATGAGGACGGTAGGTAATATTTTGAAACAGATAGCCAAGAAGGAAAGTGGAGGACAGTCAAAACAAAAGGAAATCTCATTTGAAACATCCCACGAGCTTGGCTCATTATTCTGTGCGCATAGACTTTGGCCTATGAGGGCAGCCGGCAATGGAGCAGGCTCCAACTCTTTGCTTGATTAATGAGGAACTGCAGCGGAGAGGAAGAGCAGGAGCAGGAGGAAGCAAATGCTCCAAAAGAACTCCCAAGAAGCTGATGGGACAGCAGGGAAGCATGACTATGGAAAAGCACCCTGAGGAGTCAACACGCAAGAGATCGCAGCAATTACCCCCCCACCCCTCCTCCCAACCCCGCATACAAAAGTTTTGCCGAATGTTTAGTTGATCTGACAATATTTACAGAACAGTCACAATTTCACAAGCATTAATGAATTTGGAGGTTTACGCATGAAATTAAAATGTAGGCCACTTAAGTGCCGTGCCACAATTCACAAGAAACTATGCACACATCGGTAAGAGAGGAGAACTGACCTTTTTTTTTTTTTGAATGAATTTGGAGGTTTACGCATGAGATTAAAGTGTTGGCCACTTAATTGCCGTGCCGCAATTCACAAGAAACTGTGCACACATCGGAAAGAGAGGAGAACTGTACTTTTTTTTTTTCCAGCCCAAAGTGGGGGGGGGGGGTGGGGAAGCATGATGGACATGACAAATGCCAAATGAAATATCACAATTCAATTTAATAGATTCATCTGTAACGGTGTCAAATAGAATTGTACAGTATTGTTTGGAAAGATGGAGTTTATATCTCATTCGAATGGCTACCAAACATCGTGTTGTATAAGCGTCTGCACCACTCTCGACAAAAATGATTATAGATATATTTACGTTTTACGCCCACTCATTTCAATCAAAAAAACTACACGCGCCAGCTGATAACATCAGAAAACTCACAGCAGTTACAAATTAGTGGCAGTCCACCTGTGTTTTATAAACTGTGACACGCTCCGTTAGCCAGCAGCTATTCGTGGCTTTTTCCAGCCTTATATGAGCCGTCGTAACGTTGGCTTCTCAAGTGTTTGAAGGGGCTGCTGCAATGATTACGATGACAAATAAAGTAGGTCCAACTTGAAAGCCTATAAGGACATGCCGATCTTGGATAGAATGTTTTCAGCTTTGACCTTTTCCATGAGAGCGAGGCTTTCGAAATGAAATACCTGCCTGAGAATTCTGCACCACAGATGCATGTGAAGGAGCCGGATGACACTTGAACGCATGTCCCGTTTGTACATAATCTGTCACAATTTTCCTTCCCAATGAATTCCGTGCAGGTTGTCCCTAAAACAAAGGAAAAAAAAAGATTGACAAACAAGAAACAGAGCGATAAAAAACATTGCATGATGCACTAAAGTTGACTGCTTTGTATTTACATTTTTCCCCCCAAAATGATTGATTATGCAGAAATAAAGAGTACACATTGGTGGTGGAGATTAAGAAAGAGTTCATTTTAAATGCAAGTTGTTTATTTTTTTTTTTGTTTGCTTTACAAATGACAGTGGATCTGATAAGAAGCTCAGTTCTGACTAAATTGATGTGTCCACTGAATAAATCACTGGATCCTATTTGGAGCCTTGCATGGTATCTTAAGTTAGAAATTCTCACACTAACCTTCTAGTGGATTTTTTTTTTTTTTTTTTTTTATGATTATACTTTATTGATCCCTGAGGGTGAATTCTCTTGCACTCTGAGGAGAGACGGCAGAATGTGGCGGCTGCACAACTGTGTCGTGACCCTGAGTATTTGCAAATTCAGGGTCTTGCCCAAAGGCATCTCTGCAGTTCATCTTTCAACTGCAATGGGTCTTGAACCTCCTACTCTCCGATCCAAAAAATCTTCCACACTGTGCTGCTGCTCCTTTTATTCTAAGCAATGATGCTGTGCAACAAGTCAAGCAAGACTTACCAAAACATATTGTAGATGTATATGATAGCGATAGCTGAAGAGTCAGTTAAAAAAAAAAAAAAAGGTATACAGTAACTGTAACACGAGCTATATTAAAAGCACTGTAGTTTGTCAATGTTGTGTCGCTGCATTCACTCTATTGAGCAGTGAATTTCATGCCAAATAATTCTGAATTTTGCTGGGCTGTAATCAAAGACCTTCCGTTTTTGTTGGCAGCCAGTGATTTATTTTCAGACTTTTGATCCAGTTTGGTGTGATAATCCTCCAAAACCAAAAGTTGTTTCATTGTCACATTCACTGTCCAATATTCCTGCACAAATTTGGTAGCTTAAATAAGAAAATACAGCAACAAGGTCATCAAAATGCATCAGAGGGACGAATGCAGGCAGAAAGAAATGAAAGTGACATTTATTGGAGCTGTTATCTATTTCACTTTACACTTCATGTTTTTTTAAAAGCTAGTATGCTAAAAGTGATGCTTGGGTTTAGTTTTTACCAGTAAAATGTGGAGGACACAGACATTTATACGTCCTGTGGTTCGATTCCGCAGAGCCGCTACTCAAGCACACCCCTTTGTTTTTACAAGGACTGTCCAAACAAGGGTCAAATTTTTCACAAAACCTCCCGGAGTAGCGGTGGTGACATCGGCACGAGTAAGTCGGTTCCCAGTTGTCTGTTTGACAGATACCCCTCCCAGAACAAAGTGGGACCAGAGGGGAGGCCTGGCATAGTTGTGTCTTGACCAGCACGTTGAGCCTCAAGCCGTGTTTACACAGCTGAGTGTTTTTGTCATGCAGAGCAATGAAGTAGTGATGGCCCGGCTTGAGCCACTTGCTCTCCACTTCTTCTCTTGTGTTTATGCGCCAAGGAAAAACGAACTGGTCTCTTGCTAGCCTGTCGGCAGAACAACTCTCAAAATCGTCTTTCGACACGTTGAGAAGGCTGACGCCGTATGACGTCAGTGTCTCATCGGTGACGAGAACCAGTTTGTCGCCATGCTGCAACTGAAGTGGGCAAATCTGTGGGAAGTTAAATGGTGCACGAAGGTCATCTCCGCCATGGGAACCCCAACAGTCTTCAGTGGTGCCGCACGTGTTCTCCATGAGTGTCAAGTTCATTTGGACGAGGATCTGGTCCAGGTGCCACTCAAGTGCCACCAGTTTGCTGCAAACGGTTAGGCAAAGGCTCTTGCGGACCATGCAGCTCACAAAGATGGTCATCAAGAAAAACGGTGGCGTCTTCATGTTTTCTGCTTTTGTCGGGCTCCAGGAAAGAAGAAGCGCCGGGGAATACCTGGGGGATGATGACAGAACATTGAATGAATCATTTGGAGATGACACCTCCCACAACATTCTCAAAATTGAAATAAGTATCTGGGATATGATGGAGGGATTGTCTCACAGCTGGCTTCAGAACTCAACTTGATTTCTACAGCACTTTCAACCAGCAATTGCTGCAAACAAAGTGCTGTGCATGGAGTAGAAATCAATATCGTGAAATAACAAAGACAGTGAAAACAGTATATTAATAACAGAAATCAAAAAACATTTTTATCAATGAATAAGTATTAACCAATTAATTAATAAATCAATCAACTCATAGCAACACAAAGACTGCAAATACCATCAACAATAGAAGAATGTGGAGCCAGAGGCCAGAGACAGGTATGTCTTAGCATGTACAATTTGTTACTCAAGCATAGAAAAGTGAAAGAAAAAAGCAGATCAATGAAAGGTAAACCAATTAAAATTCAGTAATGCGTCATAAAAAAAAAAAATCATATTCGACATCGGTTGTGCATCACGGAAATGTGGTAAACCTATATGTAATTTTCCCACGTTTTCCTCAAAAATAAACCAACGATCTGTATTTGTTGAACACCTTTTAATCATGTGCAACTGACAATCACTAACAGGATTGCATTTTGGAAGTAACTTCCCCAACATGGCCACTTCAATAACCCGCAGCATCTTTTGTTTTCTTGAAATAACTTCTTAATCCGCACTGTATTTCTATAGTATTTCTTTTGCCTGAATACACCTTTAATTAACTGCATGGTGAGCCAAGTCAAGCGCAACTACGGTGTGCGACAGACTAAACGCTGTAACTCACTGGGGTCCAATAACACAATGGCAATCAATGTGTATCTGTTGATCGAGCAATTGTTTGTTTGTATGTTTGATCATTTGTGTGTGTGATATTCATATTTATTGTCTGTCATTAGCTGGAGGCACCACAATAATGGTTTTCCCTATTAAAGTTTGGTGATTTTTTTTCCCCCCAAAGTAGAACATGGGTATTTAATTAAGCATATGGAGTAGGCCGTTAGTCACAATCTCTATACAAAGCCTCCATTGTTGTCCCCTAAAGGTAAAGAGCCATTTTTTTCTGAGCATGGGGCTTATTCAGTTGTGTGGGGTTAGACAAAGAAAAGATTTCCTGAAGTGGAAGACTATCAATCACGCTCTGTGATTTTTGCAGCCCCTCTCTGAGTGTTTGAAATCCAAAGTGCAAGTGCAGGTCTTTGTTTGCAACATTTGCTTGTCTTGCTCACATCCGCACAATCGGGCCAATAATACTTGAAAAGGTTTTCACAGATAAAACATATTAGGGGCAGTGCCTCAGTTCCAAGCAAGCTGAAAAATCAAAAGAAGAATCGTATTTTGCCCATAGTTTTGTCTGTTTGCCTTCAAACACAGTGCACATGAACAGTAGGTAAAACATGGTCAGTGGGTTACCTCTTAATACGACTGCAGCTATCGAATAATGTTTTCAAGATCAAGTGTGTGAGTTTAGACAAGCACTGGACACAATGTGTGCAGGAATCTTGGGCCAAATCTAACGTGAACACTAAAGTAGGCGACCAGAATTCAGATCACAATGGGAAAAAAAAAATGCTAGTTTCTTCATGAACCCCTTCATGCACCTTGTAACCTGATAACCTGTCCACTGTAGTAACCGCTGTCCCTGAAAGGGTTCAAAATGCGTGAACTACTATTTAAAGGTCAAATTGAACACAGTACAGTTTTGTTTTGTTTTTGTGAGACCAACACAATAAAACATAAATGACACTTTTTTTTTTCTCCGATGCTTCATATGCTTGATTCTTCAGCTGTTCATGAAGACTCGTCATCTGAGCGCCTTCCCTACAGTGCTACTGACCACAAAGTGTGTCCCAGCAACCTCAGCTGATCAAACGTTGCTGCAGTGAGAGTGACAATGCCAGATAAAATACTCTTTTCTGCCACATCGATGCCTGAACCTCGGTCTCTGGCTGGGAGATGAATTAAATCAGACTACACAGTGTTTTAACCCTCAGGCCATTTTCATATGCGCTCAATTTAAAACAAAAAGTATCAATGCCTCCTTTAAAAAAAAAGAAAGAAAAAAAATGAACACTGACTGTGGAACTGCAGTATCAAGAGAAGTGATGAATGCAACAGCAAATATCATTATGAAGCCCGGGTGCCACGTGTGAACAGCAGGCTGCTTTTCATCCAACAGGTTGATTCCTTTTTTGTTCAAATATAAGACGATAGGATAGGACTGTCAAGTAAAAGGCCTCCCTCACCTTTTTGGATTTTAACTCTTGACACAGCAGGAACACAGATTCAGAAAGTTTAAATGTAATTTTTCCAAGTGTAGTTTTGCCCCACTTTTTCAGCACTCAACTCCAAAATGAGTGTGTTTGTGAAAAGGCTCAGTTGATTAGAACTTTTCACCAGACTCGGCAGTATATTACTGTGTGCTTGATTGAACACCTGTAGTCGTCACGCAGAAGCATATCCTGTGCCAATGGTTAATTTTTGTCTCTAGTTTGGAAAGGGATTTGTTCATGGTCAGTACAGACAGCCAAGCAGTTCAGCTTCATTTGGAATTTAAATCAACAGACAAATAAAATGGACAAATGTGCATTCCACAGATTTCAAATTTGGGAGAGCAGTAGATGGGAAGAACACTTGTCGCCGTTAATTAGAAAAGGAACCATATATACTAAGTTTACTTTTTCATGGAAACTGCAGACCTCAGTATGGATTAGAATTTGATCACTCTTAACCCTAATGTTGTACTCGGGTCCGAATTAACGTGTTTTCAAGTTTAGGTATGTAAAAAGTACCATTGTCTTTTTTTGTACTGAAACGAGGCTTCATCTAATCCTCAAACATGACAAATTTAATGCAATAAAATCATGACTGGTACTGTACTTCTTCAGGTAACAAACAACTTCCCTATTCTGTACTCAACAAAGTTTCAATAACACCCGGCATTATCGTATATATTGTACAGCCGCTGCAATTCCAATGCATGTATCCCCAAGCTGGCCACGGCAACGATGGAGCTACTCCAAAATCAGAGAGGGAGCTGGGACACAAAGAAGACACTTTTATATCCCCATGCACAGTGACATCAAACTAAAAACATCTACAAGCAGCATGAGTAATGGATGAATGCCAGAGGAGACACTCAGACCACAACCTTATTTTTGGCCAGTATCTACCAAGACGACGACAAGGGTCATGTGAGGCCTTGTGTGTTGTATGTTCAGTAATACGCTCGATCCAAAGACTGACTATAATGAAATAATAAAAATATATGCTCGTTCTTATTGATTTCATCATAATCGCAGATTAATACATTTGTGTTTATGCGACTCTAAACCACAATCACCAACCTTAATTGGTTTTAATTGAAAATGTCAGTTCATGAAATCACAGGATATCCACACTGATGGATAGCACCTACACAATGAGACCTGAGATTGGTATTGATCGCGATTAAACTGTTGGAGGAATACTTCGAGTAATAAGGGCCAGTGGGTTAGAAGCAAAGTCGGGAATGTGAGAGTCAAGTAATTGTCTCATGTTAGCGTGATGCTTTCGTGAGGACTCTATTGTTCTGGGATGCCGAGCACCTCGGTGCACAGAAGACAACAACGTAAATCCTCTATTGACCGGTGACACCGTGAGGAAGACACATTATCGCATTTATTTGGATCGCTAACATATCACTTGTTGTCATGCTATGTGACAAAATAGAGCAATCCATTTCTATTGATATTTGACTGCTTTGTGGAAAACGTTTGAATTTGGACATTTTAACAGCTTCATCAATAATGAAAAACGTCGTTGAAATTGTACCGATTGAGTGAAGATCTATAAATAGATCTTAAACATTCTCCACTCTTCCTTTTGAAAGTGTGTTTAAAGCACTACAGTCATTTGATGACTAAACACTGAAATTTATTGTTATTTTTTTAAAGTTGCTAAAATAAATAGTGTTGGTCACATAACATCAAACTGGAACAACAGCTGATACAAAAATACAGTACAATGCAGGAAGCAATGAAGCTGCTGACTCAAGAGGGGTAACTAATGACACTTCAATTAGCGCACACAGGTGTAGCTCCTACAAATTCAGTCGAAAGCCATCTTGGTGCATGGTAATTTCTCATCATGATTGACTGCTGCATGAACCGAATGTTAGAATGGTGTTCGTTGGTCTGCTCTCTGGACTGCATGTGCAGTGTCCCTCATTCTCTATGGCAGCATGTGCAGCAGGCTCGACAGAAACGAATATCCCTTCATGTAGCCAGCTTCCCTCTCAGCGCAAGTCTGTGGCTTTTCTGTCATAATAAGGTCTCCAGAAAGCCTTCATTTATTTATTTATTTTCATTTGGGGCGGTGCGGGGTGGGGAGGCAAGAAATCACTTCCAATGCCGGTTAGATGCTGAAACCATTCATTGTAGAAGGGAACGCTCACAAGGAGGCGGATGAACTTCATCACCATCACGTCACTCTGTTCTAAAAGTCCAGCCTTTTCTTTGTGTAAAAATGACACAATCACCGAGAAAATCATTGGATTGTAAAATAAACACAGGCGCTGTAAATCGACTGGCACAGACCATAATTTCTCTGACCACTAACTGCTTGTGTCTTTCTGATCTCATGTTTTTTTTTTTTTTTTTTAATACATATGCCCCGCAGTCAAAGAATCATGAGAATGGGCTTGATAAACACCCATATTTAATAATTCCAGTGAACTACAATCCAAATTGATGTCCAGAGTCAGCTGCAAGCCATTGATGCCTCTGTGCAGCCATGAGAAAAGTCATTCGCGAAGCATCACGAAGCTACAGCCTGTGTCACATTGACGATCACTTGTCCTCCCTGTGAGACTTTGTGTAGCATCATTTGATGTAAGACTGATGAACATGTGAGTTATTCAGCCTTGAACAGTAACAACTGTCTCGACTTCACTGCTGAAAGGCTTTTGTTGATTACAATGGCAAAACT